AATAGTTCCGCAACAAGTTTAGGGTCTTCGTATACTTGTTTGTCTTTAATGAATACGCTCCCTCTCGATTTGGAACGTTTAAGTTTATTTTGAAGGAGTATGGTGAGTGAAGAGAAGTTATTGTTAAGTTCGACTGCACGTTTTTCCTGTGCGACTGCTTTTTGTGTACTTAATGCCTCTGTTCGGATAATTATTTCAGTCATCGTCACCAAAGAGGAGAAGTCATTAAGGTTATGGAATCGAGTACAATGTCTTTGAAGACGTCTTCGTGTACCGACCGGTATATAAAGATCTTTGGAGACCGTAGGTCTACAGTATTCTAAAGGTGCGATTTTGTTGATGATACTTCTGATGTTGAGATAAAATATATTGGTTAGTGTGTCGGTATTGTTTGCAGTAAAGAAAGTTCCCCAATCAGTGCTTCTTAGGTGATTGTGGAAGTTATTCCAATCAACCTTGCGATAGTTTCTACGAAGTGTTGCGGTTTTACGTCTACCGGTTGTGGTTTTTATATTAAGGCTGCATATGACAATGTTATGATCACTACCTGGAAACGTATTTCCAATATACACAGTATTGGGGGTGACGCCACTGGTAAAGACTAAGTCCAGGATATTTTGATGTCTGGTAGGGCCATTGACATACTGAGTCCATTGTCCGAGCTCTAGACATTCTATAAATGATTCATAACGCTTCGGCGCCCTGATTGGGAACCAAGAAATTTCGGGCAAGTTGAAGTCACCACAAATAAGCTTGCCTGTGAATGGAAAAGATGATGCTAGTGTGAATACCTCCGATAGTATTGCTATGTCATCTATTGGTGCGTTGGGTTGACGGTAAACACAGCCGAACAGTAAGGTAACGGAATTTGACGGCTTTAATACAATCCACACCGAATCCTTCAGTTTGTTTAGTTCAGGCATATCACATAGTAGTGAGTTTAGGCTAGAGTGAGCGTAAATCAGGCATCCTCCGCCTCGTCCCTTCAATCTATCACTTCTATATAGTAAATAGTTGTCAAGAGATATACTTAGGTCGGAAATATTACTGTTAGTCCATGCTTCAGATATCATAATAAGTGATGGTTGATATATGGATACAAACAGGGCTAAATCCGTCTTTTTATTGCAGATCGACCTAGCGTTGATGAGACATATATTAAACAAATGGCCTACTAGGTTAAAATGAGTGAGAGTATCTCGAATAAAGTCGTTGTAACCCTCACGGGTGTGATATGGGTTTAAAATGAGGGATTGGATGTTCTTCAATAGCTCGGTATTTTGATAGCTAGACTTAATGGGGGATGTATCAAATGAGCTAGTGAAGTTGATTGGGGAGTTTACCCAGGAGGAAAGGGCGGGAGTACTCTCTGATGGAAACTGTACGGGGGAAACGCGTTTATGTTTTGCATGTAGTTTGAAATAACTTGAGCTATATTCTTCAACAGAGGTGTCACTAGAGGTCGTATTCCAAAAAAATTTTGTACTGGCCTGCTGTGAAGTGTATGGTTGTTTGCAAAATAGTCTTGGTGGTTAGGTGCGTAGCCTCTGTTATAACTATTTACGCTAGCATGAGAAGGGTCTGCTGCGCGTAACTGGAAAGAGTTGCGACTATTATTGTAAGTGGGAGTAGTTTCCATGTGGTGGGTCGGTACTAAATGGTGTGAAAAGTTTTCTTTCTGAGAGTAGTTACAATTATGATCCTGGGGAATGTAGATAGGGTGTGAGGTGAGAAACCTATTATTACCATTCTTATTAATGGTTTTAAGCTTTAGGGGATGCTTGGAGTGATCAGTACTCCGATAGTATTTGTTAGTCTGCGTGGAAAAAGGCTTGTTACGCTGTAGCCCACTACCCATTTTACAACTTAGAGGTGTTGAAGGCAAGTTATATTGTATCAGCGGGGAGAACCTGTTCACTGTTGTTGGGATACCTAAAGAACAGTTGGGTTCAACCCTATGTGTTCCCCTGCTCGGTATCGTGAGTCTTGTCTTCCCACTCTTTTTTGTCGGAGCTGGAGTCTTTCGTTGTTTCTGTGAGATGAAGTTAGGTTTATTCGAGTCAACATGTGAAGTATCTTCAGGGGGACTAACTTTTAGGTGTATAGGTTTAGTCGGGAGCGTGTTGTCGCACGCCTCACATCTTAGTACATTACTGAGCGAGCAGCTGGGACTAGACATATTGTTATGTTTTTTGGTGACAGTTGGGGTACGTATCTTATCTAAAGGTTTCTGATCAGCAGACTCATCTAGATCAACAGAGTGATCGACTGTTCGTGGAGTGATGTCATGCTTATTGTTGCAAACTGACTCTGGCTGGTTATTCACTGTAATACTACCATGCAATCCTATCGCTTCACGTCTTCTTACACGACGTTGACAGGGCGTAAGGTCTGGAGTGACTTTTATACTTTTGTATGGAATGAGTGAGCTAATATTTTTGCTGGAATCAATAAACTGTTTAGCATCATTACAACAGCCAAACATAAACAGGAGGGGGCAAGTAGATCTGTCTGACTTTTTTCTAAGGCGTTTGACTTTGCAGTTAACGTTCAGCATACCGCATGCTCTAAGGCAAATATCCCTCAACTTAGATGGGTGTATGCGGTCGGGGAGGTTATACGCAACTGCATTGAAGGAGGACATCACTCTTTTCGTCACTTCTTCAGCCACAAACTCCAAAATACACTCAGCTTTAGTGAGTTGCTCTAGATTCCTATCAGTGTCAAGGCCCCATATGTGCGTGAGGGGTGCTAGTTGCTGAAGTCTGCCGTTTATTTCGGCTAGGGAGTTTTGTAGTTGACGGACGTCAGTAATACATCTATCAATATTTTCAGGTGTATGAGACGAACTACTGGACTCTTTAGTTTTTGAAATTTTAGATTTAAGCCTTGGTAGAACGTATTGTCTGGTAGACTGTGCTGACTTTTCGATGCACATGGGTATAGTGTCTTGTATGTCAACCAGTCTTACCGTTGGCATACTGCACGCAGAGATGGAGGGGCAGTAACATGAGGATTCAGGTGATGTTATTGACATTTGTGTACAATGCGCATATTGTTCATTTGTTAAAGGTTTGACATTGTCAGGTACTGAGTCGTCAGTCATAGAGGTTACGGATTTGGACCGTTTATTAGGCTTAGAAGTTGGTGAAATTTCTCTTTTACTGGAGTTATTAACCATGATTTCAAACTGGTTACAGAGCTCGTTAAATCAAATATAGTATCAGAGTATTAGTAGTTGCTAAGTATTAACCTGGCTAATACAAGGATCGGAGACTATGAGTATATAATAAATTTTAGATCTATTATAAATTTTAGATCTATTATAGACTTAAGTCCAAAATCGGAATAATAGAAGCTGGTAAATATCCGTCGAAGTTTTTTTTTAATTTTTCAGGTTAAATGTACCCGATGTACAAGATAAGATGATAGTCTTCGTATAATACACCCTACAAATGAACAAGTCAAAGAATCTGAAGACCACGTGAAAAACAGTTACCACTTTCAAATTTCGCGCATTAGTGTTATGGTCAGATTGAAAAAATGTAGACTTATATTTGGTGAAGGTAACTTCCTGATAATCATATGTGTTCGGGAGATAAAATAAGGTTTCAGCGAGTCACTTTCCTTTTTTGTTCAATCTGAGTTACGTGAGACCATCCTAATTTTAACGGTACTAAAAACCAGGCCTAGTATTCGAAAGAACTAACTCCTATTCTCAACCAAATCACTAAAAGCTTAAAGTTTGAGTATTGGATTTTAGTTGAATCTGTACTTTAATTTTAGTTAGACCTTTCATATCGTAAGGCCTTTGTATACTGTGGACGTTAGTGCACATTTACGCAAAAATGACACCACTTGCAAATTCTGTTTTCACATCCGTTCATTTCAACGAATAATTAAATCCTACAGTCAAATCAATACAATTTAAGAAATAAAATATTATCTTTCGACTCAGAATCAAAAACACATTGATGGATAAATTGCAACGTGCTTAAAACTATGAGTAAATTCGGCGTAATTTTTAATATTCAAATCTTGTCACTCTGTATTTGAATATGTAGGACAAGAGTAGGAATCCATTTGATTCATAGCGGTTAATAAATCCTCAAAATCAATGGCATTGAAGTTGACCTCATTAGTTGTGCTAGGCACATCCAGCTGCAGGTGCTCAATCACGCATCCGCACCAGTCCATGAGTGGGCACACCGTTCTATGCATCCTTAACATGTGTTAGCCAGCTTGTACTAAATGATTCTCGAAATATCGATAGCCTTCTAAGTATTTTTCAGACCCCTTCATTTCCGAATTCTGACATGGCTGTCTCGGTATACTTTTATCATAAAGGTGTAACTGACAAAAATGTTGTCAAAATCCGAATTCGTTTTACATCTGTATAGCCATACCGCCTGTAGAGCTCTGAATGTTCTCTCGACTGCCTTCACTGATGTTTTGTGTGAATGATCGTGTCGCTGTATCGTCAGTTTACTAGCGATTCGTAAGTTGTCTAGCTTGTTAGCAACTAAAAAATGGTGAAATTATATTATGCACTGCAACAAATGATATTTAACTGTGTCTCAAAACATATGGCTGGTAATTATAGATGATAATTCAAATAAGACGATTGATGTTAATAAAAGACATTTAGGCATAAAAGTAATCACAAAAGTGTCTATAAAGACGGTTTTGGACCGAAAAACGGAAAAGTATTTACTTTTCTAACACGGTAACGAAAATAGTTGTTATTACATTTTCAACGTCACACAACATTGAGGATATGTGGTATTTCACTGTGGTTACTGTATGGATAATTGTTCTCCCTCTTAGAATTAAGTAAAGTGTCAAAAAATCCGAGTCTTATTCTTTATATTTAGCAAAGTATTTGTTTTCAAACTTTTTGTGGTTTGTTTTTATGATTCAAAAATTCAATTGAATTAGAGACGAAAACGTTTATAAATTTAAATTTACAAAATTGTGCAACTTATATTATTTTAATTCATATGTTACCTGAAAGTCGTGGACATAAAGAGATCAGAGGGAATGCATCTAGTGTTATTGATTTCGTGCAAGATAAACCTGTAAGCTTATATCGGTGTTGTATTTACATGAAATATTTAGGAAATAAAATGTTTGGATCGTGAACTTAGAAAATCCTTGGTCGACAGTAGATTCCACTTTCTCTTCGAAAAAATTTCCCTGCACTTTAAGATTGATAAGAGCTATGTTTTAGAATGTATATTAGATGGTGAACAAGTAACTTCATTGGTGTTCTTACAATTAGGTATATTTAATAAAATCTTTCTTCAATCCCGAAGGTATGAAAGCTTTATTTATTAGCCTTAAGTCTGAAAAATTGGGTACGTTACCCCTAATAAGTTTTATGATCTTTAGATGTCAATGAAAGGATTGGTGTTTTCTCACGTTCATTGGTCCCAGCTAGACCACGTGTTGTTGTATCTACAGTGGCTGATGCATATACACTCGGTTCGTGTGCTGTCTTCACAAAAGTCAATGCAGAACTTCAAATAACAGCTGAGAACATTTCAAAAGTATTTGGTTCATCTCTGTCTTTGCTAAAAAATTTTTTTTATTTTTGGCGTGGCAACCAGTTTTTATCACTTAACAAGTTATTTCGTACAATATTTTACGGAACCGATTAACAAGGGTTTGTAAATCATGCTTTCAGACGTTTAAAGTGGATCCGATATATTAAGACCTAAGAAACAGTAAAAACTTCAAACCTATTTAGCGTGGTTATTTCATGAAGGTCTCCTAAATTCTCATCAGGATTGTTTATGTCGTTTCACTTTTCTCCATTCCTAATAGTCTACAGTCAGTCATTTTATTACAAAAAACAAAGTATTTACTTCATTTCTTTTTTCAGACGACATTGGAGTGTCTTTTTCAGGGAGAATAATTTTGAGGTTTATAAAACTATTTCCTCAAGATTTTATCATTTTCCTTTAGTATGGTTCTTGTTTGAGTTTACATGCATAAGGAAAACGTATACGTTAATAATTTTCAGTGCACTTGGCAAATAGACAAATATTTCTGACCATCAAACGTCAGACAATATCTTTCAACTTGTAATACATGGTCACACTAATCGTCTGTCTGTACACAATTACTAAAGTGCAACAGAATAAAAGTATAGGATTCATTGTCAAATGATAATTTATTTTAGAATTTGGAACCAAAATGCATCATTATTTGTGTATATTAACTCACGGCTTTCGAGACAATTAAATCAACTAAGTTACGAATTGAATTCTACTATGAAATATTAGCCAAGATTAGTCATGATTATTTTGGCAAATTACTTTTTGTTGTTGTTTAAACCTTTACTTAGACCGTCTATCACAATTTATTGCTGCTCACCTTCGAAGAGAAACGTATTCGATCCATTAATGAGGAGACAGTAACTTTATTATTTAGCTATCTGTTTTACTGGATTCATATGTACACTCAATATTGCCATATGTTTCTCGTTTAATACCGACCAAGCCTGTGAATATGGCGTGGTTTTATTTATAAAAACGGTAACGATTATCAATACAACCTGTTGATTTTGGTCGATGTGAAAGCGTGAGGTCTTATACTTCAACATATTTTTGTTGTGACTTTGTAGAAATATTTCTACTTGAGATATTAAAACACAAAACAATCTTTCAAGGACATGGAAAATTTTTGTTCATCGTCCAGTTGATATATTTTTTATTTGACCCTTATTTTACTTTAACTCATATATCATCTGTCATTGATCTGGGGAAAAATCCTGGACATACCTATTGTTCGATATACTTACACACAGTAAATAATAATTTTTCAAAAATCAGAAGTGGTAATCAACGTTTATTGTCCGAATTCTTGTTATCTCTTTAACTGTTTGGATATTGTATTGTTTTTTATCTAGTGTGGAGATGTATGGAAGTTTGAATTTAAACAAGTTTGCGACTTTTCCGGCTGCTATAAGATTTTTTTTATCGGTACAGCTCTGGGAAATACACTCATGACATCTAATACCTGAATAGCAGATATAACTTCAGCCATACATTGTATTCACATTCTAACTGCAACCAGCATTTTCGTTACAGTGATATAAATATAAGAGTTTTGTGGTACGTTTTGTAATTGAAAGGCTCACTAAGAGAGAACACAGATCATATGAAGGCTACTTACTTGAACACCATCAGTTGAGTCAGATATTTCAGGGTAACAGAGTAAACAACACTTAGGTTATACACATGTCTCCAAGAAAAGATGATAAGTTAATTCAAGAGATTCTCAATCTTCATTGATTAACCTGGTTTTCACATGTACTGCTTATACTCAAACCCCAACTTCTTGACGTGTTTTTAGTTGAAATAAGTTGGAAGAAAGCTATAAGTTGTCAGACTGAGACTTGGCATCATGTCAGTTAGTTAGTTATTTAGAATGAGCTCTGTGGGTAGGTGCAGATTACCTATTTGGAGTCCTCACAATTATCGTAAGCAATGGTTGTAGACAATGGGTCGCAGTGGGGCAGATACATTCACTTTTTGTCTTCCCCTAGATACTTAGTTTTAGGATTATTTTATATCTTTTCTTCACCGAACCCCTTATTTTCTGAATCACACTCTTTACTTTCCGTTGGTACTATGGTAGCTCAGTATTAATTTTGTTGATTTCGTCATGTTGTCCTGATGAGGTGTGAGAACCTGGACCAAAGCACTTATGCCCCAGAATGTAAATTGCCTATGTTTGACCGATTGAGGGAAATCCTTGATTCAGTTTCAACTTGTCAGTTTATAATTAGCAATATACATGACAATCTTCATTAAAGTGACTTATCTGCATCGGGTTTGTTGATCCAAAATAAAACTAATATAGTGTAAACTTTGATGAATCCTCGTGGATATTATTACACTACGTATTTGAATACTTTTTATACACTGGAATATCTTTTATCTTCTAAATCGAGGTATTGTTTTTGTACGTTTAAAGTATTCATCACAGGAGTTTCAAACAGAAGGAAACAGAATTCATATTGGGCTAGAAAATAACCATAGGAGTTGAAATACATATTAAGTAGATTCGAAATCGTTGTTGAATAGAGGTTTTATAACTGGGGGTTTCCCTTTTTTATTTGAATATCTATTTCCTATTGCTGTCATTTGATATACATTTGATTATAATTAAATACTGTTGAATTTTATCGTTACTCGAACATCACATTAGACAAATATGCCATTTAAAGGGTAATTATGTATTTTCTGTCCATAGTTCTGATATATTCAACTCTTTACTTCTCCTTACTATAGACCAGTCGTTATCATTGGGTTTTTTAGGAAGTGAATTTTCTGACAACAGACTTAGCCAAAGACTTTTTGAATGCGTTTGGAAACCTGCTCAATTCTTTAATGTTACCACAACTTCAAGCAATTCCGAACAAAGTATTTGTGGAGAAGACAGTTCCAATAGACGTACAAAAGTTGGATTTAGTTGAATACACAAAAAAATTTGTGAAAATTCTTAAAGAAACATCGGAATTCTTGGAAAACAGAGTAATTTTTATGCAATATTTATTTTAAACTAGTTAGCTGATTCGCCTGAGCACTCTTCAAGTTATAACCAAATCCGAGTAACCATCTGGTTATTTAAAATTGGTCAATGAATTTTAAGTAGTTACATATATACTTCATCTTAAGTTTTTATTTGAGAATTCTACTACAATAAAGTGCATCACCATCAAATTTAACCGATTTCATAATAGTCTGTATGACTTCAGCGTTCACATAAATCACGGTACAAACAAGGTGAGGAATAGAACCTAGAAAAGGTTTTAATAGGCAAGGAACTGTGCCACAAACTAATTTCTCAGGTTTAAAAAGGTTTAAGAAAGTTTATATTTTTCTATTTTATTCTTTTATAAGTAAATTTTATTTTAAAATAGCACAATGATATTGAAGTCAAAAATCAGTTAACATAATTGAAGGTGATTTATTTCTATTAAATTCCAAATAGACGAAAACAGTGAATTGGAGATCTTCAACTTGAATTTAGGACCTTTCAGTATTCAGACAAGGTGTATCTTTGGTAATCAACTTAAGCGAAAATAATGTTTTGTAAAAAACTTGGTCTAATTATTTCTAACTCATGAAGTTGTCGAAACGGTTTTTGGTTGTGTTACGAAAACGAAATTTAAATTTTATGTATATATATATTTATATTTAGTATCTTATTTATTTATTTCATATTGACATTTCGAAAAATGTAACAGCTCTAATCCATGCAACAATTTCATGGCATCAAGCTAATTCATTTAAATTATTGAGAAAGTAGTAAGTTTCCAATTTAGGATATAGTTCACATCCACTATAGAATAATTTCAATCCAGCGGGATCAAAATATCCATTTCAAGTAAAACTCTTTATCAAACTAGGAGATAGTTACTATAAGTTGTTGGAAAAAACATTCGGGATCATTTGTAAATAGTTGGTATGTATTATATAACTTGCTTAAATAATGATCACTCCAATTGAGTTTCACGTTTATTGTCTCTTATATAAACGAGTATGAAAGACAAGAAACAGAATTTTAACTTATCGGCATTCAGCATCTTTTCGGAATCAAGCATGTGAATATTCTGATTTAGGCTTGTCTCCTAGGTTAGGCACACTATGATATAAGTTGTACACTCTGTCGTTGTTAAAATCGGATCTATATAACAGCGTAGCAGTTCCGTTATTTCTCAGTATCTGATAGTATTTTGCTTGGTAACAAAGAAGTACGATTGCAAAGAACTTGAAGCTGATTTACAGCAGCTTTGAAAAATGTAAGTTCATACACTGAATATATCTTATGACTTTTAAATCTACAACAGATAAAAGCAAGTAAAATATATCGGTTGAAATTAAGTTCTTTTAAGTAGGCAGTTTAATCATCAAGTCTTCACTATGTTTCTAGGCGAAAATCAGTACAAAATTAGAGATGAAAGAGAACTATGACAATTTCTGCACAAGTGAATAACAACTTGTTCTATGGATGTTGAGTTTAATTGGTTTTTGTTACTACTTACCCTAACATTGTCTGTAAATCTCTTTTGATTGTCTCCCTCTAATTTATATTTATTTATGACTTTTGTGATCGATTAGTAAATTGATTCTATTTCCATATGTTTATTGATTACTGACTGACCTGAGTACTATTCATGGGACAATATAAATATGTTTGAGCGTACTGTAAATAAGTGGCTCTCTGTGTTATGAGGTCACTATGAATTACATTGCTGTTATACTTATCAAAGTATTATTGTTCATTAACAAATTTAAGATATTTAAGTATACCGTAGTGAAAATTTGGATTTTACTTATGTCCAATTTAATAGTTCTTGAATATAAATGATATCAAAGTTTACCTTCATTAACTTGGCACAATTCACTATACGAACAAAACTCTTGATCGTTTGCCCAATGTTGATGTATGTACGTTTAAAACTAGTGGAATAAAAAAAACTAAGTTATCATTTATTTCAAATTTCCTTTTGCAACAGTTAACTATTTTCCACATTGTCCAAAAAATATTGTGAACAATTTTCTTTTTTACCCCTTTTTTTTCAATCTTAGTTTCACTTTAAATCTTTTCAAAACAAATCAATCGAAAAAATCCAGTCAACACTTGACACTAAAAGAATATCATCTGTAGTCAATCCTGACATGTTGAAGGAATTAGAAATATATGCTGAGACTTGGATTAATCAACTAGAACAAGTGTGTAATGGATATATTTTTTAAGTTTCGGTTGGCTTAAAGACAGAATAACATACAGACTAGATGGTATTGAAAATGTATTTATTTCTTATTGTGAGCTTCAAACTATTGATGAAACTATCGACCGTTAGATAGCACACAGTTGTTTGAGTGATGTAAAGCTTTCTAAAGTATTTCTAGGCTTTGAACTCAATCTAAGAGCTAGATTGAGGGTGTATAACAAAAGAAGCTGCTTAGTTGTAAAAATGGCTTGTATTTACAATTGGCCTTAAAGGATTATAACAATTAAAACATAGTTCTTGTATTATTTTGCAACCTCAAGTTGTTTGATTTGTTAACTATGGTTGATAAAATTTCTGTGAATGATACTAAAGACAAAATCAACATTATTTTTTAAGTACAGATAATGTTAATTTAATCAAGAAAAAAATTATTATTATTGGTTTGCTATACTTTCCAAGAATCTACCCACATCAAAAACTAAACCGCGATTATCTATAAATTTTAAAGTAACATCATTGTTTTCAATATAATTTCTACTGACAGAATTCACTGTTGATTGTCTTTGAAAAGTACATTGAAAAAAAGAGAACATGAAGATAGGCATCTATTAAAAACTGTGGTTTCAGTTTATCAACAACTCAAGAAATCTGCAAAATAATCAATAAGAGATGCAATTTTATTCTAAGCAGATGTATATAGATAGTTCTGATGTGAACTGGTTGATATATTTTGTATAGAATTAGTTTAGAAAGTAATATTTACCGACTAGTTTGGTCAAGAGATCTCTTTAGACCTAGTTCATAGCTTCAAAATAATATCAGTTAATCTCAGGTTGGGGATTAACAAATGTATGTTATCAACCTTAATGTTAATACAGAATATTGTGTATTTTATGTAGTACAATATCCTTGCCGATTAAATAAATACGAGTAACAAGAGTTAATATCCGGCTATCCGGCTAAGCCCACAGTGAAATGATCGGTATTTGAAAAATATTCCATAACATTAATGACCCATCTTCTCCATACCCTAATCAGTCTTACGTGTAAGACAAGTTATTCCTAATTACTGTTGATTAAGTATATGCGTAAACTTTCTAATTAAACAGAGGCTTTAATTATGTTCATTTTCTGGAATTATCAAAAAAGATTAATTTATTAAATATCATGTAATTAGTCGAAAATACATGTGGAAATTTTAGAACTTTCATAGTTTAAAGCTCTAAGGGACTCCTCAGCAGTACTTATCAAAGTCCATGCACTCAGAAATGCAACGCTTTATTTGTAGACCACTGAGTCGGAACCCGACATCGTTGATGTTTAACTTTAATCAATTGAACATCGTGAATTTATTGTCAACATGTTATTACAACAAATTATATAAATGTATCCGATTAAAAATACGGACGATAATTTGCACTTTACTTTTAATAACAGAGCTCTTTCGACTTACAACCTAGATTTACCGATTTATTCAAACATAGTAGACCGAGATAAATATAAGATGAATGTAATTCACCTATTATTCAAGTCGGGGTTACATTTCTAGTAGATCATCTGCTTATCCGTTTGTCTCTTCGCATTGAAAACAGTAACAACATATTACTCGAATAATTTGTCAACATGTTTATAAAATGTACATTTATGTAATATTCCCACTCATTTTATTATCCATATCAGGTAATGGTCATTGCTGATCAAATCAGAAAAGAAGCTGATAACACAGGTCCCCGAGTAGAGTTAGAATATTGGCGAAAGCGAATGATCACATTCAATACAATCTTCGAAGAAATGAATAAACATAATTGTAAAATTGTATTTGGTATACTTTCAACCTTCAATTGTCCATTAGTCAAAGTTAGATACTACATAATTTTTGACTTTGTAAATTTTATTATTTCTAACAAACGAAGCAAAAGATTATCAGTTAGCATTTGTAATTTCTGCTGTTTATATACTGTTCATTATTGCTCTCGAAAGGTTTTTCTGTGAAACTGTTTTATTTTTCTGAGTGTATTCTGTTTTCTTCGGAACAATAAATTTATTCAAATCGTTCTAGTTCAATAAGATATATCTTATCTCAATAAAGTTTGAGCATTTAATCTAATTCACCGGTGTATAGCTTTTGATGGTGTATAAAGTGTTAAAATTTCTCTAATCGTTCCATTACATCCTAGTAACATATGATTTGGGCAATGAAATTTAATAAAGACAAATTAAGAAAACATTGTCTACCATTACGAAATAATTAATCACACGGTTTACTAATCTGTTTCAGAACCATTGCATCATCTGGATAATTATTACCTGGATAATTATTTTAAGCTAAATAAATAACAATAATAAAGTCTAGCATTAATGAGTATTTTTCTATGATGTAGTATGTTGCTATTGTTGCAATTTTCATTTACAACTCACTGTAGGATTTAAATCGACTCCTTTTGTTGTAGATTTGAGATGTATTTACACTGAATCGGTTCTGAAACTAATTCTTTGTGTAAGACTATAATTGTTTACTTGGTTTCGGTGTTTGAATTCAAATGATCCCCCGATTGAAAATGACCAGGTTCGTTTGTACAGATAAATAGAGGTCGGTAGCTTTAATGAATCCAATCTTTCGTTAAATGTAAACTATTAACTTTATCAGATTGATGAAACATTGCATATCAGGAGAGCGATGATATATAAAATTTTATGAACCACTGGAAATAATTTAGTACACTTCATATCAGTGTCTTTACGAATATAATAAGAATAAAGCCTCTGAAAAATCCTAACTACATATATTTTGAACTATCTTTAGGTGAAAATTTATATTACATACTGATGTTTTGTACCAAAAGTATAGACAGTTTGATTTCCAATATCTTGTTATCCAACAAGTGTCTTCAGATTGAACATCTTATGATTCATTTCTAACAGTATATTAACCATTTAGGATAATTTTAACAGGATGAATCGGGAGACAATTTTATGTACACCTTTTGTTTCACTTCATAAAAACATACTTGTACTCATCAACATGATTTAGAAATATTATTTTCCATAAAGTTTATCATATCAAATAACTTCATAACAGAAACAACATTCGCACTGAACACAATTTCCTTATTTCTATTCAGTGACAGTTTCAATAGATTGTATAAGGTTGATTACCACCAAAATATTACTCATTGTTTATTTTTCCCCATTTAAAACCATATTTAATCGGTTACTGATATTTTATTGAAAATTCCATTAATTTATTTTTCAGAGATGGCTTAAACTAGAATCCCAAGTAATGGATTACACAAATGAAGCTAAAAATAACTTGAAATTTTTAAGTACACTGGAAGAATATTGTGAACCATTGTATAGATGTGATCCAGTAAGCCTTTTGTTTCAAATAATAACAGTATTAGTATTATATTCATAATTAAACAAATATACACATATAATCAATCACAAAATGATAATAACCGTACATGATTATGATATAAACTGTACTTTAATGATCCAATAAATTTCATTTAAAAGTTAATATCAGACTATTCCCAATAATGAAATGTTACAATTACTTATCTCTTTAAGATTTGACATGTTATTAACTAACCTCCAAGTTCATCTCAGTCATATTTTTATGATCATTTTGAATACGTATTCATGGTCAGAAAGTCTCGTACCACCGTAGATATTGTTGGGCACGATAGATCACCCAAAACTCACATTTTGTAATTTTATCTTATCGATTAACTTATCGATTAAATGTTTAAATATTTGAATGGTATTCAATTGACGAACCTATTGATGAATGTTTAGAAATTTATATGACAATATCGATTTTATATATTTGTATAATTACGTTTGGTTTGTGTGCCTGATTGACCTGGTATCTGCTGGTTGCCTGTAGAATACACTTCCTACGTCTTACCAAGACTTCTTGATCGAGTTAGCTGATTCGGGGACAACGGACCAGAATAGCCTATCGAGTCTCTGAATCCCTTGATCCGATCGATAAGTCACTGCTCTCTAATCGATGGCCTTTGAGTTATAATAAATATCTGTTAGTAATATATAATTTTGTTTGGCTAAAACCACTGTTCAGTATAATGTTCTTTGATACTTATATGAATTCATATCTGTGTGTTTTTTCGAGAGTATACATATTGTACTTTCTTAAAAAGAAATTAATAGATATTGAAAATTGTATTTAACTATAAAACGACACTGAATGAAGAAAATATTGTAGTAAAATGAAAATTAATTCAATATATATATCCCCAAACATCCAGTTTTGCTGATCCGGTTTGAAGTAGCATTTTTAATGTATTAAATAATTATAATAGATTTCATTATAAGATAATGGGATCTTGATAAGAAATATAAAAGTATTGTAATAATAATTGATTTCAAAAAGAAACTTTTAGATTTTGAAACTTGTGAGAAAATATTACTATTAATACAAAAATCTAATAGTCACTATTATAAATCTCCTATCAGTTGATATAGATGAAGAGTTATTTCTTCAATGTTTATGGACCGTCTTTAATGATATTAGCTCTATATAACATTTCTTTATAATCAGAAGGGATTGTGTGGAGATTTTAGAAATTTCACTGGTTGAAATCATGAATCCATTGAAGCTAGACCACCATGGAAAACCTGGAAGCACTGAACGGACGTTTCGTCCTAGTATGGGACTCCTCAGCAGTGCGCATCCACGATCCCGCTCCTCGCGAGATTCGAACCCAGGACCTATCAGTCTCGCGCCAGGCGCTTAACCAACTAGACCACTGAGCCGGCATCCAACGGTGTTAATGTCTAACTTCAACCAATCCACGAAGTTGCGCCACCGTACACCATTGTCTTCAGTGAGCTGATATCTCACAACAGACCTGGTTGAACTCCACTGGTAACGGCTTCTCACTAGAACTTCAGGAGTATCTCTTGAAGTCAGTCACTAGTGAGCAGATGATTATTATTATCAGAAGGGATTGTGTGCTTCCAGGTTTTCCATGGTGGTCTAGCTTCAATGGATTCATGATTTCAACCAGTGAAATTTCTTTATAAGTTAATTAAATCAGAGAAGAGAGATTATATAATAATGAATTGAAACTGTCGTTTCGCTTATAACATCAGTGTCAAACTCTATGTAGATGATGACTAGCTGATAACATTAAATCTTAATTTTAAAGGGTAAAAATAATACAAAAATATCTGATTAATTCCCTTTTATTATAGGTTGGAATGTTGAATAGTATACCAAAACTTGTAACAATGATTCGTCTAGTTTATGAAATATCCACATTTTATAATACACAAGAAAAAATTACTTCACTATTTGTCAAAGTTACTAATCAAATGATATTTGCATGTAAAGCATATATTACTAATAATTATCAAAGTACAATATGGACAGAGAAAACAGAAATTATTTTAAAAAAAATTATAGATTGTTGTAATTTACATCAAATTTATAAAAATTCATTTCAACGAATCAAAACAGAATTAGCTGCTAAACCGAATTCAAAACAATTTGATTTATCTGAAATACATATATTTGGTAAATATGATTTATTCTGTCAAAGATTGAATGAAATTAATGACATATTCCAAATGATCTCATCGTATTCTTGTTTGCTAGTGTCAAAAATTGAAAAATTAGATCCATTGATTGAACAGTACAATTTTGCTATAAATAAACTACGAAATAGTGAATTTGACTTTTTGGATCAACGAAAAACTGAAGTTGATGACTGTATCATGGTGTTTAAAAAGAAAATGAGTGATATACGGGTTAGTTTATCAAATCATTTTTATCTGTGTATTTCAAAATGTTCCATTAGTTACTTATCTAGTTTAGAGCAGTACAGATTAATAGATAACTACTAACTTGGTTACTTTCAGTAGTAAGCCAGATGCGATCTGTCATGTAGTGCTTGAAAAACAAGCCAACTTAAAGTCTGGTACTGAATTTCACAAAGTTAGCTTACTTTTTATACTTCGAAAGTGGTTTGTTTTCGACATTTATATGGTTATATTTGATCAGGGTGCGTTAAGCCTGGTTCACTGGTAATGTTGTTGATTTCTTAGGAGGTATCAGCTTCTTTACAGTAGTAGATTCTTTTTACTGATTACTACCAACGAATACGAAATCTATGATCTATCAATCGGCCAAATGCTCACCAATAAAGTAGGATTTATCATGCATAAAGCCAAATAGAACTAATAAACTTCGCTGAGACAGGAAATACAATAGGTCAACTATGCAAGGGAGAATGTAATTAAACAATTTAAAGCAAGTTCGCAGCACAACTGTTCTACTGGAAATCATTTGAAATCTTTTTAAAGCATATCAACCAGAATTAGTATATGCTGCTTAAAGGACCATATATCTTTCATGATTAAAATCTTCATTCCTGTACAACTGTGTTGTTTGATAATTCTATGTAAGTTAATCGATTTTATGTTTGCTATATATCAAAAGTAAACGTTACACAATACGGACAATGAGATGCTTTGCACAGAACAATACAACGAAATAATGGAGATACAGAAGACAAGGTGATAGAGGATAGTGCAAGTGTTCTGAATGAGAAATGTGATCAAATCGAATACAATCAATAAGATTTTATTGGTTTGCTTTTTGATATCTGAAATATGGACATTAATTTTACGAAGGTTGTCATACTGTTATACTCGAGTTAATGGTTCTCCGAAAAGACCGTTTATTGTTAACTCAACTTAGAATTCTTATTTGAGGTTTATAGGACCGTTTTGAGTTACCTATTAGAGTTTGTTCTAGTCAAACTTAGTAAGACTAAAAATGAGCAGATATTTATTGGTGGTCAGATATACACAATATAGGGAATTGAAAACATACAATATTCTATACTGAGTTCATTTACTGGGAATTGTTATACGGTAAAGAGTAATTATGAATTCTTCACACTTAAATAAAATTTCTAGATATAATTGGTAGCAACATGCGATTTTATGTGAATAGTCATTGTACACTAAAGTTTCCTTTAGAACGTTTTATTTTTGTATACCATATAGGATGAATATGCTAATCGATTTCTCAAGAAAAACTTACACACATTTCATTACTTATGTAACTATAACGACATGCTAAATGTTGTCATCATTATTATTCAAATTCCTTTATAAAAAAACCCACCAAGTATTTTGTAAATGCATTTTTCTAGAACCAAGAAGAAATATCATCTGATTAATAATCCACATTTATTTACCAGTATAGATGAAAGACATAAGAATTCAGTTGACATTTTGATTTCCCACCATATCTTCATTCAGTAATATATTGAAAGCGTTATTTATGATAAAAAAGAATAAGTTTCCCTATCCTTGATTCAGCACCACTATCCTTTTGTTTCAGAGATAGAGATACTCGATATATGATAAAGTATTCTTCCGGAAAGTACTCGGTCATAATGAACCACTTTTAGCTGTGAAAGAACCACAACAAGGAACCTTTAAAAGAGTAGGGAATATGAGGATGTATCTTAATGACAAATGATAATTTTATTTAACCTTGAATGGAAGCCAATGGTGGGTGGATTCATACTCAGCTATCAAGACCAATTCAAGCCACTTGAACAATCAGATTACAGCAACATCTATATTCAGTTAGTAGATAAGATAGTAGAAAACTATTTCGGTTCACTACCATCTTGATTGATAGGGCAGTTGTACTGTTTATTCAACTTGGTTTTCCAAAATATCTTTTTCCGCAATACATATTTAACAGTGAACTAGGTTCAGTATGGCCTAATAGATTGATTGATTGTGAATCTCTATGACACACACAAGAAGTTAGAGAGCTCATGTTTATTTTATGCGTTAGAAGAGCTTTGAGCTGCAGTTTGAAAGCGTTAGTTTTACGTCAATAAACAATTTGTTCCACGTCCATTTAAACTGAAAAGAGTTTAATGTAGGTAGATACTATCATTAGGACTTACACAATGTGTGTAGTATTAAGTCAGTGGTGTAGTTTTCAAGGTTTTGCAATTGCTTATATTGCTAAAATTACTACGTATCAATACTGATAGCTCATATCAACGATAATTTCAACATTTTCATCTGGATTATTGATTTGTTTATTTTATATTTTTTGCCGTATTTTTTTTTTACTTGTATAACTTCAGACTAGTTTAAGATCCTTACTCGATACAGAAATGAACAGGCATCATGATCTACACAGAAGTTTACATATTATTGGACAGTTTGAAAAATTAAACTTGCCGAACTTGGGTGTAGATGAAGCACATCTAAAATCTTTGCATCGTTTTTCTCAGCTTATAGAGCATGTTGGTAAAGAATACAGTAAATTTAAAGCTTCACCACCAATTGGTCGTGATATACCTCCAATAGCAGGTTTGTTGTTATCTATGACACTGTGATCTTAAACTTTATTTTGTACTTCCATAGTTATTACTGGTTATTCTGTTCATTCTACCAAATAAAAATGTCGAATAAGATACAGTGATAGATATAAATTCAACTAGTTCATCTTCATGTATTAAATTTGAGTTTACTATAGATCCGATCCTGAGGTATTATTCAAAGCTATAAAAAGGATAAACGACTTTGAAGTGTTAATTTACAATATTATCATCCTTTCTACTAATTTTTCGAAATCTCTACTCAATTAGATAATGGCATTCATGTGTTCCAGATTAAGGAAAGTCTTTTCAACTTACTGACTTACAAAGAACATTCTCTTTAAAATGGATATTTTCATTATTTAGAACAGATGAATGGTGATTAGTAATTGTATCCATGACTCGAACCAAGTACGATTTACCTTATTCGCATAACACGTTATCCAATGAGCTACTGAGTTTAAAAAGTCATTAGTTTTTTCAGTGTGTATGATGTTTATATTATTATTATTATTATTATTATTATTATTATTATTATTATTATTATGGGCTTCAGTTATTATATCGTTGATATTTTAATAAATCAACATCATTTTTTACTAAAATGAAGAAATAATTTAAAAGGATACGGGAATATTAGTCCATTTCGCGTGTAGTACATCAAAATCTGACACCAAATGCTAGGATTTATCTTGAATTTCATTTTAATTAGCTGAAGTGATCACGCTTTTCTCAAAAAAGTTTAAAATTACTATCTCTCAATGGATTAATATTTACATTCTACTTTCGAAGTTTATGGTCTTATCATTGACAACCTCACCGCATTCAAGAACCATAAATGTTGTTGAAATCCCTCGCATACTGAGTTTTTTCACGCTTGACTTCTTCTGGGTTGTAAAATGTGTTTCGATTACCGAAGTCTTAAAATCTAAAAAACTGAACAATAATTTTTGTTGAAACTTGTATAAGTTTACAGAATACTCCGTAGTTTTAGGAATCAGGTATTTCAAATTTACTGGTGCTACAAGTTGTAGAATTTATAATTAATAGAAGCGCTACAATGGTGAATAAGTGTTTATTGACGTTGTAAAGGCATCACTGTACGCTTTGCTTCTAGTTTGATATTTTGATGTTATGTTTCATCTTATCTTTATGTTGATTGTTTGTTGAAAATAGGTTTCATAATTTCAGCTATGGTAATTTAGTCTGCTAGTATGAGCGCGTAAGTATGCAAGTGAACGATAATTGATAAATAAATAAATAAACAAATAAATAATATATTTTTAATATCCCAATGAGTAGAAAAATTAGATTTTCTGACGTTTCGTGGCTTAGTGTAAGTCACTTCTTCAGAGAATAAATAACCACGAAACGTCAGAAAATCTAATTTTTCTACTCATTGGGATATTACAAATATATTATTTATTTATTTATAACAACCTACCCAATGCTCAATTTATTCGAAATGACCAAATCAAATCTTGGTAATGATACCTACAAAGATAATTGATGAACATTAAATAAGCATTTGAATCTAACCGCAAGATGGGATGATTATTGTTTTGAAGGCGTTATACAACTTGAACACACAAAATCTGAGGCATTGAACTGGCTAACAAGTTCCAATTGTAATAATTGTCAGTTTTATTTGCATATGATTTTTAATATGAGTTATCCCAGAACTATTAACCTCAGTCAATTATCAGCTTCTATCATTCGTGTTTTAGTTGGTATCTTTTTATTTTGTTCATTTTGTAGTTTGTAGTGTACTAGGGTGTTTTAGAGCTGATCAATACCCTCAATGTTTCATAAACAATGATAACTAAGGTTAAATTCTATCGACCGAAACTTCTTAGGGGTTAAAATTGTTCGAGTTTTATGTCTCATCATCAATAATTCTCTGCACTACATCACAAAACCCCAAATGAACTATAAATCATCAATCTTTTTCTATTGTTTAATGTTTTCATAATGATAGGTAAAATTTCCTGGGCAAAAGAGTTATATCGAAGAATTGAAAGTCCAATGCTTATGCTTACCGATAAAATCAAATTGATGCGATCAAAGGAAGGCAAAGAAATTACTAAAAAGTATAATAAGTTAGCCGAAGTTTTGATCACCTACGAAATGGTTCATTATCGTAATTGGATTAACCAGGTTAATGGATTATTTAAATGAACTTATTTAACATTAAATTTGCTTGTTACCGATGAGCTAGTTTACTGTAAGAACCTGAATCCAGTTTATAAACACGCTTTGAACCAAGTTTCGTAATTGTAAGCATTTTTTAGCTGAACTCGACTGAATCCATTTCTTATTTCAAAATTTAAACTTACATCACAATCAAACGATTTACGATCCAGTTATTTGTCAAAATAGGTAGTTTAAAGACTTTAACTACCATGGAGATCTTGAACGATTAATCAATCAACTAGACTTCTTGACGGTAAATCTTTAATGATTATGAATAAAAAAGTAGATTCTACGATCACTCTGATCTCTGTTTCCCGAATTATTTCTTGCACAATCACGATTGACTGAGTTAAGTTGCATTATGAAAATTGTATGCAATTTAAACATTTGAAAAATCGTTAAAACATATGCAGTTAGTTAAATTTATTATTATTTCTAGTGTTTTGCACATATGACATGAAATACAGTCGATAGGTACTTTAATGGGACATTTTAATCGATAGGTAACCGAAAATCCAAAAAAAATTGGTTTGTATGCGACCACTATTCAGTAGAGGTTTAAAGTTTAACCATTGTTATCGCATAGAAAAACAGGTTTTTTTAGCACATACTTTCAATCTGTATCTCAATGTATTGATTTCATAGTTTTCTTTTAGACATCTTAATATTGGATTTTAAAAATCTCCATGGAATATTAAAGCAAACAATTGTTTCTCATCAGGCTCTACAATTCTGGATCCAAAATTTCTAATTTTCTGAGACGGACAAAATAATAAGCTGAATTAAGTCATGTTATAAATTGAAAATAGTAAATTTCATATTGATTGATTTATAAAACTACAAATACTAACGAAGTACGTCATTGGTAATCTTAAGAAAAATGATGCATAAAGTACGGGAAATGTTATGTAACTCGAGAGGATAAATTCTAGCAAATAGATAAAATGATCTATAATGTTAGCGGCAACTGATCTGAGAATGGCCTACTCCAATTTATGACATGTATGAACTAAACTTTATTGTTTAGTGTATCATTATACAATATATAAGAATTTAGAGCTGCAAGCTCGCTGAAGAAGTTGTTATTTCAATTAATATTTTCTGTATTTGAATTTTGAACTGGGTTTTTCTCAGAGCTGTACGATAATTTAAAAGTCATTCACAAAATCTGTAACCTTAAAACTGAAGTATTATTGGTTACCAAACCATTCATTTTTTAGAAGTTTTAGAGATCCTGATATCCGTTTTACTAGCTGAGAGTATTGTGAGGGCGATAATTGATATTCGAATTTAATTAAACATCGTTTCGGATAACTAATATAGAATTGTTTTAGTTTTTAACTACACATTTTACCGATACCTTTTCCTTTAAGTTAACCCTTTCCCTTTTCTGTTGTTATCTCATGTCGGACACTAGTTTAACACATATTTTAGTCAGTCACTCTCTAAGTTGTCTCGGAAACCTTCTAATACAAAAATTCAAGTACAAAGAAATCTAGTATGATATGCTCAGTCCATGTTCCATCTGATAAAAACTAAATTGTAACAGTTTAGTTCGTTAAACTATCAGTGATTACTTATCCTTCTTCTATCTTTCTTATTTGACCATGCTATCCCTCATGGTCCATAGGCCGTCGACCAGGAATTTCTAACCAACTTTGTCCTAGGCATTCTTCCCTAGTTGCTCCAAAGTACTATTCATCCTGTTGATGTCTGTCTCCAATTATCATCACGTATTACTTGGTATACCTCTTCTTCTCTTACCTTAGAAATTTCAAGTTAGGGTTTGTTTTGCGATCCAGTTTGATGGTTTCCGTGATTTGAGTCCTATTCACCTCCATTATCTTTTCCTGATTTCCTCCACATTTGGAAACTGGTTTATTCTTTGCCATGTTCTGTTATTGCTGATGGTTGCTGCCTTGCGGATCTGAAGTATAGTGCGTAGACAGTTGTTTATAAATATCTGCACCCTTTTGATAATAGTTGTGGTATTTGTCAAAGTTTCAGCGCCGTAAAATATGCCCGTCTATACATTGGTGTTAAACACTCTGATTTTACAGTTGTCTGACATTTATTTTGAGTTCCAGGTACTCTTCAGTTGCAGGGATTCTCTCCTAACTTCTGCATCAGATCTTCCTTGTTCCTCAATAATGCTACCTAGATATGTAAAGCCTTCTAACTTTTTTAGAGCTTCATCATCATGTATGATTTCGTTGGTGCTCCCTGTATTGTACTGCAAAATCTTCCTTTCACCCTTGTGAGTGTTTAGACTTACTTTTCTGGAGGCTGCTCCCAAATCTTCCCAAATAGAACGAGTAACATATTTGCAGCTGTCTCAACTTCAGTGCTTCGTCTGGTGAGCTATGTTATCCTGCTGCTTTGCCGCTCCTGATTTGTCTAACGACCTTGTCGATTTCTTGTATTGTTGATGCGGCAACATCTTTTAGGAGGTCTGTGTGTACTGCTTCGATGTCCAGTGGGTTTAGTGGATCTGGTTTATTCAAGAGCTCTTCGAAAGTGTTCTACCTACTTGTTCTGCTGTTCATGAACCTTAGTGACTAGTTTTCCTTGTTTGTTCTTGACTGGTCGCTCTGGTTTACCATATTTTATAGCTAGCTTCTTCATTGTATCGTAAAGTTGTGTGATTTTCCCTTCTCCTGCAGCATTTTCCGCTTATCAGTTTTAATGCTCTTCTTCATTAGATTGTTTTCTTCTGTGTATTCTGCCTGTGCCTTGGCTTTCTCTGCTCTTACTAGGCGGTTGTTGATTATATTCTCCTTGTTGTTTTCTTGAATCTCGCAGAAATACGTTCTTTATTCTGGTGCTTGTTGAGGCATAGCATGTCCTGTCATACTTAAGCTACTGCTTCTTTGTGTCCTTTCCAGTTTCCTCTACTCTGAGTAGATCTTGTAAGACCCTTATCTATTGCTGAAACCTATCCTGAGTTCCATATGTAGACCATTCAAATCCCAGAACAACACTTAAATGGTTAAAATGACTTTTCATGGTTAGCACGATTATTATCAAGGACTTTTTCCATGGGATGAAGTTGTTAATCCCATGCACAACTCTCCTTCATCCGGGCGAGGAAGGACTACAGGCAGCGTTATATTTCTTTAATAATTAGTTTGAATAATCCGTTTGATGCAGATTGCCTGGTATCACTTTTAGAGTTTATCAGTATGCAGTATTTAAAAAATATTTACACATCTACTGTGTTGTAGTTAAAGACGAATCCTTTTTAGGTGTATCTCACGGATTCGTCCAAACTGAAGAAGGTCCAGTAAACGAGTGATAATTCCGGAGTAGTGTTCTATTAGCTCAACAATCATTCGTAAATCCTTTCCGGTTAATACTAAGTACTTGAGCACCACATCAAGTTTTGTAAACTTACCAATTTATATATATATATATATATATATAATTTCGGGTCATAATTTTACAGAAAAAAATAATGATATTTTAAATATTCGATATGGGCACTATTATACCTTATCAAACTAAATGCCTTATCAGTCTGCCATCCTTTTTGGAAACATTTTATGTAGTTATATTCGACTAAATATCCTGCTGTTGTCGAATTACTTTTAATTTTAAGTTATCAGGTCACACCAAAAATGAGGGATACTAATTAACGAGCTTAAATTCTTTGTTTTTTGTACTTGTTAAAATAAGAGTAGATTCAACCAACAACTATCAATTAACCTAAAACACTTAAGTTACAAATTGAAGCTTTCTAAAAGTTGATAATAAAACACAATATCCGTAAAATTGTTTCCAATTATTTTTTATCTCCTTTATGTATTTTCCCATGAGGTAAGAACAACCAATGAATTTTAAAACAAATTACAGGCAATCATAAAATATGAGGACCATATATGAAATACTTCATTTGCAAGTATCCATCATTTGTCTTTCACATTCTCTTCCGATTTACAATTCCTTTCTAGTTCAGTTTTTGTTTTCTTCAAGTCAACCTTCATAGGCTTTTGCTGCTAGGTTATGCACTTCCGATTGGTGTTACATACTACTTATATCTGTCGACATAAGTAGTATACAACACAAAATAATTATTATTATGTTTTAGATATTTGAGTAGACAAATTATTCTGAAAGAGCTTCTTAAATGAACCTACTAACTGTATTCTGCTGTTCAGTACTATTCCTCATTTAGCGTAAATGTATGAAAACTCAAATTTCCAGTGTATAAATACTTTGATATGTTCACCAAGATTGATAAAATTTAATTTCTACATTTGGCGTAATGTGATTGGTTTACTTGAAAATCTTTGCCTAATCCTGTAACCACTGATTTTTTAATTCCACAGAATATAAACAGAGATATAAAATCCAGTCATTATCATAAGTTTCTTGTCAGACATTGTATTTACGAACGCTTTCCAGGATTGCCCTCTTTTTCCACTTGTAAACAATTTCTGTTGTTTCGAACTTCCTCTTGCATCAGATTGTATATTGTGCATAAAATAATATACATTTTTCTCACATAGATATCGTTTGCAAAAGTTGGTTTACGTGATCCTTTACTTTATCAAGATGAAGGAACTAATCGTATTATTGTTGCACTTGATCCAGAAATTTTAGTTGTCTATCGAGAAATAGAATTATTATCGAAATGGGGATTAGATATACCTGAAATCGCCGTGGAATTAAGTCAACAAGAAACTCAATTAAAATTACATTACAACAAATTGAAAGTATGTTCGAACGTTTACTCTTCAATTTACTTTATTGCATAGTAGTTTGTAAATGAACCTCATGAAGCGTTTTGTAGTGCTTTGTAAAAATAGAAATGTATGAGAAGTTTTTTGATACTGATTTGCACCAAATTATTTTCAGTCAAACGGGTAATGTGGGCTAATGATCTATTCTAAATATGAATAATTTAACAAAAACAAAACAGATAAGTGTACCTGGTACAGAGATCCTAAGTTCACATTTTCTTAACTGAAAATTTTAGTTTCCGTTCTTAAGTAAGTACACTCTGTTGACATCTTTCTTACAGTTTATCGAGATGATAAATAAATGTACATCTTTCTTCAGATTCTAGCTACTTTCTTTGCTTGTGGTTTCCGCAAATAGTAACTGCCTAAATCATGTTATACAATCAGTAAACACTGACTGAAACTCACTTAAATCAAAAATGTATGGAATATCCTGCCTTATATGAGACCTTTTACTTCCAGTTTGACTTTCCAGTGTTAGTGGTAGTTTGGTAAATTGATAACATCAATGTCGATAGTCATAGGCATTCATCAATCGTCTTAGTAAATCTTGTACTCACAGATTCAAACTTGTATCATTCACTCAGCATGTTGCTTACTAAGGTGTGGTTGATTTTGGAAGTCGTAAACAATTTTAATGGTAAGGCTTTAATAATTTGAAATAATTGATAATGATTTTTATGTTTTCATTTTTAGTTTTTAATATTGATTATACTTGTTGTTATTCTATTATATCATTACCATATATTGTAAACAAGCTTTCTGGTAATGAAAGTTTAACCAGAAAGACAGGTATCTAGCATCTTAGTCTTTATGGCAACAAGTTCATGTTGGCCTTCGATGAATTGCAACCCATATGCCAATTATGATAAAAAAGAAGAAACAGAATAAAAAGTTTAGGTAACCCAGTATGGGTGGAATCTTTTGGATATTTCTTAAACAATAATTTTCCTAGGACCTTTTAATTTGGAGTCTTAATCCTGTAACTGACAAGAGGTATAATTTGCTTGTTTTAGTTTGTTCAATGTCACTAACATTTTATTTATAGTAGCCAAATAGTGGCTTATAAAAGCTTGTGAATTAAGGCAATATCGAGGCATACGCACAGTATGCACATATGCCAATAACAGACTGATCAATTGTAGTCTTAAACCTCAATGGGAAGATACAAGCAAAGCAATACTAAGTGAATCTATTAGTTATCAATTTTGAGTGGCTTTTCCATCAATCAGGAACATCAACGAATTGATATCTTTAGATTTTCTTCCATTTTTTTCCCAACCTAAAATACTTAAACAGTCGTTTTGTCTTCATTTTGTTGACTATTTAGTCAATGTTGACCAGTATAAATGAAATAGAAGTTAATCTAGATCCAATGTTTATCAAATTAATGCGAGCACAGTTCGCACATTTGCAAAATTTATTAAAACCTGGTTTATCTTTATTGAACTGGACAAGTCTTGGAATCAACCATTTTATTGATGATGTAACCAGTTATATAAATCAGTTGAAGTTACTCAGTGAACGTGCAAATGATCTGAAGAAATACCGAATAGAACAAGTAAGCTGAGAAACAGGATGATTAATAAACTTTTTTAACATGTATCTTATGATGATGTAGACTCACTGACATTCGCTTCAATATCATTGAAAAATGTCGTGTATTGAATTATTTTCTTGAAACCGTATAGCTATATAATTGGTGTTGGTTAAATTCTGCAAAGAAAATATATATATATATATATATATATATATATATATATATATATATATAATGAAACATTAAGATCATGGTAGAAGTAGAGGTTGCACCCGTCTCTTTTGCACACACAATTCTGGTTTTCCTAGATGTATAGCTATTGCTGCAGCACTGTTAAAAGGATGCAATGTAGTTATCTTTGGAAGACTTCTACTTACCTTGTAGATGACTTTGAACGTAGAGCCTTCTTTTATTGAGTGACCTGTGCTGACAAGGTGTGCAATTAATAAGCTTCTTATTGAGCCGTTTTCTCCTATTCTTAGCCACGTCAGATAATCTTCTTGGATTCTTTTGGATAACGTATGCATCGAACAACTATATACCTAGCTCCACATGAGCAGGTAAATTGTCACATGCACATTGAGTTGGTCCGATGTGATAATTTATCTTTAAGATTACTAGTAAACAATGATCAGCTGGATAATACTATTCGCAGCGTTGCCGCGAAGAATGCTCTTTTTAAAGAACCTCCAACTGGTTTATTTCAGTTTCAACGATCCTCCTGATTACATTTAATCTCAATTTCAACATTTTATGCAATTAGTTCCCTTTTTTGAATTTAAACAAAGCCAGAACAAACATTGATGCAGAATATTAGGAATTCATTATATTTCGTGGTTTCTCATTAGCTGCTTACAACCAAATATGTATTAGATTCTAACACCAAATAACCTCTGACCTGTTCTTGCATATATATATATATATATATATATATATATATATATATATATATATATATATATATATATAGTTATTATTGATAACCCTTGTCATTCCAATTCTTTACATTCACTTATGTAAATTGTTTAGTACTATTTCTCACCTTAATGTAAAATTCTAATACATATTTGGTTGTAAGCAGCTAAAGAGAAACCACGAAATATAATGAATTCCCAATATTCTGCATCAATGTTTGTTCTGGCTTTATTTAAATTCAACATTTTATCTTGTCACTCTAAGCCACCATATCTTAATGATAATTTCCCTATCTATCTTTTGATGAATACTTAAGCCATTAACAATCAAATGATTATTAAGGTTTCCTTGTTTAAAAGTTTCTTTTTTAATACCATTGTTTATTTTACCTGACTGTCACTATGTCTAACAGAAATTTATTATCAGTATTAATATAACTATCATCCTGAAAAATAAGTATATATATTTACGATTGTACAGCTTTGAAAATGAATTCACTGAAAAGAGAACTCTTCGCTGAACTAATCTTTCTTATTTAAATTATATGAACCGGCTCAGTGGTCTAGTGGTTAAGTGCTTGCGCGCGAAACCAGTAGGTTTTGAGTTCGAATATCGCAGGGGGCGAGGTCGTGGATGCGCATTGCTGAGAAGGCCCTCAATAGTACGAAGCGGCCGTCCAGTGCTTCCAGGTTTTCCATGGTGGTCTAGCTTTAACTGACTCATGATCTTAACCATTGAAATTACTATAATATCCGCAATAACACATCTGATACTAAATTATATGAGTCAAACATGTTACACCAGTATATAGTTATGGAGATTGTTACGTTTTTATTGAGATCATGAACCGATCAATTTTAGACCACATCGAAAACTTGGAAGCACTAGGTGGCTGTTTCGTCCTGATACGAGACTTCTTGGCAGTGCTTATCCACGACTCCTCTCGCGGGACTCTAAACCAAGACCTTCTTTCGCGCGCGGACCATTAAATCCTGGTTGCTGTTATTTAAATACAAAGGAAGAACTAAAGCATTTGGATCTCGTACAGTTTGTCATAGTTTAACCGTCGGTTAACCATAAACATACTATGATACTGCAAGGGAGCAAATTAAAATAAATGACATTCTTCAATGTACTGTTTGAATTATCGATTTACTGGAACTTTAAGTACTAACAGTTTCACATTTGCTACTTTAACTCTACCCATTGTGTCGAATTATTCGTTTACAACATAGAATCGGCACATTCTGATTTTTACCCAAGAAAACATTTTACCCCTTACAAACTGATATTTTAGGTATTCGTAGTTGAAATTCATTCTTGATTTACAAACCTACTCTCAGAGGAACTCAATTTACTCAGTACATGGAAAGACGAATATAAGATGGAAGTGGAACTTTTAAAAAATCAACATTTTGATTTACATCTGGTTCCCAGACATTTGTTCGTTTTAACTTTTTAGATTTTAAACGAAATATCTAATATAACTTTATGTGAACTAAGTGATTCGGAACCGTGGACCATAGATTATTTCTTAGAACATACCAATTATCTGTGTAGTAAAGCTGGGGATATCTTACAAATCAAAAGTCAAGTTATTCAAGATTCAGTGCATGAATTAATTGACATGCTTTGCGGTGAGTATCGATTACAGTTGATGCAAGAAGAGGAAAAGGACGAAAGAAACGCGACTTGTATCAAAGGATCTGGAAAATCAACACTATCTTCACAAAAGTCAATATACTCCGGTAATTGGATTCACTTTAATAATGGTGATTCATGAATACACCCTATATATTTTAATCACTAATGTATAGGAACATGCAGAAACGATGCTTCATGCACACTCTCGTTTACCTATAACATATTAAAAGTATTTTCTGGTTAGTGCTAGAATCAAGGAGCCACAGTGATTGCTTTACCCAATATGAATCTTGAAAGTTCAATGCAATATGATCTACTTAAATACCACAATAGAATTTAATTTTTAAATAAATTGTTCTAGAAGAGGAAATTTGTGAAACGAGTGACATACATAGACATGAGAGTCAGAAGAACAGATATAAACATCATTAACCTAACAGCTGAAATGAAATAGATGTCATTCTAATGATAATTAAGAGTTCTGGGCAGGAACAACCTCTATAAAATTAAGTAGAAATAGTTCGGTCAATGTAAAGGGGAACTACAATAAAAATAGAGGTATGACTAAGAGAAGGTTCTAATAGATTGCTTTTGTATATACAAGATGGATTTTAAATTTTGGACAGTGAATGTTTCTGTAGTGTAAATTAGATTTAGTCGTTTCGCACTTGAAATTTTCAACTGGATTGTTTAAATGTCAAAAATTGGATCTGAAGCTGATTATATTGCAGAATAGTGAGCGTAAATGATCTGATTAGTTTTTCACTAAGCAGTGGTAGTATATATTCTAGACTAGGACGAAGATAATGTTTCGTCAATGGACCAATTTACATCGCTTGGCAGGATTAAGTGAAGTAGTCCATATATATAGGAATAGTCAGTAATGCAAACTCAACTTTCACTCACTGACATATAGGAGGATGAATGTTCCAGCTATGTCTAGGATCAGTCAAAGTGGAACTCCAGGATTACATTCCTCATGCAGACCACATAGTCTGCGCTTTTCCAAATTTTGAAGGCTTTAATCAACCGAAGTTTATGGATGTTATTAAGGAAGTATATTTTGTTATTGTAGGTATCATTACCACGATTTGACCTGATAATTTCGAATAAATTGAACATTGGGTAGATTGTTATAAATAAATCAATATATTTGTAATATCCCGATAAGCAGAAAAATTAGAGTTTCTGACGTTACGTGACTCAGTGTAAGCCACTTCTTCAGAGAATAAATAAAGAAATCAAAATTAATCCAAGTTTAAATAGTACAAAAGAACAATGCAAAAATATTATCTGCGATCCATCAAAAAAACAGGGATATTTTATTCTTTTCGACATGTCCACAAGCTATGCTTCAATTATTTCAGTTTTATTTTTTTCTCTATCAGGCTTTAGAAATTAATTTAATTTATTTACTTGTAAATGAATCGAAAGAAATCTCTCTTGATTTAATGAACCCCTTGCTGATCATTCCTGAAAGTTTCTTACTGCTATAACGATGTCGAAGAGCATTATTTATTGACAAATTTAATTAAATGTTTTTATTTTATAAAAAAATTGTTTAGAGAGTGCAGTTTCTAGGACAACAGGTGCAAAAAGTGCAAGAGAATGTCGTAAACGATTAATTGAAGATGCTGCACTCAGGGTATTAGAACATTTTCATCAGAGAACTGTGGATACTTTAACTAAATTAATTCGTAATACTTTGGATAATCTTCGTAAATGTTTAACTTTGCCTTCAATTTTAGCCTATGGTTAGTTGGTGATTCTTTATACTGTATTTTGCATTGTTCAATTTAAATTGGATTTTAAATGATTTTAAGGAATAATGGGATATTTTATCATGAAATTTATGTCAGATGAATTAGAATTGAAAGTAGTAAATTGAGCTGAAATAGAGGTTTTGATTAATGTAGGATTTACGAACAGTACCATCCCATGAAATAATTGTAACTGAATCTAAAATTCTTTGTGTTACTGGAACTCGACCTATGCTTTGATCAAACATTAAACTATAAGATTATTGAACTATCGATATTCAAGTTGACGATTCCCTGAAAATTAAGTACTCAAAATGAAAAAAATTGGTCACATTTTTTCGTAACGAAGACTTTGGTGTTTTAAAGAAATTTTAATTAAAAACTAGGTCACATATTCATGATGCTGATTAAGAACACAATCATCTGAATCAGCTTAATAAATATTTCCAATCTTAGTAAATATGTTTACAAATGCTTACTCAAGTTCTGAATTACGAACTACACTAGGTCAATTTTTAATGTTCTAAAGGATCACTAGTGTGTACAAGTTAAAATACTAATTTTTATCGGAATATTAACTCAAGGTTTTACAATTTTTATTGTTTCTACTGTCATTGGTTGATGATGATTATCATGACATAGGTTTGCTCAATTTTCTACAAAACTAAACTATGAATCTTGGAAATAGAAAGAACTGAGTGCTCAAAGTTAATTAAATAGCTCATCAGAAAGCTTTACTCCGGTGAAAAAACTAATAAACAATTCGTATAAAAATTCACTTCGTATTGTTTGGCTTGTATCTTCCCATTGAGGTTTAAGACTACAATTGATCAGTCTGTTATTGGCATATGTGCATACTGTGCGTATGCCTCGATATTGCCTTAATTCACAAGCTTATCGTAGTGTAAGCAATGATGGATAGTGGCTAGCAGTGGAATCCAGGACGCGCGTTTCGTCCTATTTGGGACTCGTCATCTGGATGTACCTACATCTCAGAGTTGATGTTCACTCTGGGACTCGAACTCAGTATCATTCGCTTCGAACACCGTCGCGTTATCCAGGACTCAGTAGCTGAGTGGATAGTCCCAAAAAGTCGAAACGCGCGTCCTCATATCCACTGCTAGCCACTATCCATCATTGCTTACACTACACAATTCGTACAAAATCTTACAAAAAACACTACCAATCGTTTATTTTATGAATAAAAGTGCACAATGATTGATTGTTTTTGTAGGCCAATTGTAGTTATAACCATGAAAATTTAGTCAATGTACAACTAAATGAATCCACCAGATAGAAACTGGATCGTGAGGTTGAAAGACATTAATTTGCTACATTTGGCTTTAAAACAGGATAAATATACCTTTACGATGATCCAAACTGTATACCGACAATTACCACTAGTTTGGGTCACCTTACAGTCAAGCTTACACTTTTCATGAAACTGAAACCAGTAGTTATTGGTCTGATAAATGTAAGATGAGTATGATACTAATACACTGAAATCAATATAACGTATTTAGATTACAGGTGTATGATGATCTCTAACACGTGTCCCTAAACGTCTTACGTGACGGAAATGATGATGAGTCTATAAACGTAGTTCGTCCCATCAGCATATAGTTTCTTTTTATTTGCAATTGTTGTGACAATGGAGACGACTAGTATATTTAAATCATGATCACTTAATCTACCTGCTAAATTAGTTTTTTCTACCCTCAACATCGCAAAACCGTTGTTCATTGATTTCTGTTTATAAGCTAATATTCATATGATGCCGTTCGAATAACACATCAAATTTATGAAACAACTATGACGGCCAACTTTAAAACAATGCACCCTTAAATCATCAATTTATAAAAAGGTATTTCTTTGATAATTCATATTTTACTGCATACTATTAGCCAACTTAACATATATCATTAATATTTCTCATTTCAGATAGTGTGAATTCAGATGGATCTGTTCAACTTTATTTCTCATGCCATGCACAGTTATCCATACCATCAATTGTACTACATCCGTCTCTTGATGATTTTCAGAAAGCGTTGAATACTGCTACACATTTAATTATATCTGTTACTCGTCACATTTCAGTATGGGATTTAAGACTACGTAATCCATTTGGCTTAAAAGTTAGTTTATTTTGTCTGTTATTTATTATTAAATAATATCCTAATATCAATGACGTCCTTGCATCATGATGATATTTATTGACATAATAAATAAACCCTGGTGAATAAAATTGGACAACAGTGTGATATATTTGGAATAAACAAAGTGAACAATCTAGCAAATTGGTCTTCAGTTAAGTCAAATCTGTTTTCATGAAATGAAGCAATCTCTTGCAATAGATTTAAACGAGACAGATAAGCCCTATTTAAGATCAATTTTTAATTAATTGAATATCTATCATTTACAGTTAGGTTGTAAACGAATCAACTATAAACATGTCTGACTTCTTTGTTTTAAACCAAAAATGTTATATTTTAGTCTAATTTTGTTTCCCACTGTAAACTAACAAACCTTGTTGAAAGGGGTTTCTCTCTTTATAGGAGCATTCTAAAGTTGAAGAAAGCTTTTCATCAATTGAAGAAGAAAAAAAATTAAGTCAAACAGACAGTTCAACACATTCGGGTAATGAATGGACTAGAGAAGTAACTGTATCATCTGGAACTAATGAACTAATCACATATACAACGGATGAGCGCTTCAGTGTTGCAGATGATGAATATGAAAATAAAGATGATGAAAATTACTTTAATAAAATTTCTCAAAATAAGGAAATAAATAAACTAAGGGGTATGCTTACAAATGCTTTTTCATCGATTCAACAGGTAAGCTACAAAATTTCATATTTTCTTAATTTGTAAGACAAGCGGGGTTTTGATGGAATATGTAAAGATATCCAAAGTCTGTTACTAAATCAAAATTTAGGACTCGAAAGTCTAGGTGATTCGTTTTTATAAGTAGAGCACTATATAGTCTTTGATGATATCGATTTAAACCTTTCTGAATCCCTTAAATGAAAAAAATTGTCACTGAGAAGATGTTATATTTTTGCTAAAAACCCTGATAACTAATAACACTAATATATGTTCTCCCTTTCTTCGATGGGTCGAACTTGCAAGTCTTAGATTACATAATATCTACGGTGTTTTAGAAATATGAACACGAGTGAGTTTTAGAAGTTGCTATAGCCCTTATAAGAAACTGTACCAACCAGCAATAATTAAATAGGAATTACAAAGAAAAGTGTGTATGTAGAACACTAATTATTAAAATGCTTTATTTAAAAATGTAGAGATTAGAAATTTAGAATCGATTGGTGACTGTTGGAGTCATTGATGTAATATTATCGTACTTGAATTTGTACATAAGACTGCTGATGTATTACAGTCAGAACTTATTGTTCACTCTGTAGTGAACAAGAACACCATTGGGGAGAATCGAATGTATTAAATAACAAATTACAGTAAAATCTAACAACCATATAGTAAATGCTCCATTTGCAAAATGTTTATCAATAGTCTCAAATGACTCAGAATTCCTTTGTTCTTGCATTTTCATACAAATTGCATTCTTTCTTCATTCTTTATTGTTCGATCTGCTGCCAGACATTCTGTTCACGACTCACGTCATGTACTACTTATGTCTACATAAGTAGCACACACCACAACTCCATTCACCTACTGGACGTCAAACATGGCGGATCGTAAAATCGAGTAGCTAAAATTATTAGCCGAATTGTAAACGTGAGTGGCCGAATTCTAAACCAATGAATTTAATAGCACAACTTGCCAACGAATGACCTACTGAAACTTTTCTTCTAACTGGATGTCTGTTTAATTGATGTCTGTACAATCAAGGACACTAACGTATCCACAGAATTAGATTACTGATATGCATTTATTCCTATCCATTTTCACCCAACATAATGTATCATACTCAACAGATGAAATAACATGAGTAGTTTCGCATCATTGTTTCAGTTTTTTTGTTTTATATGACTTAGTTTACGGCTACCCATTCTAATTCAGTCCATCCTGACCAGTGCCACACTTCTTTATCGTCAGTCTTAAAATTTCCACATTGTTTCCCTTTGACTAGTCTCTCTAGCCTCTTTCACAAATGTAGCTAGTGTTGGAAACTAAGATGCTTACATTCAATACAAAACTGAACAGTAAACAACTCTGAAAAATTTGGTGTCGTCAAACAGATAAAGAATTTTATTTTGATAAACATATCTAGAGCCGGGTGTGTTTGTTCACTTAACCTTATTCACCCAGAAGATGAGCTTATCGAATATTTAGAGATTTAGTATCCTGATCCAAAAAACCTCGTTTTGTGCTTATAGGTTAACATCGGATTGCAAAAGCTCCATCTATCAACTTGATCTCATTCATCAATGATTATGTTTCAATGTCGTTGAGCAACACTGTCGATATCTGAATGATACTGGAGACACAACGAAAAATTGTGTTTTTATGTAACTAGCCACTAGCTGAAGTTCGGACCTACTAAGTCTCACCAAAAGTTATTTAAATTACTACAGAAACCCGAACCATTGTATCTAGCAGCTATTAACTTTTGAACTTTTGACTACTTTTTTAGAGAATGTCCTTTGAAAAGGATTAATAAAACATTTGTCAGGTTGTTACTGAACTATGCATGTGGAAATAATCCGTAATTGAATTTAGTGTCTTAAAAAAAGCCTAGAAAATTTCGGTGTATGACAAAACACTTTTAAACAAGTACTTGAAGGCAGTATTACCTTACCAACTTTAGACACGATAAAGAGCACAGTCAGCTTTAACATATTTTGATAAAGAATGATCAATATAGTCCTGAAGCGCTAACTTCAGAGGGTTTTATGAATTATATTCCAAGTTTGTTAGTTATACTGTGTTAGGCGGTAAAAAGTTGATCGCAATTAGACTGTTGATTGTTTCAGTTTACAGGAAAAATGTTCTTGTGTAATAACCATTAAAATATCAGCTTAACAAGTATAGTTTAAAAAAGGCTAAGATTCATTTTCACTTAAATGTTGAGTAAACCTTAGAGTGAAGATATCTGTAAATATAAAGTTTAAAATCTATCCATATGAGTGAAGATCAATTCTTATTTCCCTTCCGTATCTCTGGAACAGAGAAATTTAGCTGCATTCCATTGTATCCCTGTATCATGGGCTAAAACTGAATTATGATTACATTGACAGAAAGCTCTAGAGAAAATGTTTATGATCTAAGCTGATGCCTGATGCTTCAGAACTACTAGCGACTTATTATCTACAAAAGCTATGTTAAGTTGTAGTTTTCTAAAGAATTCCAACTTCCTTTGATCAACAGTATGAATTTCGAATTGGTAACAGTACGATTTGATATGACTCACTTATCTGGATGTTCAATCAGACATTTCGGCAAGGAACGTACAACCATGAAGATTCATTGACACAAACAAACAGAAATAATGATTATTCTATTTTTTTTAATTATGCTCTGTTTTATTTGAATATAGCGTGATCAGATAATGTAAAAGTTTGGACAACATTAAAATTCAATAGTTCGTCATATAACTTCATGAATTCGAACTGACATTGTAAATGTTGAATAATTTTTAAATTTTTTTGTAACTTCACATGTTCCCTCTTCTATTATAGAGTGCGAAATCCTCACTTCGACATTTTGATCAATATAAATCGTTATGGCAGAAATCGAAAACCGAAGAATTTGACAAATTCATGTCAAATAATCCATCGGTGATTGATTTTGAAGAAGTTATTCAACACTTTTATGAGAAAGTAAGTTGATTAATTGGATTATCGGATTCTGTCTTATCCTTGTTTTGGAAGAAAAAACCCCTTCAAAATGGGAGGTTTGTAAGATTTATGGGTCAAAAACGTTTACATGAATTTCAGGAAGATTTTTTCAGTGATTGGCTATCAATGTAATGAAGAACAATCTTCTACGACCTGTAATATTCAAGGTTGCTTTAATTGTATCGACTCATTACTTTTGACAAACTACTAAGTTCATTTTACAATTACAAATGGCTTACATATTTGACTTTAGTCAAATCATAAGCGGTATATGTTTTATAAGAGCACGTTAAAACTGAAAGTTGAGTGAGGGTAGCTCAAACGTCCATAACTGGTTTCTAGTGCGTGAACACTTCTTATCGTCTACCATTTAAATTGGCCTTTCTTCAGATCACTCATATAGTCTAATTACTTTTAATGTGAATATTACAAAAACTAAAGGTATATTAAATTTGACATACTTCCTACTGTAAATCGAATAAAAAATGAAAATATTAACCGAATAGTCGTCAGCATAATTGGGTTGATTCTGTGTTTTCCTTTAAATGTTTGAATAGGTGAAAGGTAAACACGATATGAATATTTAGCTGGATGACCTTTAGTTTGATTAGGCACTGATAAAATACAAGAACTTCCAAAATTATATACTGTTTATCATTGAATTCTAATCTAAAACTTACATCTCGAAGAAATACTCTGAAATTACTAAATTCTTCCAGAACAAAGAAAACCGATATAAGATTTCGTGTCTCAACAAGTCTAACTCACTGATAAATTGAAAAAAGTCGCTTGTAAACATTTTTAATAATGAAATTTACATATAATTAGAAAACAGTCGGATGTGACTGGCATTTAATTTTGATAGGAGTTTTGTTCTCTGAGCTTATGCTAAACAACTTTGAGTAATGATTAACGGTAAATTCACATTGCTCAAGATTAACATCCGGTACATTTTTTAGATAATTCGAATGTGTATATCATAAGTGAAATGTTAATAATTAATGTCAGATTGATAAAATGAAATTTCTATATATATATATATATATATATATATATATATATATATATATATACATTTCTATTTTATCTTGAGGTGAAAATTGAGTAGTGGACTGTTATAACAGCTAACTGGTGTATATTCATCAACCAAGCCGCATAAAAATTTCTGATTTAAATGAAATTCCAAAACAATTACATGAGATTCTAACAACTGCTAAATTTGGAGCATTTGCTAATCACAGTGTTATAGGGTTCGCGTTTTAGACAAAATAAAAATATCGTACATAATAAATAGTTTAAAGCTATCACAATTTGAATGCTTTATTTTCTTTTGAGAATTTCTAACCATTATACAGTAATTCAAGATTTTTCAATGTACTTCCTGTAGGATAAATTAATTTCTAATGAGCCCGATGTATGTGATTGCAGTCCACTAGCAATTTATACCGACCACTTAAAAGATGGATTACTTGCAGAAACAAGAAATTGGCGCTTAGAATACGGGAGATTATGCAGTTCAAAATTTAAAACTCAAGTTGAATCCTTGTTTGCAACGATTGAAAAGTATGAGAAGATCTTATCAAGACCTATCAATGATTTAGATGATATACGAATACTGATGAATGCGTTGAAGGTGAAAAATGGTCTATTTTCTATAAATATTTTAGTCTAATCAGTTGTTAGTTCGGAAATGGAATTCAGCTAGTTAATTGTATCGGTTACTAACAAAATAATGTTACTTTAGAACGCTTTCCGCAAGTTATTATTTCAAGACTGTTGACCCATTTCCCATAGCATTGCAACCGATTAAGTCATTTCTGAACATATTAAGTATTAGGATAAGCGTCCTAACCTTCATGCTGCTATAACGTTAAAGTTTTGTATGTTGACCTCAGTATCTTACATTTATACTTAAACTACATTGGTAGAGTCTATCAGTAAATTGAAATTTGATAGGATTACTGAATAAAAAGGTGATTTGTTTTCAGAAAACGTTAGTTAAAAGATGGTCGGGAACACTTGAGTGATTTTCAATTACCTTACAGTTACACACTATTCCTATGGTCTTCATTTCTTAAGAAAGCACAGCATTTCTCTTGTAATAGCCATAAAATAGCAATTTTCCGCGATATTAACTTCCATAATCATCCGAAGCCTAATCGAAGCTTTAGAACATCAAACCTAAGAAAATTGAACAGATTTTGAAGAAAACTTTGCATATATTGTTTGAAAGTATGGTGCTTGTCAGGTTGCGAGTAAGACATACTGATGTCCTGCTATGACACTATTCATTCACTTAGAAGCGATATTCAACTCCATTCGTTTAAAAATCTCTGGTTAATATATGTTATTGAGCAGAGTATACAAGAGTGAATAAACATGCCGAATTCTTTTGACTATAATACTACTAAACAAGTCAGACTTAGAGATATTATGTCACATAATGTCTACCTGCGTTGATACGATTTCCTAACATTTATTCAATTTTAACATAGAAAACTGGGAGATGAAAGCCTTGAGTAAAAATTGATTTCTATTCTTGTCCTATTGAATAAAAGATGTCTTAGATTAACCTTTTGTCCACCCCCATTGCTTGGGCGTTTTCGCTACTATGACAAATAATGTCTAGACAGTAGTAATTCCCTCTTCTTACTCCTTAAAACTCTAAGTGTCATCAATCCGATAAAAGATTGACAAATATTTTAAGTTGTTCCTTTTTAAACCGGTGTTTAATATATTTCGAGGTTGTGACTCTACCAATTATTGCTGATCCCTTTATTGGATGAAAATAATTAAAACTTCTTTGCTTTACTGAAGTTAATTGCATACTTTATAATCAAAGTTATCGTTTCTCTTCTGTCTGCATTATAATGATATTCAAATAATAGCCATGAGTTTATGTGCATTCTTAAAAGAATCAAAATGATAGCTTTGAAATACACTTGTCTCTCGGAAGATCGGTAATTCACGTTTTTACTCTTTGTTTATGCAATTATTAGTTGTTGTAATAATCACGTGCTGCAATCGTAAGATTTGGGAAGAATAAAGACACGTTACCCAATAAACGTTAAAACACATTTTGATCTTATTATTTATGTCGATGTTATGGGTTAATGTACCTTGGAAGTTTTTTGTCTTGGGTCTTGTCATAAGAAATCCATCATTGATAGACTTGCGATAAAATATTTCGCTATGAGCTGAAAGAGTCTCTTAACAAGTAATTATATAACTTGAATAGGATTTACGTGAAATGGAAGCAAACGTTGACTTACAACTTGGACCTATTGAAGAATCCTATTCTTTACTGGCTAAACATTCAATTCCAGTTGATAAAGAAGAAACTGATAAAGCAGATACTTTGCGCTATGAATGGGACAAATTATGTAAACAAATGCTAAAAGTACAAAATCAGTTAGTTGACGTTCAACCAGAATTTCGCAATAATTTATTAGAAAATATAACAATGTTTAATGAAAATTGTTTAACATTCTACGACGATTATGATAAAGTAAGTGGGTAGAAATCATGTGAACTCTGTCTTTATAAGTGCCCATTGATGAAAGGATAGTATTTTAAGTTACATATTTTAAACTCATGTGTTTATCAAATTTTCTTAGACATTAATTTTGTGCATCAATCTCAACGTTCATTAAACTTTATATTTGATTGTAAAACATAACTAACAGGAATGTTCGGATCTACCATTCATCCTTGATAGAACAAGCTGAAAAAGTCTGTTCTAAAGTGTAGAATATTGTTTTTTCTTTTATGGAAGTCATTCACTGACCATTGAAAAACCAATAATTACATCTACTTATCTCTAGGGAAATATCTTGAAAAAAATGTCTTCCATTCCTGAAAATCATTTTTGACTAAAACGGTTGTAGTTTGTAAAGTTGAAGTTCATATAAAAAGAATTCATTTAATTAAGTAGGAACCAATAAATTAATATCTTAAAATAAAATGGGTTAATCCAAAAATTTTTATAACTGAAGATTATCAGAAAACATTTCATATAAATTTTATCCCTTACTAGAACTAGACCCATCCAGATATTTTGATATTTGTTTATCTTTAAGGAGTATACTGTGCATGACTAATTTCAAAATTATTTCCTTGTTGTTAAGGTGGAGAAGCAGTTCAAGATTTAAAGAACTCTCTCACATACGTGCTACGACTATATCAATAGTCTTTGAAAAATAATGAAGTAAAGGAAATAGAAAGTACATACTTACTAATAAACTGTTCTAATAACTATCAGTAACTCCTAGTTATTAGTTTCTTATTGCTCTTTCGATTATAATACCGTTTCATTCAAACTGTAGCTGCCAAACGCTTTATACGTACTAAACAGATACTTGGAATTGGATATTAACTTAGGTTTATATCATTGTCGATATGGCTGTAGTCTAGTCTCATTTTGTTTTTTTGTGCAATCCTAAATGTATAAAGCAGTTGGTAGTAATAGATACACGTTACGACGAGACCAGTTTTTAGCATTCTGAGCACGTATTTATTTAAATTCGAATTTGTTTCTTTACATCCGGATGTTCATTATTAGATTAGACAATTGAACTTTATCGAAAGTGATTCATTATATTCTTGAAAAAATCTCACATAGAATTGGAAAAATATCAGTCAGATTTTACCGTCAATAATAACATCGATTTGGTTTATACCACGTTTTTAGATAGCCACTTTTGCTCTTCTGTTATCTGACTGATTTTTTGAGAAATAGTCTATCTTCTTTAAAGCAAGTTGAGAGGAACAGAAAAAACATAATCGAGAAAAAATTCTGTTTTTTTCAATAGGCTGTTTTTTACGAATTACTGTACATAAGATGTTCTTTTTCGTTTCAAACTTGAAAAAAACGAAATAAGGTTGGACCAATGGTTAGAGGCATACCACCACGAGAAGCATCTGATCGTCTTATTATATTTCAAAATCGTTTTGATAATCTTTATCGCAGCTATATCACGTATAGTGCAGGTGAACAGCTTTTTGGACTGCCGATTACAGAGCATACTCGGTTAGATGACATTAGAAAACAATTAAACCTTCTACAAAAACTTTACTTATTGTATAACAGTGTTTTGAACAAAACAGCTGGCTATTATGACATACCGTGGTCCGATGTTAAAATTGATGTAATTTCTCAAGAACTGCAAGACTTTGAAAATCGCTGCCTTAAATTACCAAAAGCTTTGCGTGAATATCCTGCATACGATGATTTGAGGCAGACGTTGGCTAATTTTGACCAGATCATCCCATTGTTAGAGTTAATGACTAATCCAGCTATGCGTGAGAGACATTGGAAACGCTTGGCTACCTTAACTGGACGATCTTTCAATGTTGACGATAGTGAATTTACTTTGCGAAATATACTTGAAGCTCCTTTACTTGAACACTATGAAGACGTTGAAGATATTTGTATATCAGCTATTAAAGAGCAAGATATTGAGCGAAAACTAATTAATTTAAAATCCGAATGGAGTGCACAAGAATTTGAATTTGTTCAATTTAAACATCGTGGTGAATTGTTGCTACGAGGTGACCACACTTTGGAATTGATTAACTTAATGGAGGACTCGTTGATGGCCCTTGCCTCTCTTTTAAGTAATCGCTACAATGCGCCATTCCGCAAAGATATACAAAATTTCATCTCACGTTTGTCAAATTCTAACGAAATTATTGAACAGTGGTTGGCAGTACAAAATTTATGGATTTATCTTGAAGCAGTTTTCATTGGTGGTGATATAGCACGTCAACTTCCACAAGAAGCTAAACGCTTCGCGAATGTAGATAAATCATGGTGTCGCATTATGCAAAGAGCTCATGAGACAACGCATGTTTTAACATGCTGTGTTGGCGATGAAATGCTTAGCCATCTATTACCACATCTAATGGAACAGTTAGAATTATGTCAGAAAAGTTTAACTGGGTGAGTCTCATCTTTAATTTTGTAACTTTAGCAGAGTTTGATTACATCTAGTTTTTTAAAAGTAACTAAAATTTATTCATTTTTAGAAAATTTCATAACCTTTCTTAGTCAGAAAACGTTAGGTCATCATTTTTAGTGTATTCAAAGCGATGATCACTAACATTGTTTTTCGCACAGTAACTTAAACTGATGCACACATGTCTAACATAATCTACAAATGGCTAAGTGACTGAAGTTTAACTGAATCCCAATGTCCCTCTCGAGACCATAGGTTGTCGATCAAGGGTTTCCGAAACTATCTATTCTGGGATTTTCTTACAACTTGTTGCTTCGTCATATTATTTGACTTGACGTTTGCTTCCATTTCTTTGCTCTGTATCTTCTTTTGTTAGCCTCTGTTTCTTCTTGCTTTAAGATTCAAAGTCAAAGTTTGCCTTGTGATTCAGCTACACGGTTTTCGTAAAGCGTGCCTTGTCCCACCCCCAGAGTCTTTACCTAATTACCGCCTCAACTGACGTTTGATATGTTCTCTGCCACAGCACGTTGTTGCTAGTAGTCTCTTGCCGATAGATCTTGAGTTCTTTACAAATACCCGTAATTATATGGTGATGGCGGTGATCGTTCTCACAGTTTAAGTTCAGTACAATAAGACCACTTTAATGTTAGTGTTGAGAATTTCGACTTTGGTTTTCAGATATTCTTCAATTGCAATAATCTTTACCTTGATTTCCCGATTCATCCCTTCATATATGCACCTAATCCTCTTTATTTATTGATAACGCGTCTACTTCTTCTACAGTATTGCCATCAAGTATGGTTTGGTTAGTGCTGACTCTGCTGTACTTCGAGATCTTCCTTTTTTCATTGTGAATGTTGGTGCTTACTGCTCTTGAAACTGGCGCATTTGTTGTTACTTGTTATCCGATAGAAGGGCTAAATCATCTCAAGTTTAAATAATCTAGCTGTGTTCAATGTGTCCACCGAATCGCGTTCTTCTTCTAAAATGTGAAGGTCTTCCTAATTCAATCAACATCCAACAGAAAGAGAAAAACCAAAACTATGCAACCTTGTTTCACACCAGTCTCCACCTAAAATTCACCTTCCAGCTGGTCTCCTTGTGTGAATTTCCAGTGCAATCTGTCAGAGAAGTTTCATATGAAGAAGATGCCGAAGTTACTGTATAGATATTAGTTCCATTCATATGTTGTTAAACACTGATTGACAGTCACAATTCTGTTGTTATATGGTTGATCCTTAATCAGGCCGACTTTTTGACCTGGAAATTGGGCGTCTACTGAACCTTTTATTTTGTTCCGTGACACCATGTTGAAAATGTATCGTGTTTCCGACAGTATTGCGGTCCCTTTAAAGTTCTTCCATACTGCAACCTTTTTCTGTATCTCAATCAGTTATTACTATGTCCAATCTATCAATAGTTTTTCTGTTGTCTTCCTGTTCGTCTTTTCTTGAATCCTTCTCATGCTGCCTTCAGAAATCCTTTGTATATTCAGATGGTTCTTGGGGAACAGCAGCTCCAGGTATGTTGAAGTTATTGCTTCTTTAATCCCTTTTCAATTGCTCTTCATAGTGTTTTGAGTTCTTATAGTAGATCTTGTATGGCTTGGATTCTATTTCTAAGAGATATCTTGTAGTTGTTTAGCTCGTTAGCATCTCACAGGAAGACTGTGTTACACTTTTGTAGTATTGCTTGCCCAAATATTTCATGCTTCTCTAGCTTCAGTTTTATTTTGCCCACAACCACTTGATGATCTAAAACTATATCATCTCCTGTCTTTTTTCTTATCTTTCTGATAGACCTGAATTTTCTACTGATTCTTATGTGATTGATGTGCTTTAAGATTTTATATATATATATATATATATATATATATATATATATATATATATTAATTAGGTGATTTTATTGCAACAGTGATGAAGTTATATCCCATTGCATATGCTATGCATAATATGCAGTATTTCATCCCAAATAACAGACGAATATGTTTGAAATAATAATCTCATGGAACCTTTTCAACCCTATAAAAGTGATTTATTGTTTCTCAACGTGTTTGTTCACGTCTATCTGTATGAGTGCCTTTAGAAAACAAACCATCATATTCTAAGTCTCTTTATAAATGGTTTGTTGATAACATTCTTTTATACTAAAAATTAAGCAAACCAAAAACTAGGTCTATATCCATTTCTAAAAAAGTACATTTTAGCCTCAGATGGAAATACTTCGACTCAAATGTTGATAACATCATAACAATGTTTTTCTGTTGCTTGGCAGCAAAATAGACTGCTCAATCTATGCTTTAATTTTTATTTAAATGAAGGTCTATAATTCGTGTAAGTAAAGGGAAATTAGGTAAAGTAACGAATAAAAGCAGTCTTGAAAATAGATTTCAACACGGGGAATTCGGAAATACATTTTTATTTTTAAGTGGCGAATAAAAACATAAGAATGAGTAATTGAATTCAAGCTTTAATAGATTACCTATAAACTATTCCTGTCAACGGTATCGAGATCAGCCGTTAAACAACACATTGATCAGTTATTCATTTATTCTTAGCAGTATTGAGAAACCATTGTTAAGATCGAGTATTTTAGTTCATCCAACAATGAATTCTCAAACAATTTTTGTCAGCCTAACCAATCTTCGTTCTTTAATGTTGTTCGATTTAAGCATAATGTAGTTTTAGTGAGAATTTGTAGTTTGTACTACATCACACTGTCGATTATTTCATTCTAATGTAAAGACCGGTTTGATTATCACACTGCAGCTTCATATCCAAAAAACGAGTGAATTTCGATTTTATTGATCAATAATATGCATTTTTCAAATGGTTACTTCCAGTTATTTGGAAAAGAAACGTCTACTCTTCCCTCGCTTCTTTTTCGTTTCTGACCCAACTCTGCTGGAAATTCTGGGTCAAGCATCAGATCCTCATACGATACAAGCACATTTACTTTCTGTGTTTGATAACATTAAAAGTGTGAAGTTTCATGAAAAACAATATGAAACGATTTTGACCTGTTACTCACAAGAAGGCGAGGTATTAGAGGTGAGCTTATTTGTTTTACTTATGAGTAGTATAAAACGCTTTCGGAAAATTAGTTACTGTTGTCTGAATATGCATCTCAAAGCTGAATAAATAGAGTTTAGCATTTTTTTAGTTACTGCGAGAGAGTTTAAAATCTAGTTCACCATTTGTTTAGTCAAGTGTATTATCCATCCAACGGTTTTCATAATATTCGATTCCGTTTGTTTCGAAACTATATTATATTACGAAACAAATGAAACTTTACCGCTTTCACCTTCCCTATTACTATACTATTTATGTGTTGAGTTTAGTTAATGAATCATGTTGACCGACCTAAGATTTACTTTCTCCAACATGATATTTATCAAGCTAAACCTTTGTCATTGTTGTACTAAGGTTGAGAGCCAGTTAGCCACGGTGTGAAACATCCCATAGAACATAAAGTCTTTTTGTGACTCGTAAATCTGACTCCGATTTGATCGAACGATGATGTTAACGAAATATACATCCCGGCTCCCCTCGTATATAATTATCGACTTAATTCGTGGTAAACAACAACAGAATTAAAGGAGTCGAATACGAGAAAAAATTTAGGATACATATATTTCATAAATTCTTTGATCCAGACAATCAACGAAACGAAGCGAAGAAGCAAACTAGAGACGACAAGTGTATCAACTTCTTTTGATAAAGCGTGACTTTGTCTTTATAGCCAGGTAGAAATAAGCTAAAGACATGTGATGAAAAGGATAGTCAATCGACACAACCTCCTATAAAAACAGTCAAGGTTATAAGAGAATAGTTGACAAGGTAAAAATGTCACTCAGGAAGAATAGATAAGTTGGTTTGTCAGGAAGCTAGAGTAATCTGTGTGAGCTTGACATAGTACTAGACGCTACAGTCGTCTGAGTCATACCCAACATCGGATTGAGTAGCTATTTGTTAAATAGAAATCAGTGCAGATGCAAGAAGTATATCAGTGTCATGATAGTTTTGTCATTTTACCCGGAATTACTCATTTGATGTTGTATCTTTTCTATGTAGTTAGAGCATCCAGTAAAAGCTGAAGGGCATGTGGAAGTTTGGTTAAATAAATTATTAAAAGAAGCGCAATTTTCATTACATCAAATAATAAGAGAAGGCTATAAAGCAGCAATGGATGATGATGTCAATATATTAGAATTTCTTGCAACGTTTCCTGCCCAGGTCAGTGTCACTTGTGAATTATTCTAATGTTTGGCGTTTCATTTATTTTTGTTGATATTATGTTCCGGCTTTTAACTGCCTTTAATTTACTCAAAAAACTTTAAGAGAAAAATATCTAGTACCTTTTCTCCTACCTAGATCTACACCTATCAGCATCGCACGTCACAGCTAGCTATCGTTCAACACGAGCAGCACATGCTGTAATGACCTCAGTCTATAAAGATTTACCAAGTTATCAACTACCTGACATCTTTAAAACAATCAACTTCTTTTCTAAATTTGAATTGTGTGAGAAAGTTCAGACAAACTGGATTTCTATCCCACTACACCAAATATTTTCACTTACCTAAAAAAGGGACATTATATCAGAGTACTTACTTTACAACCAAATAGAAAACAAAATTTTAATTTTCCGTAATATGGAGCTGTTACATCAACATATGGAGGGATTATCTCCAGGATTCAGAGAAACGTTTCCTTGAAGATAGTAGGCAACCTGAAAATATTGAAATTATTTCACTGAATTTGTTGGTTTCCTGGTTATTTTAGAAAATCGGCGAGGTCTACGGTGCTGTCTGAAGTACTTTTTCCACACACGACTGTTTAAGTGATATTGGCAGAACTGAACCAATGTTTAATACTATTATATGGTTGTCATGTTTTAGATTCACGTATTTATTAATAATCTTGAGGCTGTAATATTAGTGATTGAAATTTCCTCTGACCTTAACTTTGCCTTTAGGTCGGACTATTGGGTATTCAATTTATCTGGACAAGAGATTCAACTAACGCACTAAAAGAAGCCAGACATAATAAGAAGATTATGCAAATGACTGATCATGAATTTGGTCGTCTACTAAACTTGCTAATTCAGCAAACTACACACAACTTAACGCAAGTGGAACGAACTAAATTAGAGACATTAATCACCATACATCTTCATCAAAAAGATATTTTCTCATCATTAGTAAGTACAGTTGATAAACTATTGTGTCCATTCATAAGCTTAACATTTTATAAAACACTTATCTCGAAAAATCAAGATTTAACTGCCTGTCTCGTCAATGTTTCCATTAAAATCCACCCCTGCCAACCAGTGATGTTAAATCTCTTCAATATACAAACAGTATGAAACTAAAGAATTACTGACTGTTCGAATACGATGGTCAGGTTAGTTTAGATTCGTCTGGATGAAGATTTACGGTTACAATCGAGATGTGCTGGGTCTGTAAACTAACAATATGACTATGTAGCGTTTTAATTACTTTTATTGACTAAGAAAAAGTAGTGACGTGTAACTGATTTCTGATTATTCGTTTAATACAAACACATACTATATTTTTACTCGACATTATATGGAAACCTTTAAAATTCAATAAGTATTGGTTTAATGCATGAAATTAGGCTTGGTGCTTTAAACTTCTCTGATGATTTGAGTTGGGCTAAATAGGAGAGATCACAAATATAACGAAACGTCGTTTTTGATTAGTCAGTGAAGCCATTAAATAATATGTCAAACTTAATTACTTACATGAATCTTACTTATTTTGAATAAGGGTTTATCTATTCGAGACGGCTACTGTTTTATCTGTCGTATCACTTAGTTTCGTATGCTTCCGTTGATTTTTCAGTTCAATGAATATTAAATCTCATATACTTGAATTCTTGAGATGATAGTCTTGGTTGAGACTAACTGAAATGAATTATACAGATGACTTTTAACTTTATCTCGTTTCATCACATTCCATGGGAGTTACAAAATATTTAATGTGAAAATAATAACCAGCTAAAATAGCTGATTGTATTATGAGAATGACAAACATTCTTTGTAAATTAAGATATACTATTTAAACAAAATTTTCATATTTTTCAATATCAGAGATTAAATTTTAAATGCAGTGGTATTTCAACTCTGATACTTGAAATCAACCATTAACCTGTATGCATTTCCCATGCATAAAATGATCAGTTTAACTTTGGAAAGTTTATTCAAGTCTTGTAGAACTGCATTTATTCATTTGTTGAATGTGAAAGTTGATTCATTGAACTATATGCAAAGAGATTTATGTGAAACTATGAATTTATTTTGTTCCCCTTGGATAATTAGTATTATGTAAATTATTTCTTAAATCGTTCGAAATTTTTAACAAAATCATTTAATTTAAAAAAATATACAAACATAAATCTTTTTATCATTATTTATCCAAGTCATAATTTATAGAATTAAACCATTGCATAATAAATATAATGTTCAAACGTTCATTTGATAATATTCTTATTACTGCATAATTTTGAATAAATAACAACTTTCATTTGATTAACTGTTTTAGGTTAAAGACCGTATCAAATCACCAACAGATTTTGATTGGCTTAAACAAACACGTTTCTACTATTTAGAAGATTCAGATGTATGTCTAATTTCAATTACCGACGTAAATTTCATTTATCAAGATGAATTTATAGGATGCACAGAGCGACTGGTTGTTACACCACTTACGGATCGGCAAGTTTTCTTGACATGAATGGTTTTTAATAATATAATTTTTGTAATATCCTACTGAGTAGAACATTATTTTTCTGATGTTTCGTGACTTAATGTAAGCCATTTCTTCAGAGTAAATGCATAGCCGAAATAAAATTAACACATATTTAAATAGTATAATGAAAATAATGCAGAATATTTTTAGTACTATCGAAATCATAATAGATCTGAGTATGTCAATGTCAAGTTATTTTTGGTCAAGTTGATTTTTAATCACATATTACCATATTACTTTGTGCGTTAGAAGGTGGGTATAAAAAATGTATACGTTGATAATACAAAGTAATGTGGTTGAAATTGGGTGTATATGTGTGTGCAGATTGCGTGGAAAATAGATTAGATCAAATGTGATTGTTTGGATAAACAGTCCAGGTTGGATGAATATTCAAGCTTTCTTTCCTATTGAGGGCAGAGGGATTTAGCATTAGGTGAAACACTTCGATTACTCGCCTTTCTTTATAGTTGGAAAAACCTTGCTGAATTATTTTGATACTTTTAATATCGACTTGGTGATTTTAATGAAAATGCGTGTACTGCTTTTGCTAATTTGACCAGTAGATTTTCCAATTCTACAGGATTATCAGGAGGTCTTTTTGTGTAACTTAGGTGCTCTTTGGCACGAGTCAAAATATCATGGGAAGACTCTCCAATGTGGAACTCATTACAGTTGACACAACCTAATCTGTAGACACAATTATATGTAGATGTAAATTAGATCTTATCTTTTATTCTAACTAAACTGTATTTTAGTGTTGATCATCTTAAAGAAAGCTTTGATTTTGTAGGCTCTCAAGACCTGCTGTAATTCTTCTGTAGTACCTTAGAGGTGAGATGAAATCACAGTACCAATCCAAAGATTTTTCATTAAAAATGTTATTTATTGAAGGATAGTTTTGTTTTGATTTTTTTAATAATATTCTTCAGGACACTATTAAATCGTAAAATACTTATTATACCGTATTTGATTTTATTATTAATGGAAATGGTAGTAACAGTACATGAGCTAGTCTCGTCCCAAGAAATAAATCTTTCATTTTTCATATCTCGACCATACTTTCTCTTGAGTGATCAGAAGTCGGGAGATATTTCTATCAGTTAAGCTTACTGATAACAAAATCAACAGTTCAGTCTCAAAATAGTTCTCTACTCACCCTTCCATCAAATTTCTATCTTTATAAAGTTTAAACGGAAATTATCCACACAAGAACATTAAGTTAGTTCTCGCTACTGATTTATATCATCTGAAACTACTTGTATCGATAGGTATCTTCCAATTAAACCAATCGCCATACACAGTTTAGTTAAACTACACTACAACAGTAATTTCGATGATATTATTGATGTACTTATTTTATTCCAGTGATGTAAAATGTATCTGACACATATATACTGGAGATAAGTTTCTGAAACGCGGTTTGTTACATGCAGTATACTAGTTAGTACATTTACCAAAGAAGAATTATTTTTCAATGGATTTCGGTTCAACAAATGCCACCGGATTTTTATTTACTAACAAAATAATTTGACTTTCCAACATCTTTGTCAATGGATATTCATTTGCACAAACAAAATGTCTCACTTTAATGGTAGTATTATTTTGGTTTTTCTAGTTCCCCTCTCTGTCAAACGCCGCGTATAACTTGGCATGTATTTACATTGGTTCGAGTTGTTACGCTCCATTAGCACAGTGAGATGAAACCGTCAGAATGTCCCAGATTAGTAGAGGTTGTAGCAGCATGAATGGGAATAGGAATGATTAAGCATCGAAGATACGATTCGAAAAAAATACGTTAACGAAATAGAAATAAGTTATGGGGAATTAAAGAGCTCAGAATTTGTAGGAAGACAAAGAATGGGTGCACTTGCCCCATCCCAAACGATTTTGAGCCATATCATTTAAAATCTCTAACCATTGGTAATGGTGATCACGCGAACCTCAACCAGGTAGTCTACACTTATTAACATTGATCATCCAGTTGTTGGTGACTTCATGGACTAACTCCATGTTTTGGTTTGACAATCCCTAGCTTTCTTCTAGTCTACTTCTACACCAGACGTCGTCATCTATTAAAGCAGGCAGTAGCTGGGCATGCGTAATATATATCTTAACCACCTCAGATGATGAAGGTTTACTAGCTCATCAATCGATTTGCAATACTCACTTAATACCCTATTCCTGACCAAGGCATTTCTTACTTATTGGTCCCAAAATAAATGACCAGTGTTTCGAAGACACCTGTGATTGAATACATACGAATATCCCCTATTTTTAATGGTCGTGTTTCACACTCATAAATTAGCATGAAAATTTAGACTTTATTTCGCTCTAGATTTAAGCAGCCGAATAACCTTGATTTCTCTCGAAGCTAACAAACTTTTCAACTAACATTGCTGGTGAAAATATTATTGTAATTTAGTTTGATAACATTAACGACATAGTGCGTAGGTGTCACACAGAGCTACACAGTTTCTATGTAATTATAAATATAAAAATTAAACATGGTAAAGCGCATAAATTATTTTTATCGTTATTCGCTAATTTATATTAACTAACAAGTTATATATCCTTTTTCATTTGTATTCTCTTCAAATTCATAGATGTTATATTACACTTGCACAAGCGATTGGTATGTCTATGGGTGGTTCACCAGCTGGACCGGCAGGAACTGGCAAAACAGAAACAGTGAAAGACATGGGTAGATGTTTAGGAAAATACGTCATTGTATCAAATTGTTCTGACCAAATGGATTTTCGTGGTTTAGGCAGAATATTCAAAGGTTTAGCACAATCTGGTTCTTGGGGGTGCTTTGATGAATTTAATCGTATTGAACTACCTGTGTTATCAGTAGCCGCTCAACAGATTGCTATCATATTGACATGTAAAAAGGAGCGTAAACCTCAGTTTGTGTTTACAGATGGTGAAATGATAACTATGAATCCACAATTTGGAATATTCTTGACCATGGTATGAATATCTTATGTAGACCACCTTTACGTTTTTGTCACGTGCAAATACTCTTAAGTTGACTAAGCTTTAGTTCTGGGTTCTTGTAAAATTCTTAATGAACAATTGACATTATTATTTTCATTTTGATCAATATTTCTGTTGTAAGTCGATTTAAATATCCTAAATGAGGGATATATTATATTACTTAGGTAACAGGAAACTGGAATTCAACAAATAGAAACAGTATGAATACAAGGGATTTTTTTAATTGAAAGTAATTTCAGTAAGCTCATAAAGTTTTAGCTCCCTAGTTTATCAGTAATATTTATCATAGTTTACTGGGTTACAAAAGATTTAAATACATTAATTGTCTATCGAACTTGTGTTTTTTTTTAACTTTGCGAATACTAATTTAACTCCCAGTTAATCATTCATGCAAACCGTTTTATTTTGTTTAACTATGTGTTAGTAATAAAGTAAACTAAAAGGTTTTTAGTTCAAGTTTAAGATAAACAATTAACTGAGCCTTTATTTTCATTTTGCGACTGACCTGACTTTCTAATAAATTTATTATTTTTATAATTATAAAAAACAAGGCCAGATCACTTTGTTCTAGTGTACCTCCGCAGAATACTTCAAGATTATTCGTATTATTTGACAGCGTTTTGCAGTATATACCTATAAAAGCCTAAGAGATAGTTTAAAAAATTGTTTAGTTAATTTCAGATAGTCTGACTCACTAGACTGAATAAGTATTTGTTTTTATTGAAACTATTATATAAGTTCATATATACCTCGTTGATTCAAATACTATGTTGAATATGAATGTTCTGGAAGTATTTACGGGATCGAATTGATTCAACTTAGTTGAAAGTGTTGAAAGAGAATTATAAAATAAAAGAATATAAAGTTATTTTGAGAATCAAATCGACACACTTCATGGCTGATGTAGTATTTCTGAGGTTTTATTGCTTATGTCGAATTTCTAAGATTCTCTATGTTTAATAAACGACAAACTTTCTCATGGTCACAAAGAACTGAAGCATTTATCGTTCATTTTTGTCGTCATCTAACTTTGGTTGTTCCATATACGTACAAGATGACTGGTCTTGTATCAAGTTATCTTCACTTAGGTATAGTGTACAGAAAGAACATGTTCAAATATTGAGCTCACTTGGGATCGAATGAACTGTTCCCTGAAAGTCAGTTAAGTAATTTTTCTGTTTTTATTCACCTTATCAATTTCATCATATTATAAATCACCATTAATGTTGGTGAAATTTGGTGTTTTCACACATTTAAGCGAAAATAGATGGTTAGATATTCACAATTAATTTTGTTTGTTCATATGTCTAGAATCCTGGTTATGCTGGACGACAGGAATTGCCTGAAAATTTGAAAATTAACTTTCGAACAGTAGCAATGATGGTGCCTGACAGACAAATCATTATACGTGTTAAACTTGCATCATGTGGCTTCCTTGAAAATATTATATCAGCACAAAAGTTTTATACATTATATAAATTGTGTGAAGAACAGTTGAGTAAACAGGTGGGTAGATTTTTTATAGACGGTGTAAATATAAATTAGGTTTCCGGTGGAATATTAAATATTACTTAACGTTTACGTAATGATATACTATGCATGCAACGTAAGTGACCTTTTCAATTTACTTAAGTATTGTACGGTTCAATGCATTTACGAACTCCTGTGAATAAAAGTCAACGCTTTTTTCATCAACTCTAGATACAGGTCAAGCGATTATTATCTCCACCACTCTGTCGTTACGTTTGTTCATTGTGAAGTTTGAAAATCATGTATTTTAAATTATGGTGGAAATCCTTTTCAGTTACATGCGCTTTGCCTGGTTTAAATAAATTTATCATCTGTTAAAACTTTAGTTGAATGAAAAATAATTATTTTCATTAAATTTTCTACAAAACTAGCATTGTAGTTTTATTTCAAATGTTTGTACTTTACCTTTGTCTATTTGAAACATTGAATTGACAGATTACCGTTAATTTATTGGTTGTTTGAACGGAGACCTCAGTATTGACTGTATTTCTGGTCTCTCCATCTGTTGGTCTGTTTATCTTTCCTCGCTTCATTTTCGTTATGAAAATATTCTGACAACTATCAACTTCTTTTTTCCTTAATTTTCCTAATGCAGATTCATTATGACTTTGGACTACGAAATATTCTTTCCGTGTTGCGTACACTAGGTGCAGTAAAACGTGCCAATCCAAATGATACGGAATTCGAAACAGTAATGCGTGTATTGCGTGACATGAATCTCAGTAAATTAGTTGGACCTGATGAACCTCTATTTTTATCGCTACTTGATGACCTATTTCCTGGTATGTGGTTGTAATTCAATTTCGATTTCTCGGTTTGTCACACTATTCATTTGGGTCCCAATAAAGGTCACATAAAAATTGTTTAGATTGATGATGAGATTGCTTGTCATGTTAAAATGTACAACAGAGAGGAAAGGAAACTAATGAATCAGTCTAAGCTTATGAAAAATGGTCTTATTTATATATAAAGATAATTTATAATCGTTTAAGCCAACTCGTTTAAATACAGGCTAATTTGAAACACGTATGTCGTATACAAAAATTCATCCATTGAGTCATACTTTTAACGAATGTAGAATTAAGAAAATTCTCAAAGGTCGATTTTATGGAAGATTAACAATTTATGAAACCATTTCTTATGAAAATCTTAAAATAATCGCTATCCGTCTAGAGGTTCGTCTCAACAGAGTTTTTATACCAATGCATAAATCTGTTGTTATGTTTGGTCGTCGCTGATTGTTGTGCCGGAAAAACGCTGATCACTTATACTCGGAACGAGGGACCTCTGCAATTTCCACGACGAGAAAATAAGAACACAAAGACTGGTATAAGTGAAGTTTTATTTGCCCCAAATCACTATGACGACGACGATAATGATAATAGTGATGATCGGTCCTAGTCTAAAATACACTGGTTTACATTTTGATTGTACACCTATTTTGATTAATAATTAGGATTAATTCACATACTCAGTTATAACAAATCACTTACTGGGAAAACAAATCAACTACTACACTGAATGATCCTCACGTTGAATCAAAACGGATGTAATGTTGAATAAAACTCATAATGAGTAATTCAATCGAAAATTGAATTTTCTTTCCATTATATCAATTTTGAAGTTAGTGTACTAAAAATCTCAACATACATTTATACTGTATTAATCGTCATTCAGTTAGAAATAATTCTGTCACTTTCATCTCTTGGTCAATGAATTTCTGTATGGTTATTTGACTAAGAAAACTTGATCAACAATGATACAACTAGTATTATCACATTTCTACTTCGAATGCAAGTTGGTGTACACATTTTAGAAAATCTAGTAACTGCTCGGTTAAAGATAGAGGTACAAGAGCATTTAAACTATATGAACGTTTTCACTATTTTAAATATTATTTACCAAGTGTTGATAAATGGAAACTTCAACTATATGGATTCTTTCTACTCTTACAAATTTTTTTCTAAAACCCTAAAACTAATGGTAAGGAAATGAAACTAACAGTGCATTTCGATGGCATTTTTAATGTACTTAAAATTCTTTTTTAGACTTTGAACTGAAGTTTGAGACATTCATTCTGTAGCTTCTGATATTAAATCATTTAACTTCTTTTACAAACTACCATAAATTAATTAACCCTTCTTTTATGAAAGGTATTTCATTAGATAAAGGTGGCTATCCAGAGCTTGAAAAAGCTATAAAAAAAAATCTAGAAGAAGCACATTTACTTAGTCATCCACCATGGTTTCTTAAAGTTATACAATTGTATGAAACTCAACGTGTTCGTCATGGTATGATGACGTTAGGACCATCAGGTACTGGTAAATCTTGTTGTATTCAAGCTTTGATGAAGGTACGTCACTATAACTTTTTTTCAACATTATATTATTACTTTATCCCCCAACGTTCATTGAGTTATTGTTATGTTTGAAGCTTAACGAGTTGACTTAGATTTGTGAACAAGAACGAAATTCGATGACCAATGACCAGTGAGCTAGCTATTGCTGCGCCCCAGCCCCGCTATCAAGAGGGAGAAGTCCAAGCTTGAAATAAGAAGTGTATTGATGGATCAAGAATCTTTGTGTATAGTTCATTGTTTTTTATTCACATTAAGGGGAAGCTGGTAACTAAAGTTGAATCAGATCAATTAAATTTGTTGTATTCATAAATTGGGTTGTGACCAAATGTTCTGCTATTTTTTGTGAATAGATTACTTTAATATGAAGGCAGGTAATGTGATCATATTCGTTTATGTTATCTAAACTTATTAGTCACAAAACAGATCAATTTCAACCAGCACATACTGGTTATTAGTTTTTGCCCATATTTGATTAAAACTAAACCACTCATCATGAGATTATAAAAAAGATTCCATGGTTAATTCTTGTGAGTATCTGAGACTACGAAATGTTGATTGGTCCCAAAATAGGATCAAACATGTGACTGAGAAGCTTTATTAAAGTAAAAAAAATATCGTGTTAGCCCTTAGATTTGCAAAGTGATTTGGTCAAGTTAATTTAAAAATTCACACTTATTTGGATTTGATGTTTAAAATGGATGATAAGTAATATCATAGTGCACAAGATCGTTACAAAAGATGACGATAGGAAAATACTTAACACTTTCAGCCGAAAAATAGGTTTTCTAAAAAATATGATTTTGCTTAGCTGTTTGTCAATCAAACATTTAGCATAGATCTGATATGTGTTAATATTCATTTGATGTATATTACTGAAGCCCTTAATATTATTGATCAGTTTACATTCTCATTAAAGTCAGTCACCACATACTTCATTCTCCAGCTAATTTTGTTCCGTTATTGAATCAGCCGGCTGTTACCCAGTGTGTCAAAAGTTCGAATCACCCTTTTCCTAGTATATGTAATACTATCAGTAAATTTATTTTGGGTTACTATCGGCACTGTAGTACACGTGATCTAAGATCACACTTTCGGAAGGTTAACATCACTATAATGATAATAACAAATCATACAGATAATCATTGTAGTTCCAACAGACGAGGATAAAGTAGATTTAGCCAATACTCAACTTAGCAAAAAGAAGTAATTTAAAGCATTTATGATACTAAATTGATATTGGTTTCTGAATTAGTGTTTTTTTTGCAAAATGCTACAAGCAAAATCAACACATTTGGCTTCTAATTACCAATAGTCTTAAGCCAGAATCACGTAAAATATATTTAGTTTAACAAGTTCATCATATTAAGTTAGCGCTCGCATTTGAATATCATTCTTGTACCTCATTACATGCAACTATTAATCCTTGATCGCTTATAAATGAGAAATTACATGAAAGTTAGTGCATCAAAATTCATTTATACTTTTTAAATTTGCAATAACACCTTTTCAGTAAAATGTAAGTTCTGTTTCACTCATAAAGAGATCTACTTTGACCCACAAACCCTCCATAAACTCTCGGTTTTTCTGAAAGAGTAATGTATTAAAGAATGATGTGTTTTTTCTTAATCAGCATTTGAGGAGTTTCATAATTTAATTATTTCAAAAAACAGGCAATGACTGAGTGCTTTGAGCCACATCGTGAAATGCGTATGAATCCAAAAGCGATTACAGCTTCACAAATGTTTGGACGTTTAGATGTTGCTACGAATGATTGGACAGATGGCATATTTTCCACGCTATGGAGAAGAACATTGAAAGCCAAGAAGGGTGAACATATCTGGCTTATATTAGATGGTCCGGTTGATGCATTATGGATTGAAAATTTGAACTCGGTTCTTGATGACAGTAAACTTTTAACACTGGCTAATGGTGATCGTATTCCAATGGCACCATGTTGTAAGATTATTTTTGAAGTGGATAATGTTGACAATGCGTCACCAGCAACTGTTTCAAGAAACGGTAAATAAATAAATTGCATAACTTTTAGAAATTCCATAAAGACTTTTAAAAAAATGTCTGTTTAAACTTATTCTTGCGGGTTTTCGTCTATAAAAATCACCTAAAGGTTGGTTGCTTTTTTATTGATTGTGATAGTATTTAACTGTTTCACTTAATTTACCTCAAATTTTCTGTAAGTGCAGAACCCCTACAGATAAGTTTTAATGGTGCTAATTATATCGTTTATTTAAGTTAAAATAACCTTACTAATATGCCATTAACTCTTAATAGATCATGAGTCAATGATCAAAAATTTGAAACCCCGAGTGCCTAAGGTGAATGGAAAGTTTATTATTTTGTTTCAATAATCATCCTACGAACAACTAACAGTGATCTAAATTATTCTAAATAACTAAATAAGATCAAATTGTATGCCCAAGTAAGCAGAAGCTGATAGCCTTATCAAATAGAACAAAACAGAAATCTTTACTGAATGAAAACGTTATATGTAGCATTGAATTTAGATGAAAATGCTTACAAGCAATATAGACGTCTTAGATAGAAATAGTAAAGTGACATTAATTAAGATAAATCACCAGAACGATTTATTTAAAAAGCTTTCAATTAAAGTGTTCGGCCAGTAACCAAGTAGATATTTATGCTCTTTTGAGTACCGGATAAAATATATTAAAAAGTTTTTTTATAGAGTCCAAGTTTTGTAAAATTTCAAATCTTAAACATTTTGAATTTCGCAGGTATGGTATACATTAGTACAACTACATTGAATTGGTTGCCAATACTACAAGGTTGGTTAATGTCACGTGGAAAAAGTGAAGCTGACCAGTTGTTGCAATTATTTACGGCATCGTTTGAAAGTGTGTACCAATATGCAACTAGGCATTTGAACTTTAAGATGAGTGTTTTAGAAGCATTTGTGATTCGTCAAGCTTGCGATATCCTGAGTGGAATATTACCTAAGCCAGAAGAAAAGGATTCTCCCTCGGCAAGTCGATATACATTTTTTATATTGAGTTTTATTTATCCCTTTTCTAATAAGTTAAGTTCAATATAATGCCTTACAAATTATCTGTGTAGCCATGTCCTCATACTATTGATGTATGCACCTCATTGATATTTCAATGTTCTTTTTTCATTTTTCGAACCATAACTGGCTTTTGTTCAAGGTTGTATGTATCGTAAGATTTCGTTGGCCAATAGTTTTATTTATATTTGGAAGGTGAATTAAAGATAACATCCTTTCAGCAACATTAATTTACTGAAGCGTTGCTTGTTTACTATAAATAATTCAGTGACTTGTTTAGTACTAAAAAACACGACTAAGGTCTATTTTGTATATACACTGGCCGACTAAGTTTTGACGTTGTTTTATGTACTTCAATCTGAATGGCTCACATTTGTTGTTAAACATTCATGGTCAGATTATACTGCATACATCTCCGATTAAGTGATTGAGGAGAAATGAATCGTACTTAATAAAAGAATGTTTCCTGATTTTTGTCAGCTAAATTTAACAGAAAATATTTTTATAATGGAATCTAGATGAGAGTCATACACTTGTTACTTCACTTGGTTAAAAGTGTTCTTATTAAACAGATAGAATAACTGACGGTTAAAACTCAACATAAATGTGGTGCATATTCTCAAAGGCCACATGAATGTAAAGTAAAAGTTTGATGTTAAAAAAACATTTCATGATCTGTAGACTTTGATTGTTATACGAGATATCAAATTATTCCTTGATCAAAAACAAGAAATAAGTTGTGGAATAATTTTGTCTTTCAAGAAATGTCTCGATACATTAATCTCTTTGTGTTCTCGTAACTTAGTTGCTTAAGGTAGGTAACGGTATCCATGAAGTAACTATCGATTTTGAACTATATCAATCAGGATGTACGATATTTTATATCAGTTATTTAGGAACCTTAAATCTTATGTGTTAGCTTTTAACCAATTTTCTACATGCTCCTATACCAAATTACTAACGTAAGTCTCGTCCAGAATAATCTTTATCTTATGAAATTTTAAGCTTAAATTTGTGATAATTTAACTTGAGAAGTCACTTGTTTATTGAATTAACTTAAATAATATCACTGGAAAATGCAAAAAACACCCATTACCAGTCAAAATTAATAACCTGAATTCCATTTTACTATACTTCTGTTTCTATTTATTTCCGAAAAGGAAGTTTTTATGATGACATATATTGTTTTAAATCCCTGATTGAATATATTCATTTACTTTATATCATTTGGTTATAACATATGCTCAACAAAAAAAAACAGTTAACGGTGATCAACCCATTCGTACTAGCAATTAGTGATTAGCTACAGACTGTACTTCAATAGGTTGAAATATTAAAAGATATTCTAGAAAAAAAAATTCAGGAAGCAAACGTTGTCGAATTTTATTTTAAACTTTAGTTAGGAATCACGATAACAGATAAAAATCAACAGACTAACAAGTGAAAAATTTAAATGTTAGATGGAATTCTAAACTGTTATGCTTAAGATTCATTACTCTACAAACTGAAAAACGTCGAACTTTCTGCTTTACAGCGATTATGAATTGAATTTAAAGTTTAGTTATTTCAATGATAATGTATTTGATAGAGACACCAGTTAAATCGTATTTAAATTTCAAAACGAAGTTACTTTATGGTTTGAAATTGATATTTCTGATGAATGGTAACATTAATAAAACATGGGTTTAGGGCTCTTACAATTAACTATCATTTATTCAGTGTCTCTACAAAGAGATACTTATTTTTTTTGTAAATTTCTTTTGTTATCAGGACTTAAATGTACTATCTAAATACGAACAAATACACTTAATTGCTGTCCTGTACTAATTATAAGGCTAATTTTTTGAAAATATCTTAATGAGAAATGTATGTTAACCAACAGTCCAATTTCATAAATTTTAATTTCTTAGATAACATTCAAGCATATGGAACGTATATATATATTTGCATTGATGTGGAGTATTGGTGCTTTTCTTGAAGGTGATGATCGTGCTAAATTCGAGTCATATTTACGGAAACATGAAACTGTAAAATTTGACCTACCAGAAATTTCTACAGAATCACACTCCACAATATTTGATTACTTAGTAAATGATCTAGGTGAGTGGATTCATTGGGATACAAAAGTTGATGAATTTCTATATCCAACTGATCATACACCAGAATATTCGTCGTTACTTGTACCGAATGTTGACAATGTGAGAACAGAATTTCTTATCGATTTAATTTCCAAACAACAAAAATGTGTACTGTTAATTGGTGAACAAGTAAGTTGTGTTAAGTAAAACGTTTATGGTAATTCATATTCTTGATTAAAAAAAATACAATAAAATGCTCCCGAAAAAATTGGTCAACATCAAATAAAGATACTATAAAATGACACTAATTAAATAATGAAAATTTTTTAAATCCACTCGAAAAGTCATTTTACTGACCGAGCATATTTCATCATGTTTACAATACCCTGGTGAATTTGTTCCCTGAACAATAAGTGATAAGCAGGTGATCGGTAAAAGTTCTTTTTTTTAATTTGACTAGTTTGAAGTGAATTATCACTTGCCTGTATCACATTTTAATAGATGAACACATTCAGAGTAATTATCACATTCATATTTAGTCGAAAAGAGGTTATTAATAGTAATCAACTTCAGACCTTGCAGCCTCATATACTATGATCGTTAAGCTGTGATTCGTAACTACTGTATAAACTTCTTTCAGTCTAAACTAAAGAAAATTTGTGATTCCTCATCCTCTGTTTTGTTTAAGGTAAACACTAATACGAAGTAACTGGTATGTATATAAATTCATTAGCATAAAATTAAACTTTCAAACTTCATATGGCTATCTAAAACCACTTTATCCCTTTGAAATTCTGCATGTCTCTTATGTGAAAATCAGCATATCCAAGTTTTTTATGGAAGGAAATTTTCAATTTTCTCTGTCGTTATGACATATTTATCTGGTTCGTGATGAATAGCCTTCAGTTTTGGATGGTAGACACTTTTATCAAACTAACTACTTTAACGAGAAAATGCATTCGGTGTCGTATCTTATTTCAATCACCTACACATTTTAAAAAGTAGAGTAAATGCCAGTTTGATATATTCTATCAATGATACAAGTTAATGTAGAAATGTGAACTTTTCTCACTGATTCACGTAATAAAAGTGATGTAATATTAACTCACGTGTTTATACGCAAGTTTTCTTAATCACTTTTTTACTAGGGTACAGCTAAAACTGTGATTCTCAATAAGTATTTAAGTAGTCAGAATCCTGAATTTCATATATTCAAAACCTTGAACTTTTCAAGTGTTACGACACCGTTGTTATTTCAACGTGCAATAGAAAGTTTTGTCGATAAACGAATGGGAAGCACGTATGGTCCACCAGCTGGTAGAAAAATGACAGTTTTCATCGACGACATCAGTATGCCGTTGATAAATGAATGGGGTGATCAGGTTAGTTGAGTTATTTGTAAACCTTTCTCAAAAAGAATACAGTCAAGTAATGATTTGATGGCCGTGACGTCAACCTTTTACAGTACAGTACTTTGCTGTTAAGATCTTATTTGAATAAGAAAAAGAGTATAAGTAATTGTTAATTACCATCTTGGTATATAGTTAGAATTATGCAACAGTCATATTAGTGAATTTGTGCAATTATTCTCCCATTTATAAGGAGTAAGACTGGATCATCACTAAAACTAGTGTAGTGTTAAGAGATGGTTTTTAAACTGTAACATATATCGTAGAAGTTATAACTGTTAGCTATTCCATTTTTCGGTCTCGAAAGCACATTACCACCATAACTCTCTATTTGAGCTACAAATACTTTGGATTGTTTCATAAAACTACTAAAATGAATCAAAGTCTTCTGCTGACTCGATGTAATATCTCATGGAAATAAATATTTTGAACAACATCAATTTTGTCTCGGAAAATATTCCCATTGGAGTGTTCTTAACTCAAAAATGTTGATACAAGTAGCTTATTTACTGTCAACTGTCGTCATGTCTGGCATGACGTGAGACTCGAAACAATAATCCAGTATTCTATAATGTGCCTCCACTGTCAGTTAACGATCCAAACCAACTTTGAGTCAGGATTTCACAAATCTAAGAAAATATATTTATTCATACTCTGATTATAGGAATCAGGATTTATTGCTGAGACTCACATATATTATCTGATGTTCATAACTACATTGTATGTTTTAATTCACAGAATATTTACCAATATTTAATTGATGTATATATCTAATATAATATCTTTTGAGTTTAGTATAGTTGGCAATTTGAATTTGTCTCCGAATCATTTTACAGCATTTCAATAAAGGAAACCCGCTCAACAAAGGTGTAGATTAATAAGAAATCTTTTCATGCACATGATTCCCTTTATAATTTTGAAGGGAGCAAAAACAGTGATTTGAGCAGAACGTCATGAATTCATTTTATTTCGTTTAGTCCTCATTAGCTGCTTACAACTTGTGATATTTAAAACTAATAATTACAAAATAGGTTTAAATTACTTACATAAAAGAGTATAGTTGGAAGTTACTTTTAAATATAGCTATATCATAAAATCAAATTTATTAAACTGAATTCATGTAACTCTGCTCAAATCTTTGTTCTTACTCTCTTTATAAGGAGTCACCAATCAGCAATACTGTTAATTCATCAATATAAATAATTACTGGGCAGTGTTTCAGTAGATAATAGTCAAAGTTGTCGAGATTTAATTCAGCTTATTTCTATTGATAATAAATGTACTAACACTATGACTGTTTTAAGATTTGTCCTCATATTACAGTAAGCCATTCTTAAGAACTTACAAATGTATACTAGATAGGCATACAATAAACAAAACTCAATATGGAATTTGTAAAACAAAAAGAAATTTTCAGTAGTAGTCACTGTGAGAAAGTATTTTACGTGGCCAGGAGAAATTTTATTCAAGTTTGAATAAACATTTACTTTGTTCCTTTTGATCGCTTAGTAGGTAGTAAGCTTCATAAATAGCATAATGGTACCCTTAATGAAAATATATCTATCCTACTTTAATAAAAACACACTATTATAATCAATAACACTGATAAGAAAGGTCAAAAACTATCGTTTCATTAATATATAAATTCACTTCATTGTGGTTCAAATAATAAAAGTTGATTGAAGTTAAGAGGATGGAATGTTCAACTAGATAAGAGCAGGAAATGTCAATTTAATAATTTCGTTCTTGAAATTAGGATCACTTGAAGGATAGTCGAAAATTCAACGCAGTTTATTATACAAACGTAAAGTTCTCTATTGTTAATCTATCGTTTCTTAGAGTTGATAATGAGATCACGAACTTCTCATCTTTAGTGGTAGACAGCATTAATCTTGATGTTCAGTAGGTAAATCTTTCGATGAAACACGAAAATTTCAGAAGTTTACGTCTTTTTTAAGAACTACTTATATAAGTCAGTTTTCGAACAATTTAAAGCTGATCTAGCCCAGCTTTGTATGGAATAATTCTCTTTGTAGTTGACATGTGTAAAATAAAGTGTTAATGGTACACATTTTTTCCAGGTAACTAACGAAATTGTGCGCCAATTGATTGAAATGAAAGGGTTTTACAATCTAGAAAAACCAGGAGATTTTACATCAATTGTTGATGTTCAATTCTCAGCAGCCATGATACATCCCGGCTCTGGTCGAAACGATATACCACATAGACTAAAACGACATTTTTGCATTTTCAATTGCACCTTGCCAAGTAACACATCTATCGACAAAATATTTGGTGCAATAGCTCAGGGACATTATTGTCCTGAAAGAGGATTCACAGATTCTGCAGTAACTGAAACAGTCAAGCTTCTTGTCCCGTTAACACGGATTTTATGGCAAACAATTAAAAATAAAATGTTGCCAACACCAGCTAAATTCCATTATATTTTTAATCTACGTGATCTTAGTCGCATATGGCAAGGAATGATTGGTACAATACCTGAAGTAATCAACAGTACAGAACGATTAATGATGTTATGGCGTCATGAATGCTCACGCGTATTAGCAGACAGGTTTGTTTGTCTATTGATTCTACTGAATAAAGGTTTTTATGACATAATTTGCTAAGTTACGATTTTCAAGCCATTCATGTTTTTGGTTTCTGATAAAGAAATTTGACATAATGAATAGTAGTAGTAGTATTAATCAATAAATTGGTTTTCCCCATTTAACTTCTCGTTCATAACAATAGTACCAGATATCGTTAACGATATAAATTAAATACTTTCTAACCCCATGCATTCCTATGTTGATAGGTCATAAATATATTTCATCATGTTTAACTATTTCTTTCTTGGGCTGTACTAGGTTAATATTAAGTTGATAAGAAACTGGTACAGCAAAATTTGAAGATTTTAAACGAAGGAAATTTTTTTTTATTTTGGGTGAAAGTTTAACTAAACTTTACAGAGTTGTGTTACTCCTTTTTTATGCTTCAATTATTATTTACTACAGATTTGTATCAGCAGATGACCACCAGTGGTTTCATATGACAACTAAGCGTTTAGTTAAAGAAGAACTTGGGACTGAATATATGACTGCAATTGAAGGTGATCCACCATACTTCGTTAATTTTCTTCGGTAAGATAGTTTTCTTAGTCTTATCATATTCTAAATATATTAGCATCATAATAAAACAACAGTAATACACCTAACAGTAAAGTTTATAATAAGCGTTCTCACCCTGGATATTGAAATAGTTCATAGATTTCTACAAGAACTTGACTAATAACTCTACAGGTTCTACCATGTTCTTAATGTAGTGGTATGCTAATAACTGAGTCATTGATGTCTGGTTTTATGAATATGAAGGATTAAATGTCGACTATGATTAGTCGGTACCGAAACTTTTGTTATTTGGAACATCTAGTGCTCCAAATTTCACTACCTGTTAAGAAACTTGGTATATCAGAATCACTTTCATAAATGCTTAGCGTTTTGTATCAAAGGTAATTTTCAAGTTGGGTTACATTACCATTTTATATAACTGGAAAATGAGACCTAATAAGTCAGTATTTTATGCTCTAAAATGGAGAAGAACGTTTTCAGTCCGATTTCAAATAAAGTTATAGGTTCATACTTGTAAGAAGTAAAACTTACTTACTAACGCCTGTTACTCCTCTTGAAGGAGCATAGGCTGCTCACCAGCATTCTCCATCCAACCCTGTCCTGGGCAATCCTTTCCAGCTCTTTCAAGTTCTTATTCATCCTTTTCATATCAGCTTCTATTTCCCGACGTAATGTGTTCTTTGGCCTTCCTCTTTTCCGCTTCCCTTCAGGATTCCAAGTCATGGCTTGTCTCGTGATGCAGTTTGATGATTTTCCTAATGTCTGTTCTATCCAATTCCATCGTCTTTTCCTAATTTCGTCTTCAGCTGGAAGCTGGTTGGTTCTCTCCCACAAAAGGCTGTTACTGATGGTATTCGGCCAATGGATGTTGAGTATCTTGCGTAGAGAGCTATTGATAAATACTTGTACCTTCTTGATGGTGGTTGTTGTAGTTCTCCACGTTTCAGCTCCATACAGTAGAACCGTCTTGACGTTCGTATTGAAGATTCTGACTTTGATGTTGGTTGAAAGTTGTTTTGAGTACCATATGTTTTTAATTGAAGGAATGCATACGTTGCTCTTCCAATCCTCGCCTTCACGTTTGCATCTGAACCTCCTTGTTTATCGACGATGCTTCCCGGGTATGTGATGGATTCTACATCTTCCAGAGTTTCGCCATCAAGTGTGATTGGATTGCAGTTCTCCGTGTTGTATTTGAGAACCTTGCTTTTCCCCTTGTGTATGTTGAGGCCTACTGATGCAGAGACTGCTGCCGCTCTGGCTGTCTTTATCTGCATTTGTTTGTGTGTATGCGATAGGAGGGCTAGGTGATCTGCAAAGTCCAAGTCGTCTAATTGGTTCTGAGCTGTCCACTGTATTCCGTGTTTTCCCTCAGATGTCGAAGTCTTCATAATCCATTCGACCAACAGAAGAAAGAGGAAGGAAGAGAGTAGACAGCCATGTCTTAGTCCGGTCCTTACTTCGAATGCATCTATCAGCTATCCTCCATGCACTACTTTGCACTGTAGTCCGTCGTATGAGTTCCGCTCAATTGATTGTTCAACGATGATCCGTAGTGTCGCAATCTGGTCTGTGCACGACCGGTCCTTACGGAATCCAGCTTGTTGATCTCGAAGTTGAGCGTCTACTGCTTTTTTCATCCGGTTCAGCAACACTCTGTTAATGACTTTCCCTGGTACTGACAGTAGTGTAATGCCCCTGTAGTTTTCACACTTGCTCAGATCTCCTTTCTTTGGAATCTTGAAGAGGTGTCCTTCTTTCCGGTCCATCGGCACTTGTTTCTCCTCCCAAATCTTCTTGAATAGAAGATGAAGCATGCTTGTAGTTACTTCGATGTCTGACTTCAACGCTTCAGCTGGTATATTGTCAGGTCCTGCTGCTTTCGCGCTCTTGATTTATTTGATGGCCATTCTGATTTCTTCCGTCGTTGGTGGATTGACATCCATAGGAAGATCTGTGTGTGCTGCTTCGATGTCCGGTGGATTCATTGGAGCCGGCCTGTTCAGGAGTTCCTCGAAGTACTCTGCCCATCTGTTCCGCGGTTGTTGAATTTCAGTGATTGGTCTTCCTTCTTTGTCTTTGACCGGTCTCTCTGGTTTACTGTATTTCCCTGCTAGTTTCTTCGTTATATCGTAAAGCTGTTTCATATTTCCTTCTCTTGCAGCTTTGTAAGAAGTATAAGCTGAATATAAAAATATATACTCAGTTTATTGCTACCGTAAGCACAGTCAAAGATGCTATTTCGTAATAAAAATCGTTCATTAATATATCGATGTTCAAAGTCAAATATTTCAATGATGGTTACTCTAGTGACAACTAAATCAAACAAATCAGCAAGAATACCCTTAATTAATAGCATTATTCATCGTTTCGGTCAGTCGATATTCATCACAATAAGTATTTGTAGTTTTTATGAAAAACTGTTATGAAAATATTCCGTTGACTGTGTGAGCATGTTGAAATTTCACTGTTAATTGTTCACACTTCGATGACATAGTTGTGACGTGTTGCTTTGTATTTATACTGATCATGACATGAGTAACAGATTATTCTGAAAGGAATTCGTTTCGCTTAACATAAAGTTGTCTGAATTTAAAACACTATGATAACCTCACATTCGTACTACACTTTTTCCCCTATACAAAGTGATCCTCCTGAACCAACCGGTGATGAACCTGAAGATTATATCGTTGAAGTACCAAGGATTTATGAACCAGTAAGTTAGTTCATTTCTAATTTAAATTTCTAATTTGTTGATACACATCACCAATCAGTCAGTTTTAGTCAACGTAATGACTGGCAGGTATCTGGTTTATTTTGAGATGCCATACCACATCAAGACAGTGGAATGGAACTAATAAGAATAGTAAAGCAGTCAACACATTCACAGTAACAATGATAGTGAAAAAAAGACTAAACACTAGAAATATGGTTCGAGAATAAAGAAACGTGCAAGTATGTAGCTCAAGATCAACTGAAAAGTAAATAATGAATACATTTGCGCCGTTGATAGCGGTTCTGAGCCATAACATTAACACGGAATTTATATCAATCATTTATTTCATTCACATTATTGTATTTTATCGTCAGTTACAATTTTTTATTCTAATGTACTGTTTGTGACACGTACTTCATGAATCTTTAAGCTTAAGATTTTATAAAATTACTATTTTTTTTATAAACTGATCTACCATAGCTTCAAGGATGTAATCGTTAAGTGGCTTCGATATTCCACTGCAGTGATAAAGAATAACACCTGTAGTTTTTATGTAGTATTGCATAGTGTTTTTGAGCTTAAGCGAAATCGCATCTCAGTCAGGCCTAAGTTTCCTTTTATATTACGTTACTTATAGATTGAATCATTTCAACAACTATCTTCACGTTTAGAGATGTTTTTACATCAGTATAATGAATCTGTCCGTGGTGCAAGAATGAATCTAGTACTCTTTCGGGATACATTAACACAAATCGTGAGAATATCTCGAATTATATATATGCCTCGGGGTAATGCTCTACTGGTTGGTGTCGGTGGGTCTGGGAAACAGTCGTTTACAAAACTTGCATCTTACATCGCTGGTTATCAAACTTTTCAGATTACTTTGACAAGGTAAGCATTTAAATTTTCATCTTTTCTTGCAACCAGCCACATGCATTATTTTTTGTTCTTTTAATTCAGCGTAGTAACTACTTTATATTCCCACATTTAGAAACACATATGAACTCAGTGAGCTCAAATGTCAGCCTTACTAGTCACAACAATTGCAGTTTCTAGGCATTGGCCATTCATCTCCAGTAAGATCATCAATTTCTAAGATTAAAACTGAGAAAAGGGGTGCAATTATTCTTCATACGATAAAATTGCGAGTAATCTAGTAAGGGTTAATAGCTTTAGTGAGCGGCATGTATCTAATTAGTTACTCTTCTGGTCGATGAATACAACCTTTTATTGCATTCCGGAGTTTTTACTTGTTGATTTTTAGGACTTAATTGGTAAGCTTATTTTGATATACCAGTTTCCTGAATTATCTGATAAAACCGTAACATACTTGGTTTTACTTGATGCTGATAGCACGTAATAATTCACAACTATGTAGACATAATTGATATGATGAAAATTGTATTATTTGTTTGAACGTTTGGGTTAATTTGACAATGAGGAGAGATTGGATTAAATATCCATAGAAAACAATGTCCGTTAGATAATTAGTTTCTACAATACTGGAACTCCTCATTAGTTACTATACTTATCTATACTTTGTATTGTTTGTTTGAATCTTCCCATTGTTCTTTAGGACTGCAATTGATCAGTCTCTTATTGGCATATATGCATACTGTGCGTATTGCCTTGATATAACCTTATCTATACTGTTTATGAAATCTAGCGTCTTTATTTTTCGCAACTAAAACAATGTTTTCTGTCCGCACCAAGGTTCATACGTATAAAATGTTTGTATTGCCCTTTCGATATTGGCGTTATTTTATTGTGAGAATTACTTGCAAGTTTTTAAACCCTATAATAATAATAATTTCTCTTGTTTTGAGAAGAGAAATTCCCAAAGACCTGGTAAAAAATCATAATCTATTGAGTTATTCAACTGACTTTCGACTAAAATAAAACAGAATCACTCTTATTTGTAAGAAAATATAATCGATTTAAAAAATCACGATTCAGTACAATTTTTTAAAGACTATAATGCTTACTATATAGACGACTGAGAGTCTTGATATCTGCCACTAGTATAGTAGTGGTTAGTTAGTTCCGTATATAAGTGAAAGGATCACTGTAGCACTAATGAGTGATAATTTTTTTAAAATTAAAATATAAATTCGTAATGGAAACAAAATTAAGCCGATTGCCTCAAATTCTTATTTGGTTATTAATCTTGTATTAATTCAGAAATTTTCCTCGCATTTGATAATAACTTAGGTCCTATAATACTACAAATTTAATGGAAGATTTGAAATTCCTATATCGTACAGCCGGTCAAAAAGGACGTGGTATCACATTTATCTTTACCGATCAAGAGATTAAAGATGAAGCTTTTCTAGAATATTTAAATAATGTTCTTTCCTCTGGTATTATGTCGAACCTCTTCACACGTGATGAAACGGATGAAATTCTACAAGATTTAATTCCTTTTATGAAAAAAGAGCATCCACGTTTAACACCAACTAATGAAAATCTAAATGATTATTTCCTCAGTAGAACGCGAAAGAATCTCCATGTTGTTCTGTGTTTCTCCCCAATTGGTGAGAAGTTTCGTCGTAGATCATTAAAATTCCCTGGATTATTATCGGGATGTACAACAAACTGGTTTCATCGTTGGCCAAAAGAAGCTTTAATCTCTGTAGCTAATCATTATTTGATTGATTTCCCGATTGTCTGTAACCAACAGACAAAAACTGCTTTAATCAATACGATGGGTATAGTACACGATGGGATAGCTGAAGCGTGCATAGAATATTTTTCAAGGTGAGTCGAATCTAACTGTACGTTGAATTTGTCAATACAGCTGTTCTTTTACACTGTGATTTTAATGAAGTCCTCTGGCCTGATGAAGTTCATCTGTGAATGCCTAACTAATAAAGTTAATCCGTCCTCTGGTATAAGATTTTACTGGGGGGTATGTATTGCGAAAACATCTAAAATGGGAATATGAACTGTTTTGGCAAATTGTGAATTATTTCTAGATGTAGCTGAACAAATATTACAAACTAAATGGCGTTGTATGAGTGATGAAAATCAGTTACAATATCGGAAATAACATTTTTTTTCCCACTTTGTGTTTAATCGGTATCACTTTTTAAAAAAATATCATTAGCTTATTTTTTAGCTTATTCGTCGGTTTATTTGACAATTCGAAATGATTGAAAAATGTTTTACATTTCGAATAATTTTATGCAGCTTGTTTGACGTTTTAGATACTTTATAGCGCGTAAAATTTTAAATAGTCAATATATAAACGGAATGTATTTTATGTTATTTTTTCTTGATTTTTTTCCCTTCAAAATTCTAGATATAGACGACAAACTCACGTCACACCAAAATCATATCTATCATTTTTATGCAGTTATAAATCAGTATATTCGCAACAACATAACCATTATGCGAGTTTAGCCCAACGCATGAATGGTGGTTTACAAAAACTAGTTGAGGCTCAAGAGAGTGTTGCTCAGTTGAGTAAAGAGTTGGCCGTGAAAGAAAAAGATCTTGATGTCGCTAATAAAGAAGCTGAAGAAGTACTTCGGACAGTAAGTCAAATGTTTTACTGTCATATTTTAAGTGCAAACATTATAACTTTTCTTAGTGTTGGGTTTACATTCTTCGTCAATAAAGTGATTATTCGCCGAAGATTAAACTAACAAATAACTCTGATAATTTAAAGTATTTTGGAAATATTTGAATTGTTCACATTATGTGCAGAAATTATCTGACACGAAACTTTTGACCATCAGATCCTAACCAGTGTGTAGTACTGTTCACTGAGTTAAGTAGTTCATTGTTATGTTAATTCGATTGTGCAAATTGAAATTTCTGATATCTTTATTATTCTTTAGTTTTTCCTTTTTCTCATCCTATATATTATAACTAGTTACGCAATCCATCTGCTTGACTGTTCAAAGCTGTGCATAAGTTTTCCATCTTGATAAGATCAATACATAAAATTCATTACGAACGTACATATGGACACTGTTGCAACAGTAACTGCTAAGTTAGTTCAGACTAATATTAAGACAATCCAATAAAGGCACCCATGATAAATGATCTGAAATTTGGCTTAGAAGATAGAAAGCGACAACTTGAGAATTTAGTAAGTTATTGAACATCAACTACAGTATTAATCATGTTTACTGACATCACTATCAAGTTTTTTGCTCCGTGAAATGCGTTATTTTCCCTTCTTCTTTTTGTCTATAGTTTTGGTTTACTATCCTTTTCACAATTTAGGTCACTGTTCAACAAAATGCAGCAACTGAAGTAAGAAACAAAGTGCAAATTGTTAAAGATAAAGCTCAGGCCATAGTTGATGACATTGATCGTGAAAAGGTTTTGGCGGAAGCGAAATTAGAAGCAGCTAAACCAGCCCTACAAGAAGCTGAAGATGCATTGAACACCATAAAACCAGGTGATATTGCTACAGTTAGAAGATTAGGAAAACCACCACACCTAATTATGCGTATCATGGATTGTGTATTGCTTTTGTTTCAACGTCATCTTGAACCGTATCAACCTGATCCAGAACGGACCTGTCCGAAGCCTAATTGGAGTGAATCTTTAAAACTGATGACAAATACTGGTTTCTTGTCAATGCTGATGTCCTTTCCAAAAGATACTATTAACGGCGAAACTGTTGAACTGTTGGAACCATATTTAAATATGGAAGATTATACACTAGAAGTCGGTAAAAAAGTTTGTGGTAACGTCGCTGGTTTGTTATCATGGACAAAGGCAATGGCTTACTTTTATACAATCAATAAAGACGTGTTACCAATGAAAGACAACCTAATAAAACAGGAAGCTAGGTTAGCTAAAGCTATGCATGACTTAAATGTAAGTTATCATTGTCATATTTTGAAGTAGTACATTCCTTCAGGTTATGTTCCTTTTTTAAAACATGACTATCTTTCGATTGGTAAATGAAATAGCACACCGTAGGCAGTCTGTAGTGCTTATCTAAATAATTTTAGCAGACGTACTGTTTATTTTATGATGATGTAAAAGTTTTACGTTACTGATTGCTTACATGTACACTTTGTGACTTAATAAGTAGCTTCATCTATTTTGATGTTTGCTTAGACAGCATATTACCAGAACATTTGAGTTTAAAATGAGTGTCTGAAACGTAGTCCAAATTATTCCCATTGCATATAAAACTGAGTTTTATCAATTCCTCAATAAGAAAGGAGTAAATGATCTTATTTCATCTTAACCAGCTCCTGATGGTAAGAGTTATCCAGAGGTTTTATAAGGTCATACCGTGTTGAAAAATAATTTTAAACTTCGATTAACCTGCTTACTACTATTGTTGAGTCATTAATTTTGGATTTTGGTGAACCTTCAAAGCTAAACTGATATTAAAACAATAACAATTGCACTAATCGTTGAATTTGTTTCTCCTTTGATCAGGGAATCGAATAGTTTTTCTAGCAAACTACACAGGTATAGTGGCTAATCTATATTTATACTACATATCATTCCAGGAATAAAATATTTAGAAAAATGAAAATTGAATCCGGTGGGGGTAACTCCTATGTTTATTGAAACCCTGGTGGTACTACATTTCGTTTGTCTAACCCAGATCATTGGATTTGTTGTCTTCGTGTGGTAAAAGTCAATTCTTTAACATTTTTTATGTTTTGAAATTGTTATAAGTAACATAGATCCATGCGGCACTCTGTTTGCAGTAGATTAATTTACTATCTCTCTCTTTCGAAAGTACACCAATCCAGTACTAATAATATGGTAACTTAGATGAATTTACAATGATTTTAGGTTGCACAGTACCAATTGTTCTGTTAGTACATATGCTCTCATTTTGCAGACAATCGGAAATGAGTGAAGATCTGATTTTTCTTTCTCACCTCTCTGTAATGTAAGTGACGTATATCATAACCAACATGTTCAGTGAAATTTGTTAAACATTATTGGAATGTTTATCGTCTACACTCAACAGACATTGTACTTAGAAGGTGTATTTTATTATGTTTCGGTTAAATATTGAAGAAAACATCAGTAATTTATAACAAAATCACATAATATGATCCGGGTCAAAACATAATGCTTTATTAACTTACTGTGATTGTTATGGACTCGAATAAACCTAGTTCTTCTTGTTTTCAATACTCGTTTTTATAGGATGCTCAAGCAATACTTGATGAAAAAGAACGTGAGTTAGCTAAAGTTCAAGCAGTTTATGAAGAAGCATTACGTAAGAAAAATGCACTACTTGAGGATGCTGAACTGTGTCGACGTAAAATGACCGCCGCCTCAAAACTTATCGGGAGTTTAGGAGATGAACAAACACGCTGGACAGAACAGAGTCAGGCATTTAAAGAAAATATTGAATGGTATGTGTGAATTACTTCTCTTGATGACGACTTGATATGATAGCTTTTTTCACAATAAATCTTTTGTGTCAATATACTTAATTAAGTTTGGTACTTTCTCTGACTCTTTGATAAACATATTTATGATTTCAAGCATATTGAAATTTTGATAGACCCTAAGCTCTTAATACACTACACAGTCTACAGTCGAATCAAGTTATTTACCTCAGTGTGATCATATGTATTTACTTTCATAATATCATATTTACATCCCTTATTATTTCCTACATTATCACTTGACATCTAAGTTCTCTATATTCAATTCTTTAAAAGTGGGCATTCTAATTGAACACCATACATGAAAACCAGAGAAGTAACATTACAAAGTTTCTAAATATTCAAAAAAAATTTCGAATGGTTATGAGAGAAAATTATTTACATTTCATTATTATTTCCCAAAAATATTTTTTCTGGAATTCATATAAAAATATGGCTATCTGCTGTAGTATTTGTAATTACATAGAAACTTATATATCATATCCTTTTGTAACCCGTTTCATCGTAACAAAAACTCTGTAGACTCATTGGCTTTAATGTGATATATTATATAGTAAGTTTAGTGGAGAACTTTGTGGTGATAATAATTTTAAATAATTAATTCTCTTAGGCTTTAAGGTAGATGCAACATGAATATTATCCTACTTTGCTTCATAGTCTTTGAACCAATAATATTGAACCCTTAAGCATAGGTTGTATTCGTTAGCGAAACGTATTGAGTAAGGAAACAAAAGTAAGTATTGAAGAGGAAAAATTTATTTGTAAAATCTCAGCGAATGAATTTTAAGTAAATCCAACGTTTCGATAATTTTGTTGTTTGATTATATTTTCCTTGAAAAAGCTTGGACCAGATTGCCAGGCGAAACGTTGGATTTACTTAAAATTCATTCGCTGAGATTTTACAAATACGTTTTTTCCTCTTCAATGTCTCACATTAACTCGGCGCCCAAATATTGTGAAACTATTCGTTCAAATTTAGACGAAAGTTCTTATTGATAAAATTTATTTTCTGTTTTTACTAGTGAAGAAGTCAATCGTTCCTCATTGAACAGTTAACTCAGTAACTTAAAAGTATTATACTTTATCTAAGGTCTGAAAGTCTCGGACTAAATCTTGACCAAGTTTGTAGGTGAGCCCTGCTAAAAAATCCCAATCATACGTCTAATTTTTTTTCTCGTTTTCGATGTTTTTTGAGCTAACCTTATTCAGTGATAAAATAGTTATGAAGTAATTAAGAATCTGATCATTAATACTGTTGGCTTTTGATTGATCTGATCAAAATAGAATAACCAAAGTATGATTTTCGATACTTCCCAGTTGAATGCACTCCATACTATGTTTCTAGTTAGAGAGTCTAAATTACCTGAAGACTGATGAATTAATATTGGTATAAGGGGATTACGGAGACTGGTCAGCTTGCAGTTTATTGCATGGACTGATTTCAAGTAGACAGTCATTGATAACTCATATGGGAACAAAATCGAGTGTCTTCAGACTTAGTGGTAAACGCGTCACCTTTAGATCAATTAGTTGGCATCCAATATTTGACACTTGTAACAATGAATGAATAACCTGTTCATATTAAACTGCTTGAAGGTTCTCTATACTCGACCTGACTTCATCATTGTGATTATTTGAAATGAAAGTAATTGTAAATGTACCATAACATGTTTCAAAAACATCGAACAGACAAGATTTAATGAACCTAGAATATATACATACTTTTTAGTTCCCCTTTAGGAACTTAATTTTTCTCATTTTCGCGCACCTACCAAAATTAGAAAATTTCCTAATAAGCGTTCAAAATCTGTTTTTATTTCTGTCTACGTTTTTAGTCTTGTTGGTGATGTACTTGTTGCAACTGGATTTCTTTCTTATTGCGGTCCATTCAATCAAGAGTTTAGACAAATGTTATACCAGTCATGGCAGAGAATGTTAAGACAATATAATATACCAGGATCCACAATAGTTAACTTAATTTCCATGTTAACTCGACCAACTCAAGTTAGTTAGTTAATCATATATTTTACCTGCTTAGACAAAATTAAGCTATAAATATTGAATTTAACTAGTAGACATTTCTTTTTCACTGTGTTCACTTTTCCGGATAAATATTTGCTTAACTCGGTCCTGTAACAGTGGTTAGAAGTAATGGGTCGTTTATATTTATCCGTAGTTGGTCTTTCATATCCGATGAGTAACTCGCCATCATAATATATCGACTGCATAATTGGCACTTATATAATTGCTTTCACTTCCTAAAATTTATTCACATAATCAGTCGGCTATTGATTCTCCCTTGTGTAATTTATTGGGTTCATGGAGGTTATCACTTCGGTCGCTTTAATCATATCAATAGTTTTGCCAGTCAGCAGTATCGTAATAACAAGTTTTACCTTGTCAATAGCTGCAAATATTCAGTAATCTAGTTAACCAAGAGTTTATTAGCTAAAGAAAATCTATGATAGTCGGCGAGGCTATAATTTATGGAGCGTTTTTGGCATTTAACTAATGTCAGTTCATGCTGAAAACCATAAATCTCATTCCTAACCCTTAACCATCAACAGTAAGTCTTAATTCTAGTTCCTCCACATGGTTTATAACTCTCATTTGATCCTAGTTAGTATGTGGACATCCTCAAGGTTACTTTGGCCGTCGCTCAAAGGTCGTCGATAAATTATAATCTCACCGAATAGCGATTGATGAATTCTTCATTCGTAATCATCATCCACTTCTCGTTAAATATTTGCTTGATAAAGATGTGTCCGATTATCCGTTTTTTATTTTTTTTGGGTAAATTCGTTCACTTATCCGTCGAACGAATTCAGAAAACCCATCAATAGATCGCTATCAACGGATTTCGAATTATTAGCCACATTCAATTAACTGATTTAATTGACTCAACCGTGTTTTTATCCTTATAATACTGTATTCATACATTGGTTCGGACAATTTTACTGATTTAAAAGATTCACAAATGGCATATAGCCTATTTCAGGTTCCAGTGTCTGAAATCAGTGTTTACTTGCCTCAAGTGGAAAGAATAACTGAAACAATAATATGATGAAAATCTTATATGCATAAGTATTCATTAATTGGTATTATTTGTGCATATACATAAGAACTAAGACGAAGTTTGATATTCATCATCAGTATTCCTTAGAACTCAATAAAAAATCCGTTTTAAATACTATTGTAGTGAACGAGAACACAGGCAGGGATAACCACACGTATTTGAACACAAACCTAACGAATCACTTAGTAAAATCTGAGAATTATACAGTAAATACTTTATTTGCAAAATGCCTATCAATTGTCTCAGACTTGACTGTTTCTTCGTTTCCACACCAATCATTCTCTTTTCTCGTCCTCTTTTCTTCAATCGTCTTAATCTTCTGCCTTCAGGCATTTTACTTTCCACTAATGATACACACTACTTATATCTGTCGACACCAGTAGCACACACCACACTATATGCCAAAAAGTGTTTCACTTCATCAACTAGGATTGACTTTCCATCAGGTTTTTGTCTAAATTATCCTTTGTTTAAATAAGACCTTTTTTATTTCTGAGTGGATTTAACTAAATTAACTGAAGTCAACAATATTAAAAATATATGGCGTTTTGAGAAATTCCTTTACAGATTATTTCTATTACATTCATTTAAATTGTTGTATTCAGCTTGGTGAATGGAAAATTCAAGGTTTACCCAGTGATGAATTATCCGTACAAAACGGTATCATTGTTGACCAAGCAAGTCGTTATCCATTACTAATCGATCCACAAGGGCAAGGAAAATCATGGATAAAAAGTCGTGAGCAACAGCATGACTTGATTATAACTACATTATGGAATAAATATTTCAGACAACACTTAGAAGATGCGTTGTCAACTGGACGTCCATTATTGATTGAAGATATTGGCGAAGATTTAGATCCAGCAATGGATAATGTACTAGAGAAAAATTTTATCAAGCAAGGTTCAATTCATAAGGTATAGTAAGAAAGAATAGAGATGTGTTTATTTGGGATTGAAGGTTGTAGAAATTTATATATTTTAATTATAAGTGCAATTTTTGGGAAATATGTATTTTGTAAGTTTTTAACTTTAAATGAAGATCTAAATTAGTCTACTTAAAACCTCTCATATATCTCAAAGTGATTATCATAACATAATGATAGCTATCAACGAATCCTTTCTTTCATTCGACTTTTCTTCAAAGATACTTTCCTGTTACTTCACCCACGATGGATCCTAGCTCTTACAGATTCCGAAACTAAAATGACAGAACAAACAGCAAAAATTGAGAAAAGTTCATCAGTAGTGATAATCACTGTCATCTGCAGAATCTCAACAAAGCTTCCAATGTTTTTGGATCTCCATTCACTAAGGATAGTGATGCAACCGCTGATGGAAACCTGATATTTGGCGTTATTACAATAATTGAAAATTACCGACACGCCCTATCTATGATGTACTGATAAACTTAAAAGAAAGCTTCAGAGTACTCTTCAGATATCATTTTTGTACATCTAAGACCAGACATAGCCCACCATGAGTTTGTGTCGCTGAACCTGGTTACCTCACTTGGCTGTGTAATCGGTCTTGTCTTCATTCTTTACTAATTTACATCTGGAGAATATTATGTGAACATTCGGTTTGTTCTACATAAGTGCAATTACCAATATTATTATTACCAGTTATAATAACGATGTACCTGGAAGTGGTAACAACTAATAACTTACAGTATATTTTAATAAACGATAACATTATCCTTAATATGAATTTGTCAATACTTAAAAGTACTTTTTTCTATTCCTATATCAGTTTTTGCTTATTCTTTGTTTTAAATTGTCTGAAAATAAATAATTAAATTCCTCTGAAGCAATGAGATGGCTTTTGGGTGAAATAAAATAGTGTAACCCTATTAAGGAAGTTCCCAACCTTTGTATATCATGATGGTTGGGAGACAATTCGTATATTTTTCTGTTTATAAAATTGTTTGTCGAAGAGTAGAATATACTGCGAATATCTTGTGTAAACCTATTTAAGGATCGAAATATTAAACGAACTGTTTGAGTTTTACTGTGTGGTTTAAAAATTTCGTAGATTACACAAAACAAGAATCCGTAGTCACTGATTAAAAACTGTTAGTAATATGTTTCGGCGTTGTTTCAAAACCTGAGTTAACCTACAAGCCTGCTTAACTATTTTAAAGGTCAAAACGTTGTATGAATTAAAATGAAGTGCATCCTCAATGTATTCTTTCGGTTACTATTTTAACACTTAGTTTCATAATAGTGTTTTGTAATTTCATTTAATTATTCAGGTCAAGATCGCTGACAAAGAAGTTGACGTATTACCTAGCTTCCGATTGTATATTACAACCAAATTATCCAATCCATCATTTACACCTGAAATATCTGCTAGAACTTCGATTATTGATTTCACAGTTACAATGAAAGGTTTAGAAGAACAGTTACTTGGACGTGTTATACTAAGTGAACGACATGAACTGGAGGCTCAACGTGTTCAATTAATGCTTGATGTGCAATCGAATAAAACAAAAATTAAAGAACTAGAAGATAATCTATTATCACGTTTAGCAAGTGTACAAGGTTCACTAGTTGACGATGTTGATTTGATTGACGTATTAAGTTCTACTAAAGCAACAGCTGGTGATGTATCACGAAAGTTGGAAATTGCCTCTGAAACTGAAGTGCAGATAACTAGTGCCAGAGAAGAATATAGACCGATCGCAACACGAGGTTCAGTATTATACTTTTTAATTGTTGAAATGAGCTTGATCAACTGTATGTATCAAACATCTTTACGTCAATTTTTAGCGCTATTCGATCAGTCATTAGCAAGGTAAGTTGTATAATTTTGATTTATTGAATAATCTCACTCCTAAAATGGTACGAAGTAATTAATCAAGTCTGTATGTAGGATCGTAGTGAAAGTAAAATTGATGAAAACTTTTTTGTTCCATCATTAGATTATTCATTTTAATATATTTTTAGTACACAGGTATATCAAACAGCACAGGAAATAAAGAAATTCAGTTATAATTAATTTTTTGGCACCTAATAGGAGGGGATTGAAATAATCTCTTTTGGTATATCGAATCATAACTGCATAAGTGTCCAGAAGATAATTAGATTTCTTTTTAAACTAAAATTCTTGGACTAATATGTTATTAGTGTTTAACTAGTACTGTGGGAGGTATTACTCGTCATACTCACACTTTAAAAAGACCCGCTAGGAGTAAATTATCAGTAGATTTTGGATTTAAATAAGTTATGGGTACTTAAAAAAGACTGATATTAATCTATTTAAGTTTATTATCCATCGAATATTACGTTACTTATTTTCAGTAAGTCTACTTAGCATCTCTCAGTTTAGGTGTATGGAATAATGCGATCACAACTGAAGCTTGCGAAGTTTCAAAACAAAAGGTGAAAGGACTACTTTATATAACATTACCGACTAATCTTAATTAAATAACCATTGACAATAGGAAGTACTGAACAGCTGCTTCGTTTAAGATTTTTTTTTACTATACTAACATTCTTTCAAATTTTTATAGTCTAACATATGAAAGCTTATTTAATTAAAGTTCTTGGGCTAACTTAGCTCAACTTCACAGTAGTCTAGTTCATCTCAGAAGACAATAATTTAGCATTCAAGTGCTATACTAAGTAGGTAGAACGGATCTCTAAAAGGGGTTTTGACTACCTGGTGCTCCGATTTATTGATTTTTCACATATATGTAACACTGACATGAATTTTATTTATATTTTAGATCTGAAAAATCTCCAATTACCACGAAACGCATTACGAATGTGATTGACTATATGACTTACGATGTATGGAGATATGTTATTCGTGGTTTGTATGAAGTCGACAAATCGACGTTTTCTCTCTTGTTAGCGTTAAAAATCGATATGCAAGCTGGACGTGTTAGGCATGAAGAATTTCAGTGCTTTATCAAAGGTATTCATGAACATACCAACATTAATATTCATTTGTTATTAATAAGAGTGAGATACCAGTAGATTACCATCGTTTTGGTCTGTGAAACTTCGCTACTCAATAATAGAACCTGGGACCAATAAATAGTCTTTCTCATTTTAAGGCCGTGTTAATTTTATTAAATTAGTTTTCGGAAGATAAAAGTCTGATTATCAATTTTTGGTTGAGGTAAAACTCTTTGATTAAAGGGTTTTGATTGACTCTAGAAAACAAGTCTATGATATGCAGTGCAAAACAGATTCAAAATAAACTATAACAATTACACAATGGTTTCCATTTTCTAGTTCTCTCGTCAATATAAACTATATATTAATGTTTCAGGTAATTTTCCTGAAGTTAATTTAATAGAACATCAAGTATTAGTAAGCGTTTCCTGTTCATTGTCTCGAAACTGTCAAAGTGACGATCAATTATGAAGTGAGAGTTATTTAGTTTCCAAACAAATTATCATAGGCTGTGGCCCTTTGGTATAACCTAACAATTTTGCCTTTTTGATACTTCAGCTTTACTAATACTATTCGAAAGGTTGTGTATGTTGAGAAATTGTAAAAATTCTATGCTCCATGTTTTGATCTCTATTTCAGTTCTTTTATGCAGAAACTTTAAGTAACAGTAAAGGCTGAGCTACTCAATATTCGTTTACCTGAATGAACGCTCAAAACTTATCTTTTTTTCAAAGTCCACATTAGGAGCTTCGTTGCAGTAAAGTAATGGAATGATGAACTGTAGTTGTGTAATAGCTCCTCATATATGTCAATTTATTAAAGAGTACCATGCTGTGAACTAGAGTTCCCTTCAGCTTAACAGTCTTTGGTAAGATATTCCCACCCTTCAAAAAGGAAAAAAATACGTTTGTCAATCAACAGTCCTTGAGCTAAATATATGTTTATCATAAATCTCCTTCTTTTTTAAAGGTGGTGCATCTCTGGATTTAAACACTGTTAAACCAAAACCGTTTAAATGGATTACAGATATGACTTGGTTGAATTTAGTCGCTTTATCAAGTTTAAATCAATTCGCTAGCATTCTAGATCAAGTAGTTAGTAATGAACGTGGTTGGCGTCAGTGGACTGACAAAACTTCGCCTGAATTAGAAAATATTCCTGACGGTTACCAATCAAATCTAGACACTTTCAGACGCCTTCTACTTATTCGAGCCTGGTGCCCAGACCGCATAATGAATCAAGCAAATATTTATGTGGGTGACTGTTTAGGTAGAAAATTCGCTGAAGGATTTGTACTTGATTTAGATGGTGTCTACCATGAGTCAACACCACTTTGGCCAATAGTTGGATTACTTAGTACTGGTTCGGACCCCACTACGCAAATAGAGTTATTAGCCAAGAAATACAGAGTAAGTTTGTTTACATTTATTACCATATGTTTAGTAGTCATTATTATTGTCATTAGGCACATTGAACATACTTCGGCATGTTCTGCAGTACTTTGTAATTGTAATGATCATCATTATTTGCAAGATGTAAAAATAATAAGCTGTAAGTGAATTGTAGAATTAAGTACGTTTTACCATGAGCCGATAGTGGCTTTTGAAAATCATGGTTCAAATGTTATGATTATCTTGAAACCTACGACTCCCTAAGCCACCAATTTGAATTTGAACTTTAAATTGGACTTTCCTTATACACTACGTAATTAACTATACTTTTTTGAAGATATGTCTAAACTACTTATTATTTACTATCGACATTTTGATTTGGCTTTTTTCCACATTCATACACAATTCTTTTTAAAATATATAATGTGATATTATGTCAGTACATCACCTCAATGCGAATAATTAACTGGTCATTCGAGTATTTATATCAACTGTTGTCAAACCTAAAACCCATGTATGATGAAAAATAAAGTTGGTTGAAATCACAATTAGAGGACATTACAAGTCAGTACGTTACGAAATCAATTCCGCAATTTAAGGTGTTGACCAAAGATCATCAGCAAGCATTGAGAAAACTTATGAAAGATGAAATAATATTGCTACTTCGTCCAGATAAGGGTTCTGGTGTAGTCATCCTGAGAAGAGACAAATACACTAGCAAATTAATTTCCATTTTAAACGATTCTACGAGATTTATCATCGATAATACTCAGAAAGATTTAACATATGCGACTGTGAAGCGTCTTTTAAAAACGTTGAGAGAACTCTTGAAGAAAATTCTAATCCATTATCATACGTACAATGAACTCAAACCTGAAGAATCATAATTACCTTATTTATGCGAACTACCTAAAATACAAACCCGACATCCTGATAAAACCAATATTATCTATGACCAAATCACACTTCCATAAACTCGTCTGCTGGCTGACTAGGTGCTTAGAACCAACGCATAAGAGACTAGCATCCTACAGTCTGAAGGACGGATTTGAAGTTGAATAAGAGTTTGATAGCCCAAACGCTTCCGATTAATTCATGTTCTTGTTTAATATCTCATCACTCTTCACAAAGATCCCTCAGGAAGAAACGGCAGATACCATGTGTGAATATCCTGAACTCCTGCCTTTTCCGATTCACGAATTCGAACAGCTCCTGTTCCTGTACACCAAAACTCACAATTTCAATTCAACGATGTGTTGTACTGCCAAATCAATTTAGTAGCCATGAGTAGCTTTCTGGTTGTTATATTTACGGGAAATGTGGAGTAGAGGAAGCTCAAGCATGCAATCAATGGAACTACACTCTACTGCAGATATATTGATGACACATTTCTCGTCCACAACAATCACAAGCACTCCATGAACCTACTCGATCCCTTTAACAAAGCACACAAGGATATAGATTTTACTGTGGAACATGAAGTAGAAGTTAAATCCCATTTCTTAAATATTGGAATTAAACAAACCTTAGATGGCACATTACAAAGACACGTCCACCGCAAAAATACCTGGAGTGAAATTTATCTCAATTACAAATAAGTTACAAAAAGGGACTTGTACGAACCCTTTTTGACTATGCTCGTAAACTTTGCCTTCACTACAAATTACCCACGTAAAATTGCATTTCTAGCGAAATTCATAGAGAGATGTACTAAAACCAACGTTCTTGTTAAATATGATGCAGCTGTAAAGAAAACCTGCTTCTTACACTTTCTCTTTAAAGGAGATGAAAAAACTGGAATAATTAAACACAGGATAATTGTTGCGTTAAAGGTCTCTTATCCATCAGCAAGACTGAAATGAATCGCTCGCTCAAACAAACTAAGATTGGCAGGTCCTCTTTTCTCAGTACCTCCAACTATATTTACCAATTTATATGTACGTGCCAAAGCACATATATTGGAAGAACTGAGAGAAGAGTACATGTTCTCATTTCCGAGCATGTTCCAAAGAACTTGAAAAGCGAAATGGCTCTAAAGAGTGCATTGGCTCGGCATTTACTTGATATCGGGTATACCATTGATATTCCTCAAGCCTTTAAAATTATTAGCAGACAAAGAAACACAGCTTCTCTTTGGTTTCACTATTATTTCATATTTTTTTATTTTTCACACCTTATTTTATTTTTCGACCTATATTTTAATGTATCTTAATTATTATGACACTAGCATTAAGTCAGTTCTTGTGATATTTATCTTGTAGTTTTAATGTGAAGTGTGACTATTTTCGTCTGTTTATACTTTCTTATATGACTGGTGATCGATTTATTTATTCCCTAATTATTCATGTTCGGTGTCTTAATCAACTTAATATTTTATTCCCATAGTTGGATTTATCTGTTTCTGATGTTGAGATCTGTTTCACTCTGGGTCAATCTGTTCTTTGCCCTTCACTTTCATGTTTTCTACGGTTCGACCCTATATACATGGCTTCATGTTGATTTTCTCCAAAGACGTAACATTAGAAATCGTTTTGAATTCCTTTAAATGGATACTGGAACTATAAATAAATTAGCCCTTTTATATTCCTCTAGATTTTAATTATCTCAGAGAAGTAGACGGTGAGTTCTCCGTATTTCCGTTGATTTTCTACCGGAGGGTGATTGGCCCTTATTGTCACAGTAATCCCTCTAGGTTAATCCCTCCGACAAATCAACATAGAAATTATAACATGTCTTACAACTAACTAAAACCATCTAAGACTCAAGTGTTTATGTTTACATCTTACGTAGTGAATTTTGTTGTGTTTTCATTCAATTTTTTTTTCAGGTTGATTGTAAAATAATTTCTATGGGCCAGGGTCAGGAAATTCATGCTAAACGTCTGGTTAGTAATTTATTAACAACAGGAGGATGGATACTACTCCAAAATTGTCATCTATCATTGGCATATGTTGCCGAATTGTTAAGTCAAATAACTGAAATTCAACATATTCATCCAGAATTTCGTTTATGGGTCACAACTGAAGTACACACTCAATTTCCAATTTCATTTTTGCAAACCTCTATTAAGTTTACAAATGAACCACCTCAGGGTATTAGAGCTGGTATAAAACGAACATATGCAACGTTTACGCAAGTAAGTGTTAATGTAGAGGTCTAAATAACGTATCCTAACTTTAGAGGCCAGACGAGCATGCAACCTTTACAAAACATCTTCAAATCTGTTTCTAGTTTTAGTTCACTAGTCGAACATACTTACTTACTTACGCCTGTTATTCCCAATGAAGCATAGGCCGCCGACCGGCATTCTCCAACCCACTCTGTCCTAGGCCTTCTTTTCTAGTTCCATCCAATTCTTGTTCATTTTTCTCATGTCTATCTCCATTACCCGGCGTAATGTGTTCTTTGGTCTTCCTCTCCTCCTTCGACCGTGAGGATTACAAGTAAGGACTTGTCTTGTGATGCAGTTCGTTGTTTTTCTCAATATGTGTCCTATCCACTTCCAGCACTTCTTCCTGATTTCTTCCTCCAATCGGATCTGATTTGTTCTCTCCTACAGTAGGTTGTTGCTAATAGTGTCTGGCCAACGGATTCGAAGTATGTTGCATAGACAACTGTTAATGAACGCCTGTATCTTCTGGATGATGGCTTTCGTAGTTCTCCAGGTTTCGGCCCCATACAGTAGAACTGTTTTGACATTTGTATTGGAAATTCTGACTTTGGTGTTGGTTGACAGTTGTTTTGAGTTCCAGATGTTCTTCAGTTGTAAATATGCTACTCTTGCTTTGCCGATCCGTGCCTTCACATCTGCATCAGGTCCACCGTGTTCATCGATGATACTGCCCAAATATGTAATGGTTTGTACATCTTCCAAATCTTCTCCGTCAATTGTGATTGGATTGGTGCATGCTGTGTTGTACCGGAGAATCTTGCTTTTCCCTTTGTGTATATTGAGACCTGTTGCTGCTGAGACTGCTGCTACACTGGTCGTCCTCTCCTGCATTTGTTGTTGCGTATGCGATAGAAGATCCAGATCATCTGCGAAGTCTAGATCATCCACCTGCATCCTAGCTGTCCACTGTATCCCGTGCTTCCCTTCAGATGTTGATGTCTTCATGATCCATTCGATCACCAGGAGTAAGAGAAAGGGTGAGAGTAAGCAACCTTGCCTGACACCGGTCTTTACTTCGAACGACTTTGTCAACTGTCCTCCATGAACGATTTTGCAGTTTAATCCATCATAGGAATTCCGTATGATATTGACTATCTTCTGAGGCACGCCGTAGTATCGAAAAAGCTTCCATAGGGTTGTTCTGTCCACGCTATCAAATGCTTTCTCGTAGTCAATGAAGTTGATATAGAGTGATGAATTCCATTCAATTGATTGTTCCACAATGATCCGTAGAGTTGCGATTTGGTCAGTGCACGATCTATCCTTACGGAATCCTGCCTGTTGGTCGCAAAGTTGGGCGTCTACGGAGTCCTTCATCCTGTTTAACAATACCCTGTTGAAGACTTTTCCTGGTATTGAGAGAAGAGTGATTCCCCTGTAGTTGTCACAGTTGCTGAGATCGCCTTTCTTTGATATTTTGACTAGAAGTCCTTCTTTCCAGTCTTTTGGTACCTGTTCCCCATCCCAGATCTTTCTGAAGAGAATGTGGAGTATCCTTGCAGTTACTGCTACGTCTGCTTTCAGTGCCTCTGCTGGAATGTTGTCTGGTCCTGATGCTTTGCCACACTTGATTTGTCTGATAGCCATGCTGATTTCTTCAATTGTTGGTGGGCTAACATCGATTGGGAGGTCTGTGAGTGCTGCTTTGATGTTGGGTGGGTTCAGTGGGGCTGGTCGATTCAAGAGTTCTTCGAAGTGTTCTACCCACCTGTTTCGTTGTTCTTTAATGTTGGTGATTACCATGCCTTCCTTGCTTTTCACTGGTCGTTCTGGTTTACGGTGATTTCCAGAGAGTTTCTTTGTTGTTTCATACAGTTGTCTCTGTTGGGATGGTCCAGAAAAATCCTCGCAAAAGACACGCAAGGTTCAGGAAACCTTGAGAAGCATTTCATCCAATCAGCGCTCGCTTGGAGCTTAGCCAGGAAACGTCAAGGATGAGAAACGTCACATGTAGAGATTCTGATTGGTTGATTGTTATACCGCTACTATGTTTAGTAGCATTCCAGAATCTTCGAGCAACCCAAGGACATTTCGAATATTATAAAAACCCTCTGTTTTCTGTATTAGAATGAACCTTGAAGTAAAGTACTTTTCGCATACTTTACGCCTTCTCTCTCGTGTTCAGGTCGCTGTATAGTTCTAGCTTGGGGGTTTCAAGAATAGCTTAGGAACCGAGCATAGCGTTCAAAATCGCAAGACTTATCAGTCTCATGTTTCCTTCTCTTTCAGCCTTTTCCGCTATCACTGTCAAATCTTCCACATATTTACGTTTGTCGGTCCTGATGCTCCTCTTCACTTGCTTGTTTATTTCTGTGTATTCAGCTTGTACCTTGACTTTTTCTGCTTTTGTTCGGCTGGTATTTATTGCTGTCTTCTTGTTCCTCCTTTCTTGAATCTTATCCAGTGTATCGATCGTGATCCAATCCTTGTGATGGTGCTTCTTTTGGCCCAGAACCTCATGACATGTTGAAGTGATTGTCTCTTTTATCTCTTTCCAGTTGCTCTCCATAGTAGTTTCTTCTCCATTGAGTAGATCATGAAAGGCTTGGAACTTATTGCTGAGAACTATCTTGAATTTGTTGAGTTTGTCAGTATCCCGAAGAAGAGCCGTATTAAAGTTTTGTGATATTGTCCGCCCCGTTGTCCAGTGCTTCTTGAGTTTCAATTTCATCTTGGCGACCAGCAAGTGATGATCTGATGCTATATCAGCTCCTCTCTTTGTTCTCACGTCCTCCATCGTCCTCCTGAACTTTTTGTTGATGCAGATATGGTCGATTTGGTTCTGTGTGCTGTGATCCGGTGAAGTCCATGTGGTTTTGTGAATGCGTTTATGTGGGAATATAGTGCTGCTTATGACCAGTTTATTGAAGGCACATAGATTTGCAAATCTTTCACCATTTTCGTTCCTTTCTCCCAGTCCGTGTCGTCCCATGATCTGTTCATATCAGGTGTTGTCAATTTCAACCTTGGCATTTAGGTCTCCCATCAGAATAGTCAGGTCTTTTGTTGGGCACTTCTCGACGATTGACTGCAGCCTATCGTAGAATTGATATTTAGCGTCTTCATTGTAGTCGTTGGTAGGCGCGTCGCTTTGGATGATGTTCATTGAAATGCCCTCTTTGTTTGTTTTGAAGGAGGCTTTGATGATCCTTGGTCCATGAGATTCCCATCCTATAAGTGCATTTTGTGCTTGTTTGGACAGCATCAATGCAACTCGTTGTGTATGTGGGGCATTTTCTTGTTCATCATCGGAGTATAACAGCAGCCCCCCTGAAGCTAGTCGTTGTTGTCCAACTTGCGTCCAATGTGTTTCACTGATCCCAAGCACCTCTAAATTGTATCTCCTCATTTCTGCAGCAATTTGGAAAACTCTCCCAGTCTTCCACATTGTGCGAGCATTCCATGTACCTAAATAAATGGTTGCTCTGGTTGTCAGAAAGGGCATCGGCTTCGTGACTTCCGAAGGAGCTCGGCTTTCATCATGAGGCGTCATAATTCTTCTAAATGAAGACCTGACTCCCAGGGCAGAGTTTAAATGGTTTGAATAATTTTTTTGGTTAGCGTTCTTTTAGCGAGTTATTTTTCTACGGGATGGGGTCGCTAACCCCATGCCCAACCCTCCTCCTTTATCCGGGCTTGGGACCGGCAGTAGCCCCCGGAGGGACTTCAGGCGGAGTTAGTCGAACATACATGACCAGTATTTTCAGAGTTGTTTGGAGATTATTAGAAGCTGAAATTTTAAATGTGCATTTGAACACTCTTAGATTATATCTTTATGAATATAAAATATTTAAGAGTCCGAACACGTCTAAATTTGTACTAGTAAGAAAGTTGGAGAGTGATTACAAGTCTTATAAACATGAAAGAGTCAAATGTATCTTTTGAGTTCAAGATTCGGAAACTCATTTCTTGTACCATTATTTTAGGCTGTCGTGGAGAAAACCATCCCACTAGTATTCATTGAATACCCAATAGTTTATAAAGCCTGGGCTTGCTCATTTCATGGGTAAATTGACAAATTTATGGCAAAAATCAGATCCTTTTTTTTATTATTTAGCTTTTGTGTTAATATTGCAAATATAAACTAATTGCATTTGAATTATTCAATAACTCTTTGTTCAAATGACCAAACATTATAATATTGATATTTCTATAAAGAACCTAAATTGAATGAATTGTGTGGATGAGTGGTGATCGCTCGGAAGTACTGAAATATTGACACAAAGACCCAGAGGACCGCTGTAAAATAAACAGAACGGCTGGCCGATTATAAAAAATCATTTCATACATAGAAAATCACATAATGATGTACAAAACTCTTTGCCCAGAAATCAACAGGACTAAAGTTTGTTTAAAGAGTAAATGTTTGTAAGATTCCGACTCGGTAGGTCACTTACTATCCAAAATATTTGAGGTCTAACATATTACCAACCGTGTCATGTATAAGTCATTCACTGTGGTTGAATACCCTTATCAAAATACTTCACCTATATGTAAAGATAGTCAGAAGAAAGATTACGCCCAGAATTTGTCCTAAAAAGATAAAAGGGTTAAACTTCCTCCCCATTATTGGTAAAGCTTTGCGATTTCTCGTTTGTAGCATACAGGATCGCATTTGATCAATCTCTCTCTTGGTTAATAGGACGGAACGCGCATCCCGAATTTGATTGTTAGCCAGAACTTTTCCAGCTGTGGTACGAATGACACATACTTTTAGTCATAAAAGGATAGACATCGGTACTTCTCACTGTTGAGCTATGACATATTTTAGTTGAAGTTCAATTCTACTAGATGTTCACCGGTTTTATCACTGTTTCTTGTGTGTACCAGAATCACTGAGTTCGCAATAGCAGTATTTAGTTTGGAGTGGTGAATCAACCTGAGTGATTGTACAGACGTATTTGCTGAAATGACTGGGTTAATTTATGCCCACTGAAAGTTTGTCCCCTAATATCTCTAAAATAAAGACCATTATCTCTATCTTACTACCAAGTTCATTTGCATTTTTACCTCATATATCTATGACATTTAGGACTATTTAGATATTAATAATCGACCTCAATGGAAACCAATGATCTATGCAATATCCTTTTTACATACAACAGTACAAGAGAGACGGAAATTTGGTTCGCTAGGTTGGAATATCGCCTATGAATTTAATACATCTGATCTAAATGCAAGTCTACAATTTGTACAGAATCACTTGGACGATATGGATCCAAAACTGGTAAGTGAAATATTGCCTTTTAAAATTTCGATGTGGATTAGGTCATTATGAACATTATTAAGCTCTGTAGATAAAGATTGTTGTCTTGAGGCAATCTTTTGTTAGATTCATTCAGGTTTGTTACGTTTTAAATATTACTGGTAAGAAATACGACAACACGACAAATATAGTCCGTTTTATTTAATACATCATTCCTATTCCATTTTAATAATTCTCCTATTTTATGATTAAATACTATTTATTTATTTATTTATTTTAACACATTGATATTGGTACAAGGAGGCATCAAATATATATGCGCCACACAGATCTCATTTGATATGTGGTTAAATACTGTAGTAGTCTTTACCAGCTAAGTTGTATTCTTAAGTTAAAAATCTCTTAAGTTTGAATTGAAGGTCCCAAAGCTTAAACTGCACACTTAGCTAGGATATCACCTGTTGAAAATATTACATGATGATTACAGTATATAAACATTTTCTACATTAATCGGTCAGTGGATAGTTTTCAATATAATCCATGTCTTATCCTCAATATAAAACCTGGTTCAGTAAACAGTAATAGGCTAATTGATATAACATTATTATATATTATATTCGGTATCAAATGATTGAAGAAAATCTATGTAAACTTCTATCCCATTGTACGTTGTAATTTAGAGCATTTTGTTATTCCCGAGTAACATTACTTTTTACTTAGAGGACAATTAAAATTAATAATATAAGGATACAAACAAAAAGTAAAACTATTGTATCAGTTACTGAATTCCAGATTGATTCTGTTAGGTGTTTTCTTCTTAGAATGGTACATAATCCCAATCAGTTGTAACCAGTATTAGTTTGGCTAATTATTACCTTTGATTTGCTCAAATCCCTTTTATACAAAGGTTGTTAGCGGTTAAAGAATTAGTTTTACTGACAAATACGTAGATATGTCTTGATATAATTGCTACATATATTGTTCGTAAAACTATCACCACATATACATTGATACGTTCTACTCCTTACTCGTGATGATAATATATTGATCAATCAGAAAACAATATCTTACTTCATTCAAGCCCTTACCAACCACCCCATTCCCTCTTAACAGCTTGTCATTCTGTAACGGTTATCAGTTTCACAATGCTTTTATCAAATGATTGTTCCGATTTTTGCTTATAAAGTAATATATACTTGCTGAATACAAACTCATTATGATTTGCAACTTAATATTGGCTTACTGGTGGTAAGGAATCGTAAAACAAATAATTATTACTCAGTAGTTTTTTCGTTGTCACTCTTTAATTTTTTTAATTTATTTGTTAGGGAATTGATTGGAAATGTGTCACATACATGCTTGGAGAAATTCAGTATGGTGGTCGAGTAACTGATGATTTCGATAATCGGCTTTTGAACACCTATTGCAAATTGTGGTTCAATGAAAACTTATTTAATTCAGAATTCGAATTTGCACCAGGTTATAAAATTCCACATGTGCAGAAATTAAGTGAATTTATTAATGCTATTAATGAAATCCCATTGTATGATTCACCTCAAGCATTTGGATTACACGAAAATGTTAATATAACGTAAGACAATTACCACTTTTTTCGATCCTTTATCAAAAAATAAAGAGTAGCATACAATTACTTTGTATCTTACACCTTAACGCAATGTCCATAAATGACTTTTCTAAGGAATAAAACGAAATGGTTTCAATTCTTTCTAGCGCAACTGTTCAACTAGTATAATTGGAGAGTATTTTTTCACATATTGTATGGGTGGATCTAATGCAGCAGTTACTGTCCATACTACGCTAGAACGAAAAATAGCATACAAGCCAAAATCACAGTTATGGATGACAACCAATCAAATTTCCGGTCAACAGTCTATTGTGGAGAGGTTCTAATAGCTCACCACTCTTTGAAGTACATAATGATGTTGTTCAAAAAAACGAAGCTTTACAGCCAATTCAGAGATCACAACAACTCCAACTTTCTCAAGTCGCTTAGACACTAGGTTAAATTTTAGACATGATTTCTAAAACATTGATATAACGTGCCATTTTTTCCTAAAAGTTTTCAATTGCCTTACTTCCGATCACTGATACATACATTTCTAAATGATCTCATATGGAATAGTTAGTCTATTCGTTATAGTTCATTATATCTCTAATATAGTCGAAATGGTAGACTATTAAACAATAAATCTAACCCTTATTGTTCTAAAATCTATAGATTGAATTACTTTTAAATAATAATAGTCCAGAAACCAAAAATTCAATTTCCGATTAAGATTTACATGAGATGTAAAAGAAGTTTAGTGACTGAGCTCAGTAAGGCTATTAATATATATGTCTATCCAATTTATCTTTTTTTTATGATCTACCTACGGAGATAAATGACGAAGAGGCTAAATGTATAATCACTTTTGTTGGGAGCTTTTTTTCTCACACACAATTGTTTTTTTTTTACTATGTAATATCGTATTTCATTGCTGTTGAAATCTCTATAGATATCAGAGTAAAAAGGCTAAAGTTATTTTGGATTGTATATTAAATGTCCAACCAAAAGATGCAAACACTGGCGCATTAGAAACACGTGAAGATGTAGTACGTCGTATGGCTATGGACATGCTTGACAAATTACCACCTAATTATATACAATTTGAAGTGAATGAACGTTTGAATCAAATGGGTGAACTACAACCGATGAATATTTTTCTACGTCAAGAATTAAATAGAATACAAAAGTTACTTACAATAATGCGTGAAAATCTTGTCGACTTAACATTGGCTATTGATGGTACGATTGTAATGAGTGAACAGCTAAGACAAGCACTAGATTGTATGTATGATGCGAGAATACCCAATCAATGGAAAAAGGTATTACTTGGTGAATTTTACGCGTCAATTTTCTTTAGCAAATGGATTTTGTAAAGATTCATCAACATTTATGTAATTCATTATACAGTGTTATAACAGATAGAACTTGGTATGATTTGGTCTATTCATCGCTTGGGTTGGTCTGAATAGTGTGGACTACAGGCGATTCTCTATAAAACTAGAGATATTGATGCAGTATCCTAATAAATGGGTATTAGAAGACAGAATAGCTATTTAGAAAAGCACTATTCATTCCATATGACGAGATTACACACATACAAAATAAACGTGGCTGGTACTTATTTACTGGAATCAGATTTCGTAGGTCATTTCTTAACCTACAAAATTAAGGTCTGATTACCACCAGCCCCTCACTGCTCCCCATATCAGAGCAATTTATATTTAAGAAACTCTCATTATGGCTAATTTATTCGATAATTCATTTAAATTGTAATAAACTACCCCAACAGGCGTACATCTTTTTATTTAAGAGGACAACCAACAACGCAACTTGAGGTACTTAGAGAATAATAGTTAACAACACTCAAAATAGTCTGGATAAATCAGAATGACAGTTAAATGTTAAGAATATATTTTATTGAACAAATACGTGAGAGTTGTTGGCATTCTTTTTTTAGTAAGAATGTTGTGTACTGAAAACTGCATTATTCATTGATGACTGGAACCTATCAACTGATCTGTCAAGGTCACATAATCAGCTTGGATCGCAGTGCATTGAACTTAGTGTTTGAAGATACTCATCAGTAAGGCACACTTACAATCTCAACAAAATTTGTACCTGATCTCTTCGAATCCTCAGTAAGCTATGGAAAACAGATAATACCACTACTTTTTTCACACCTTTGTTGTCTATAAATGAAGACTTTAAGAATGAGGATTAGTGTTTTGTGAGAGTTCTAAATCTGACCAAATGATAAGTAATCTCACTAGTTTCAGATCAACAGGATCTTTTAGTATGAGGAAACGATATTTGCATTAGTTACAATTGTCTCTGTGGTACTCCAGACAATTCATTTCTCGATAAAACTGGAAACGTGTGGAAAAGTAGTCAGTAGGCACACCTGCGTTTGTGTTTGGCTTGACTTTTTAGCTCTTATTTAGACAGCTATACGATATCGTTTCTTAGTGAGAGGGCAACAGATGGAAGTAATTAAGTCTCAATATAAAAATCAACTAGTAATATCCATATTTCTCTATCTTCTCTTTATTTCTTATCCTTAGCTATCATGGGAATCATCTACATTAGGATTTTGGTTTACCGAATTAATTGAAAGGAATCATCAGTTTTATGAATGGTTATACAATGGACGCCCGGTATGCTTTTGGATGACAGGCTTTTTCAATCCACAAGGATTTCTTACAGCAATCAGACAAGAGGTGACACGTAGCCATAAAGGTTGGGCATTAGATACAGTTACATTATGGAATGAAGTAACTAGATTTATGAAAGATGATATTCAACGTCCACCGACTGAAGGTGCATATATTCATGGGTTATTTTTAGAAGGTGCTGAATTCGACCAAAAGAATTTGCGTCTAACTGAATCGAAACCAAAAATATTATATCAACCAATGCCGGTTATTCATATACAGGCTATGGATATATCTAAAGACAAAGAGATATCCAAAGAAATGCTGAAAAACTTCTATGTATGTCCAGTGTATAAAAAACCATGTAGAACAAACCTAACCTATGTTACTTCACTTTATTTACGTTGTCCGCCTAACAAATCAGCTGATCATTGGGTATTAAGAGGTGTAGCCTTGTTATGCGATATAAGATGAACTACTATTTTTCTTATCCTCTATTTCTATTGCTGTTATGATAAATAAACAAGTAGATAAATGTATACAGCCTCATCTTTTTGTGTATGTGGCAATGAAGAATCCATTTATACTTCTTTAGAATGAGAAATTAAACTCAATCTTTGTTTTGTATAGAAACAGAACAGAGAATTTTTAACAAATACTTTTGTGAGAAGGGTTCGTATAGATCTGGCATCATTTAAATGACTGATAAAGACCAGGTACTAACTTTACATTTTATTAAATCTTAGCTAATTTGTACTGAAAAACTTTGATGAGAACAGAATTTTCGACCATCCAATAGTTTATTTAGATATTGGTTGACAATAAAACTTTGATTTGTTGAAGAAGTTGACACAACTTTCAATTCAATTAAAGGATACAGAGAGAATTCATTAGAGATTGATTTCCTTCATAATTAATATAGTGTTTTGCGCACTAGAATCGTTGGCTGTGGTGACCCTTGAGGAGGAAGCTAAAAGAGGGAGTTTAGGTTTGAAAGTCGATGTAAGAGGAATAATAGGAATTGAAGAGGTAGGTTGATTATGAATACAGTGGTCTTGAGTGCTGTTAGAGGTATGAGGGCGGTTATCACTCCTCGGTTGCCCACACCGTGGAAGGGTTCTGCTGGAGGTACCTGAAAAGGAAATTGGATTAGAGGTGGTCATAGTGACCTGAGAGCGTGACCGCAGTGCCCAAGGGACAGCTGCTTGAGGTCGGTCACACACGACCTTTTTATGAGTAATTTTTGTGTTAGCTCCGTACTTGTTGAGACCTTACCGCCGGAGACGGATATCCGTGGGATAAGGCGAGGTGTGCATTTTTAGGGTCGACCTTTTCTAACCCCTCCCCTCCTTTTGGGAAGGCAGCATCGCTGTTATGCTGGTTGTCTGAAGGAAACGCCTTACTGCTGTCACATCTCTGTACAGTCAGCAGTACGACTTCGCCTTCGGACCTTGGTTTTGTTGCTTTTAGTCTTACCGCTCTTCAACCGACCTGTATGGCATGATAGGACCTTGAGGAACGGTTGTTCCAGCCAGTATAGCTCAGTTGCTTCATCACGATAAGCAAGCCCGACCACCACGTCAGGGTAGCAACAACGTGAGCTGCAAACACGTGAAAATCAGGCTGGCTTCAGACCTGGTCGTGGCTGCATCGACCACATATTCACCATTCGTCAGGTTTGAGAACACAGGCATACTTATCGGCGTCCGACAATAGTGGTCTTCCTTGATTTAAAAGCAGCGTTTGACTCTGTTGACCGAGAGGTTCTGTGGCAGTGTCTGTTATTCAAAGGCGTACCTCAGAAGTACATAAACCTTGTGAAAGCTCTTTACTCGAACACTACTAGTCGAGTGAGAGCTTATGGCGAATTGTCATCTGCTTTCGCAACCTCAAGTGGTGTCCGCCAAGGCTGTCCACTTTCTCAATTTTTGTTTAACTTCATCATAGATCTACTGATGGAAATAACGCTCTCATCGACTGAATTCTCAGGTATTGATCTCCTACCAGGAGGTCCACTTATTGACTTAGAATACGCAGATGACATAGTCCTGTTTGGTGAAGACGCTGATGAAATGCAGTCTTTTGGTAGCACTGAGCAACAATGCCAGAATGTTTGGGATGCGCTTCTCTCCCTCCAAATGCAAGTTGTTGCTTCAGGACTGGTCTGCGTCGACACCTGAACTAAGGATAGGGGGTGAAGTAGTCGAACACGTCGACAACTTCACTTATCTTGGAAGTCTGATCAGCCCTAATGGGTTGGTGTCTGACGAAATCTCTGCACGGATTCGAAAAGCTCGCTTGGCCTTTACCATCTTACGTCATCTATGGAGAAGGTGAGATATCCGCCTATCAATTAAGGGACGAGCATACTGCGCGGCAGTTCGTTCCGTTCTACTATACGGCTGCGAAACTTGGCCTTTAAGATTAGAAGATATTCGTAAGTTACTAGTATTTGATCACAGATGTCTTAGAAAAATTGCTCGCATCTGCTGGGATCACAGGGTAAGTAATAGTGAGGTTAGACGTAAAGTATTGGGGAATGATGGTAAATCAGTTGATGAGGTTGTGAACCTTCATCGACTGAGATGGTTGGGCCACGTGCTGCGTATGCCCGAACACCGATTACCTCGGCGCGCAATGCTAACCGGTGTTAGGGATGACTGGAAGAAGGTTAGGGGCAGCCAAACCAAAACGTGGCATCAGTCATTGAAGTCACTAACTTCTGGTCTGAGCCATATTGGTAGATGCAGACTACCTGGTTGGGGTCCGCTTGACTATCGTAACCAATGGTTGGAGACTCTTGGTGACATGGCTCAGAATCGATCACAATGGCGTCGGTGTATACACTCTCTGTCTTCCTTTAAACTAAGAGATTAAAATCACTTCAAATCTTTCTTTCTACGAACTAATTCTATCTTCCTGTACTATCTCCTTATACACACTCTTTCTTCTATATATTACCACCACTGAATTAACTACTTCTATGAATCCGGTGTTCATCTTGTTGTGCTAATGCGGTATGGCAACTTGGACCGATGCATATACGTGCCTGGTCCTACGTTGCAGCTGACTGACTACTAATTAATATAGTTTTATCATTTATGTGGGGTGATAAAGATAATCCACATATGGCTTTAACATTATATTGATTTTCTATAGAAACATCCCTATAGAATATTGTTTTCGAATAAATAATAAAGTAGTTTACGACTTGAACATATTTGTACTGAAACAAATGATCAGGAAACTACGTAAAATTTTCGGTACCATATAGTAAGTAAATTATACGCATTTGCAGTGATATAGTTTAAAATGTGAGAGGTAGTGAAACTACCCAACTACTCAAATTGCAGTAGACGGAGTTCCCTTCAAACCTAAATGTTTTGGTGGGACGACAGAGGGTCTACTGGTTTTAGGTATATAAAATCAACCTATGAGTATCATACACATTTTAAAAAGAAGTTATAATAAACACAAGTAGATTATCACGATTTCATCTTTTTTCCTATAACTAGCAATGTTTCAACTGATTTAGGTACAAGGCTTCTAACTAGATGATAGGTTCTAACGTCACTTTGCTTACTGAACCTCAAACAACCAAGGAAATTATTAGTACTCGCACAATATGGTATGATAGTCCTAAGAATGCTTTAGTTATAAATAGTATACATTAGAAACAATGTAGACTTTAGCTGTAGATATTTATTGCATTTTCAGATATACTACTCTTCACACTGAATGCCTGCTAAAACGAGTAAAACCTCACTGGTTTAACATTCAGTCTTAATATATATCTATGTTTGAGCTCATTTGAGTCAGTCAGTCAGCTACAACGTAGGACCAGGCACATATATGTATCGGTTCAAGTCGCCACACATCATTAGCACAGCAAGATGAACACCAGTTTCATAGAACTAGTTACTTCAATGGTGGCAATATATAAAAGGTTGCATATACAGGACGAAATATTTAGTACGTAGAAAGAAAGATATGAAGCGATTTTAATTCCATAGTTTAAGGGAAGACAGAGTGTATACACCTACGCGATTGTAATCAATTCTGAGCCATGTCCCCAGAGTGTCCAACCATTGGTTACGATAGTCACGCGGACCCCAACCAAGTAGTCTGCATCTACCAATATGGCTCAGACCAGAAGTTAGTGACTTCAATGACTGATGCCACGTTTTGGTTCGTCCGCCCCTAACTTTTTTCCAGCCATCCACAACACCGGTTGGCATTGCGCGTCGTGGTAATCGGTGTTCAGGCATACGCAACACGTGGCCCAACCATCTCAGTCGATTAAGATTCACAACCTCATCAACTGATTTACCATCATTCCCCAATACTTTACGTATAACCTCACTATTACCTGCCCGGTGATCCCAGCAGATGCGAGCAATTTTTCTAAGACATCTGTGATCAAATATTAGTAGCTTACGAATATCTTATACTCTTAGTGCCCACGTTTCGCAGCCGTAAAGTAGAACAGAACGAATTGCTGAGCAGTATAATCGTCCCTTAATTGATAGATGGATATCTCGCCTTCGCCATAGGTGACGTAAGTTGACAAAAGCCAAACGAACTTTTTGAGTCCGTACAGAGATTTCGTCAGACACCAACCCATTAGGGCTGACCAGACTTTCAAACAGGACTATGTCATCTACGTATTCTAAGTCCATAAATGGACCTCCTGATAAAAGATCGACTACCGGAAATTCAGTCGACGAGAACGTTATTTCCATCAGTAGGTCTATGATGGAGTTGAACAAAAATAGAGATGGTGGACAGGCTTGCCGGACACCAGTTAAGGTTGCAAAATCAGATGATAGTTCGCCATAAGCTCTGACTTGATTGGTAGTGTTCGGGTAAAGAGCCTTCACAAGATTTATGTACATCTGAGATACACCTTTCTTTCAATGACAGACGCTGCCACATAACCACTCATTTGAAGCAATGTTTAAATCTTTTATCAGACTGAAAAAAATATTTTAGAACTCAAGTTAATTATTCCATTTGAGCATTGGCACTGTTCCGAACTATTTTTACAGTATTTTCCGAGGCAAATAATTTAAGTGTACAATCCGAGAAGTTAGAATTTCTTAATTTTCGCAAATTTGTAAGGTCAAAACAATATCATATTTCTCATAAATGTCATTGTTGAGAACAAGGATAACAATTTAAGATAAATTTAAAAATTATTTTTTCGGATACTAGATAACATGTTAATGTACATAATTAAAATTACAATAGTGTCACTTATCCACCAAGCATATGTTTTATTCTAGACCAGCTTGTAACAGTAACAGCGATCGCACCAACAGCAAATCCAGCTACCCCACCAAAGCCGCAACGTTTCCAGCCACCTGGTTTAAACATTCCTAGTGGTTTAAAAAGAATTAATTTAGTTGAAGTGCTGAAAACGATAACACCTGTTTTAAAATGTTTTTTTTTAATTACTACTCATCACATTCTACAATTTTACCTTTCTAATAATGCGAAAAGATGAAAAGGGCAGATGCAGAGGAAATATTCCAACAGTTTAATCTGACACACTAAAACTTATTAAAACAAATATGAAAGTTTGGAAAAAGACGATACTTTTTTGTTACAATGTAATGCCTAACCGGAATTCGTACAGATACTTTTCTCTTAGCATGCGGTTAATATTTGCCATAACTGTGAAGAATAAAGTGGTACGAGAGTACTGGTTTAGTGTTTAAAATATTCAACTTGGCCACAGATCCGAAAGTCATTCCGCTTACTTCAGTTTAGAAAGCAAGGAAGTACAAGTGATAGACTAGGTCAAACAAATATGTGATTTCAATGGCAAATGATAAGTGGAAGATCTTGACGGGTTCATGCTACTTGTCTATATTTGGTTTAATTATCCGATGGAGACAGGTAGATGCTATTGATCGAAAATCTGACTTAACAAACCGAGGGACACACATACATTAATGACGGAGTTTGTGTATTTATATTGATTCGGGTTAGCTAATAGAAGCTTCCTACTGACTCTTGGTTTTCACGCTCAAGTAGATTATTGGGTTCGTAAATAAGACAAATGACATTACCACACAAAACTACCCAATGACCATTTGGGTGATAAAGGAATGTTTATTATTTATTTTATTTTAACACATAGATATCGGTACAAGAAGGCACCAAATACATATGCGCCACACAGATCTCATTTGATATGTGTGAGGGCTGTGATACTGCCCGGGTGCCCAAACCGAAGCAGGTGGTTTTCTTAGAGGGCCACACCCCGAGCCTTTGACCTAGAGGTCTAGTCCACAAGGCAGTGGAGCATCGTGAGGAGATGCAGTCCCATGGAAGCCGGTGACCAACGATTGGTTCATACGCCATTTGTTCCCGCAGGATACTGGAGCCTATGTGCACCATTGGTTTGGGAATGTAACAGTTGTTGATGAGATCTCCAAATTTAGACGATTAAGTGGTTAGAAATTTTGGTCTGGTTTAGTTCGAAATCCCCGATAAGTTCGTCTATTCTATCTTCTTCGGAATTGTAAGCGTTACATGACTTTTTTGTATCTTTCCTTCTAGACTTGTTTCTTAATTTAGTGTCAATTTCGGATCATTTCCTTCGTAATGTTCTGATACGTACTACATGAAACTAATGTATTACGTGAACATTTTCGAATTATTGTGATTACATGATAGGCTTACATAATGCAAGCTCTGAGGCGAGCCTGTAAATTAGTGGGAACTGTTGGGTCCTAAACAGATAGGTTGAAAAGTGCTACACATAATTTTAAGAGGGAGAACAGCTCAATCACAAAATGGTTGGTGTTTAAACTATTAGATAAATACGTTTCACTGATAACATGTTTTGTCTGAAACCTATGAACTTTCAAACCTGATTTCAAGAACCTGGTTTGGGTTCAACAAATTTTGGCAGCTTATAGTTTGAAGTAAAAGTTATTTCCTAAACTTTCGTTGTAAAAAACGCGCTTTCAATTTCTTCAAAAATGTTTGTAAATAGACGGAATGTCGTTAATGTATGCAACCGAAGAGAACAACAGTAGTTGAACGACGCAATTTCTTGATTATGCACTAAACAAACAATGTATAGTTATATACATATTTACTATAATGTTTGTTAGGATGGTGTTTCAAAACAAGAGAACCTGGATGAAATGGGTCATTGTTCTCAATTTTATGTCAGCTGGTTAGGATGCCATAATCGAGGATTTGATAACTAGTTGTAACCTACCAGCTAAATTCGCTGGTGACTTCTAGACTTAGCGTTACAACTACGATGAGTGGTGCTCCGAATTTAATGTGATGTTATTTTCCCAGAAACAATAAGGGTTAGAATGTTATCGCAGACGTCGCTGTGGTACAACGAAAATGACCAAATAAAGCAAGTGACGTATAAAAAGCACCTATCAACAATAGAATGGTACAGAAAAAAATGTTAAATCGCTTACCAGGAGAGGTATACACCAAACCGGTAGTCGTAGCTGCTGCCATTGTATTTATCTCATCTTCTGCATTACCACGTAATTTGTAGATCAAAAAATCTGCCACAGCATATATAAACCCTATCGAACCTGCAGTCTGAGCAAGTGTTGCTCCGGATTTAGTCAGATGATTCAGCATTTGAGTTCGTCTGATAGCAAGTGTCGGAAGATTCTTTATTTCTGAATCTTTAAAACCACTGTATAATCCTTTGATCCCCCCAACAGATGCACCTAAACATCACTTATTCGACTGTAGTATAGTTACCCCCAATAACCATAGCTCCGATTTCGGAAAACGATCGCTCAAAGCGACCTCGACGTTTCTCCCCTTCAGGAAAGATGAATTGCTCTTCGGGATTCTGAGAATGAACTTATCAAGTTGATGCTGCTTACCGAGATCAAAATAGATGGGTCGAAATTCAAAAACGGTGAGACGAAAATATTGCGATCTAATTAAACGTTAACTCTGAAATTAACAAAACTACCATCAGAATTAGAGCTGGTCATCCTGATGGGTATTTTTTAGCTGCTACGAGGTTTTATGGCCACTCAGAAATAAAATAATACCTGAATGAAAACAAAATTATTAATAAGATTGTAAATTGTTCCATATGGTGAACAATTTTCCAACGCATAGGTTACAAGCAAAATGTTTTCTTCAAAATTACACTTACAGAACAAGCACATAATAAAAAATGTTAAAATTGTTCGTCACCTTCAGTACCTATTACTCTCATTTAGACAGATAAATTCTTTTTATTGCCCATAAATCGGTTAAGATGGTATGAAGTGGAATCAACCCAGATTCATTCATGTGCACATAATTATTTTTAGCTTAACTTCCACTCAAGTAATTAAAATCCTTCTAAATCTACAGCTACATTATTGTAATCTACTTTCTTAAAAAGTTTAACAGACAGATTTATCGACATAAAACTTAGTACGAAGTGCGCAGCTTCATGATACCAGTAAAGTACAAAAGCAGAAAACCAGCAAGAATGAAAATATATTGAAATAAGTCAGTCACAACATAGAACATGGTAAATATTTGTATTAGTTAAGGTTGTCACACCCGATTTGCACATAGAAATGTAACTGACGGGTCGGAATAAGATAAGATTGAAAAAATATATACATTAGTGAAATAAAGACAAAAAAAGTTATGACGAATAAAGAAGCCTTGAAATCTGGGGGAAAAACAAAGAATGGGTACACCCCCGTTATCACAGGCCAACAATCGTAGTGTTTCTTGACACAAAGGCTGCCTTCGATTCGTTGGACAGGACTGTTCTCTGGGATTTTCTATTGAAGAAAATTGTGTCTGAGAAGTTTATATATATATATATATATATATATATATATATATATATATATAAAAACACCTCAGGCAGAGTAAGAGCATACAACCATCTCTCTCCATTGTTTCATTCAAGCAGTGGGGTTAGGCAGGATTGTCCAATCTCACCATTCCTCTTCAACTTTGCCATAGATGGCATTCTGGAAACAGCTCTGATGGATGTGAGTAATGGCGGTGTGGATCTGTTGCCTGGAGAAAGACTTCTCGACCTTGAGTATCCGGATGATATTGTCTTACTGTGTGATAATACCCAAACCGTGCAATCCTCACTTAATCAGTTGGCGATCAATGTCCGTAGGTATAGTGTGTGCTTCGCACCTCCTATGAGCAAAATACTTTTGCAAGACTGGCAGGACACTGAACCTGCACTCACCCTGAGCAGTGAGCAGGTAGAAGTAGTTTGGGCACTCCTGCTTCGGTTTGGGCACCCGGGCAGTATCACAGCCCTCACACATATCAAATGAGATCTGTGTGGCGCATATGTATTTGGTGCCTTCTTGTACCGATATTTATGTGTTAAAATAAATAATAAATAAAATAGAAGTAGTTGAGAAGTTCGTGTAGCTGCATAAGTGCTGGTGGTGGCGTAAGCGATGAGACCAATGCATGTATAGTGAAAGCCAGAGATGCTTATGCCAATCTGGGCCATCTTCGGCACCTTTGTGATGTTGGTCTGGCTGTAAAAGGTCGGGTCTACGATGCGTCTGTGAGAGCAGTTTTGCTGTATGCCTGTGAAACCTGGCCTCTTCGAATTGAAGATGTTAGACAACTTTCTGTATTTGATCATGGTTGCCTCCGAAGGATTGCTGACATCCAGTGGCAACACCATGTTAGTAATTCAGAAATTCAGCATCATGTGTTCGGGCACACAGATGACAATTCAATTGGTGTCACTATCTTGAAATATCGACTTCGCTGGCTTCGACATGTTCTTCGAGTGTCGTTCCAAAGAATTCCACGTCTTGCATTACTAGACGACGCTGGAACTGGTCGGAAAGAGCGGAGAGGTTGTCCGTGTATGATATGGTGTTGTGGTATGAAAGAAAGCTGTACGGGACGCTTCTGTTCACGACTCTCTGGTTGGGGTCCTAGAGATGGTGCAACACCGTGGCTAGAGATGTTATCAGATATGGCTCAGAATAAAAGCCAATGGTGATCCTGCATTAACTTTATTTTACTTAATAAAAAAGACGTAAGTGGAAGAATTTTCTGTGGCTGTACTTTTGCTGTTTGAACTGGCCCTCTCGTTATTGTTATTTTACTATCATACACTAATTTTCGTTCATTGTTGTACTTTTTTCTTATATGCACCTTACATTCTTTATAACTTCACATTCCATTATTGTGTGGCGCATATATATGGTGCCCCTTCGTACCAATATTTATGTGTTCAAATAAATAATAAAATTGCAAACCATTCTGAGTCATGCCATTCAGTCTCTAAGCATCGGTTACGATAGGCACGCGGACCCCAACCAGATGATCTACACCTGTTACCATAGTTCAGTTCAATTGTCAGTGAGTTCATGTTTTGGTTTAGCCACCCTTAACTTTTCTCCACCCCACTCCTACACCAGACAATACCTTCGGAGGTAGGTGACGGTTGGTTATACGCAACATTCACTACCATCAATTGACTCTCAATTGCTACCTAGTGCCTTATGGTTAGCCCCGGCACTGCTAACTCGGTCTCAAAATGCATGAGCGATGCTTTGAAGACACCTATACCCAAAAACCAGTCACCTACGAACGTCCGCTATTCTTACTGGTCATGTTTTATACCTGTAAAGAAAAACGGATGAAACTCGTCCTTTGGTTGGAACACGGATATTTTGACTACGCCGCAAGTGACACAAGTTGGCAAAAGGTAACCAAGCTTTCTGAATTCGTGCCGAGATCTCGTCAGGCATTAGGACCACCTTCAAACAGGAACTAAAAACAGCTACGTAGAACGAGAAGCGAGAATAATTGACCTGATGAAAATTCCACACGCATGTCTGGGTGTATTGCATTGCAAAGAGTACAGGTTAGTGTAAGCAATAAGAATCTCGTCATAAAATAGTAGTGTGATCCCCAACAGCTTCAAATCACGAAAACTATATGAACACTCAACCATGAAAGAGAAACATTATAGTCAATTTTATTTAGCACACACCAATATAGTACAAGAAATCATCAAAGTATGAATATAGTTTAGATTGTCATACAAAACGTCATATAGAACCTATGACTAAGAATAAGCGAATCTGAACTGTTGTGATTTTGTGCTACACCAAAATAAAGCTGCCACATCATTAGTTCTATCTTTTTAGAGATACTATCTCAATTTTACGCTTTTATACACATCTCTCACATTTATTTGGTGGTCCTATAAACAAATATTGTCCTTCGATATGATTAATCACATATTGCGATTTGTAAATTTAGTATTCAGACTGTTGTTACGTATGTCCTATCACCCTACCAAGGAACGTAAAATACATTACGAATACATATGTATTCGAAGGTATTCAAAAGGGATGGAAACTATAAAAAAGCTAAGAAGGGAACTCACTACCTCAAACATGGCCTGAATCTGAAATGAATAAAAGCCAAGAAAGGAGTTATATGCACTAAACTAAATGTCGTTTATGCATAGCAAGACTTTACCAAATAAATCTTCAGTAGTAAAGATAGGTCTACTGACCTATATTAATCCTTGCAAAGTGAACTTGAAAGAACTACCGCAGCCTGGTTTACTAACTAGCAACCACATTTTCGTTTCCATAGGGGTGGATAATGCAAAACAAAATCATGAAAACAAGATACACGGCAACCTCACGTTGAGACAAAGTTAAAAATACCTCATTTAAAGGGACAATGTCCAATATGTACATGTCAGGTCACTATAGGTCAATAGAATTTTCTCTCTCCTGTATTATTGCCTAATTAATTTTAACATCTTTGATGATATCTTATGTTGTTTTGGTTGTTGTTTTATCGATATATTCCCGATAAATCTAGTGATAAAATGTGAAGGGAGTTGTAGCGGTATATAAATCCCCAAGATAAATAGCTCTGTAAGTTTTCGACATTGCATGCTGACCACAGTTTTAGTGGACTCATCTAGCTGAAGGCACTTGGTCATGCATTCGCACTAGATCACGTGTGGGAACGTCGTGCTCAACATCTACCGCAATCGCTAGCCAGATTAGTTTTAGACGATCCTCGATATATTGATAGCTTATCAAATATATCTTCGATCTCCTCGCTTCTGTTTTTTGTTTTCACTTGTTGGGTACGCTTCGTATTGGGTGTTACTGGTTAAAGTGTTTTCAAACTCTGAATACCTGTGCAACTTCATTGGTGAGCCCGACGTGATCTGGTACACCAAATTGCAAACTGTGAGTCTGTTCCTTTTGGGATATTATATATCATTGTCTTATTTTAATTTTTTATACATTGTGATATTTTTTGTCTTTTTGGATATACATATTTCCCACTCGTCCATTCTTGTGCTTAATATATCACTATGACTGAACAGACATCTAAGGTATTTAAGTTAAGGACTGTGTCCCCACCTTCCTTCCAACTAATGCCTTACTGGCCAGACAACATCGAAGCCTGGTTTTGCTACGCAGAAGCCGACTTCTACGAGCACGGCGTGAACGACACACGTGCACAATTCCTCGCAGTAGTCAAGGCACTACCGCGCGAATTCAACAGTTCTGTAACACCTAGTATGTTTACTAGTGATGTTTCTGACCCACACAAAACCCTCAAACATGCCATCCTTAAACGCGGAGATCTAACCGTTCGACAAAGATTAGACCAACTCCTCAACAACATCAACCTGCAACACGGTTCTGTCACAGACATGTTGCAAAGAATGAGAGAAGTTATTGGCCAAGGAACCTTCGATGATGGCCTATTCAAACAGCTTTTCTTATGCAAACTTCCTCAACAGGTGCAAGCTGTGCTGGTCTCGTTCCGAAACAACGCCGTAGACGAGCTGGCTGCATCTGCCGACCGCATTCTCGAAATCACTAGATCTTCTAACGCCGAGGTTTTTTCAGTCAAAGAAAAGCCTCAAACGACTTATAATGACATAAAAGAATTATGTCATATACTTAAGCGTTATCGAAAACTTTGTAACCGCCGTAAACGGTCA